AGGTTCTTTCCAAACATCCTTTCAGGCAAAGGGGGTGGGGAGCCCCAGACAGATGAGCTCATTGGGAGGAGGAGGGCCGAGGGAGGAGGGAGCTGAAGCATCCTGACCAGAAAGGTGCTCACCGGACAGTCCCAAGCTGGGGAGGGGCGTGTGCCCATTTCCAGGAGCAGGCGTCTGCTTCCCCGCTGCAGCTCAGAGATGGGGTGAGTCCTGGACATCTCTTTATTCTGGGCCACATCGGGGTGGGGTGTGAAGTCCCAGGCTGGGGTCTCAGCAGCCCCAGCCAACACCCCAGAGCTGTGCTTACTCCCTGCTTCGTGGGTTGCCATAACCCCTGCCCTCCCGTCAAGTGAGCATGGGGGCTCAGAAGGGCTGGGGGCTGGAGGCATTGGGAAATCGGTGGCAGCCCAGCTGCCCCATGGGACTGCCTCATCAGCTGGATGGCCAGATGTCCTGGCCCCTGGACCTGGTTCTGCCCTGAAGACTGGTGCTGAGACGCATCGACCAAAACAGAAGTGTAAAATGGTGTGGAGTGCCAGGCAAGACTCGCTGAATGTCCTGATCCTGTCCGCTTTGAGCACTGTAGTGCAGGAGCCCAGATCTGGCAAAGGGAGGAGAGGGGAGGGGAGGAGAGGATGTGGGTAGGAGGGATACATGGCTGGGGAAGAAGGTGGGGGAGATGGAGAGGCGGCTCCCTGGAGTGAAGGGTAACTTGGAGAAGTCAGAGTGTGACACAGGCCCAGGAGGAGGGGTAGGGCCCGGAGACAACTCCTCCCCCAGGCAAGTGAAGAAGAGGTTTTGAAGGTTTTTAGAAACCAAGAGAGGAGAAGGCGGCCACCAGAGACCAGAACTGTAGTAGCCACAGAGCTGTGGAGTCAAGGGCTGGGCAGTGGAGGCAGTGGGGTGTTAGGGGCCCACTGAGAAGGCTTCGCCTCTGCTTCCAAACACTTTTGCCCTTCTCTGGTCCATGGTCATCTGGTCAGTTGGCGCTGAGCTACACTTCCCCCACTCTCACTCCTAGAGCTTTGGGCCGAGAGAGACCAGTCCTCAGCCCCGTTCTGTCTGCATGACATGGTGCCTTTGGCATCACTCTGCCCTGGGTTTGAGTCCTCTGCCCTGCTCTAGCCTTGGACTTAATAGAGCAGAGCCTTGGCCTCCCCATCTATAAAAGTCAGAAAAGTGCCAGTTTGGGGAGTTGCCCTGAAGATTCCGTCAGCTGACATCCATGGAATACTCAGCTCGGGGCCAGGGGCAGGGTCCATACTCAGGAAACCAGGAAACTGGTGGCCATCCTTACCTGCCCAGCCAGCTCTTACTCATCAGCCCCCCACTACACCCCCCAGCTCTCTGGGCTGGACTCAAACCCAACCCCACAGCCCTTCCCAGCAGCAGAGTGTCCCTGTGGTGTGAGCAGGACACAGGGCAGGGAGGGGAAGCTGGAGACTTTGATGAAGCCAAATGCCCTCCACAGAAGAGAAGGCTGTGAAGACTGTTCTCTACAGTCTTGGCTGGAAGGACAGAGAAAGCTTCGCCCTGGCCAAAGGGCCAAGGACGCAATTTCTGCATGGCCTCATCTTTGGAAAGAGGTTCCCGAGGATGCGTGGCCCCAAATTTCTGCCCTCTTCCAGCCTATTTCTCACTGTGAATAGGTGCTTACCACCTCCCCTCCCCCCACCATGGATAATCAGGTAAAGAGGAACAGGTAAGGGGCACAGAAGGGCACAGAAGCAGGCTGGAGTAGAGTGTGACAGAGTTAGAAGGCAGAGGGACAGGAGCTTGACCCTACATGTGTCATATTTCTCTTCGGGCAAGCAAGAGTTAATCCCCCTTCTATCACTTGAATCCTAAAGTGAGAGCTGCAGAGGGATAATCATCAGTGAACTTAGAAGTCATCTAAAAGTATGCCCTGATATATGAATCTTCTCAACAACACCCTCAAGCTATACTTGAATACCTTCCAGGATGGGGATCTCATTACCTCAGAGAAACTCAACCCTCTGCACAGCCCTGACTTACATTGGATCAATATCTGTCTCTGCCCGCCTGCCCTAGTGTTTTTGCCTTGGGGCAGAATGGGACAAGTCTCATCCCTATCCCGGTGGCCACAGACCCAGCCACCGTATTGGCCAACAGTTGGGATGCACACTCTCCCCCACCCACAGGCAGAGAACAAACCCTCTCCATCTGCCCATTTGCCCACAAGAGGGGCTCTCAGTCTATTGAGGCAAACAGTTTCTACTCCCTGTGTCACCTGTTTACGGGGCAGTTGTCATTGTTGAGAAGCAGAAGCAGCTGTGGCTGAGATGAAGGTGACTTTGCCAGGGTTGTAAGGGAAGCCCCTCCCGTGGAATCCCAAGTAGCCAGGCTGAGTGCCCAGTGCTCACTTGCCCCCTTCCCTGGCACTTCCTGGGCTCTCGAGATCATTAATGCCAGAGAAAAGGAAAAGCTACTTTATCAGTCTTTCTCTTGGTTCTATCCAGAGGCCTCCTCAGCCCTGCAGGGCAAGGGGCTTCTAGGCTAGGCCAGTCTATCTTAGGATCAAACCTATGTCAAGATGCCATGATAGAGTTCTCAGATGGGCTGCCCTCCCCAAGGCCCCCTGGAGCTCTCATCCACTGGACAGGTGGAGCTTGTCTTGAAGGGTGGCTGGTGCCCTGGACATCAGCATGGCAGTGTGCAGCCAGGGAGGACTAGAACCTGGTGGGCTTCAGGGTGAGAAGTCTGTGGGGGGCAATGCTCCCAGGGCCATATGAGAAGAGTTCCTGCAGATCCTTGCCAGTGTGGACCTTCCGGGACCTCAAAATGCCGTGCAGGAGGGCCAGAGACCTAGTGGGGACTCATGCTCCTGTCCATCAAGCTGCCCAGCCCACCTCCCCTCACCTGAAGGTTTTCAGGTACTACGCCCAGCCCTGCAAAATGAGAAGGAGACACATAGTCTAAGAGGGGCTCATATAAAAGCATGAAGCAAACTACACTCGGGGTGTGGGAATGGGACTCTGGGAATTGGAGCCGGGAGACATGCGTCTCTTGTCTATTGATGGGCATCAGGTCAACCTGGGGAAGGCCTTACCTAGGGAAGAGAGACTTGGTTGCCAGGCTCTTCATTAGCCAACTGCGTGACTTTGGGAGAAACGCTTTCGCTCTCTGAATCTCAGCTTTATAAACAGCCTTTGCGGAAGCTCCACCCAGCCCCAGCTGGGGAGGGGCAGACAGGGTTCTGGGCTGTGTGTGCAGCTGTGCCCAGCTGTGCCTAGCTGTGCCCAGACTGTGGACTGTGGGAAGAACCACCGACCTAGAGCCTGATTGGAGATCCTGTCCTGTCCTTGACGCATCGTGTGGCCTTAAGCCAGTCACTTCCCTGTTGTGATCCTCAACTTTCCCTTCAGGATACTCCGGAGGCTTGGCCAATGGTCCCCAAGACCCTTCCTTGTCTCTGATGTTGTAAAGATCTCCTCTCCCATCCCACTCCCTTTGGCCTTTGGGACCTGTCCTAGGGACTCTGAAATCACCCTCTCCCCATGCCCATATGGACTCCTATTCCAGGTGGCAGGCAGTGGGTGGGTGGATGGGGTGCCCAAGCCCTGCAGGGGGCTCCGGCAGGAAGTGAAGGAGCCGCGGGAATGGAGAGGCTCTTGTACAGACGCCTCTATCACAAATGGGGGTACAGAAAGTCGGTGACCGATTCTGAACCCCAGAATGGCAACTAGCTCTTCCCCCACAAGGCACCTCATTCTGCAATCAGAACTACCCCCACCCAGGCCCCAAGCAGGCTGGGCTAGAGAACATCAATTTAAGGAGATTGCCAGAGCCAAATCCAACTCTCCCAGAAGCCAGGCCCAGATCCAAAGTGTTCTGGGAGAAAAGCCCTAGAATGAGGAAGATGCTGGCCCTACCCCAGAGAGAACCAGCCAGAATCCCTAGTGCCTTCTGCTGCCGAGTCCACAGGCTTTGCCTCAGTTTCCCTAGTTGTCAGGTAGAGAAGCACCGCCTGACATCCCATCCTTGGAAGGACTCAGGGGCTCTGGGGGACAGACACCCTTTTAAGCCAAGGTATCTGTGGTTCAGTTGACTACCAGCCCCCTCTGTTTGATGCTGCCGCTCCTTCTGGCTTCGCTCCCAGGTAGCAGCAGCAACCCCCGCAGGTGCTACAACTACAGGGTCAGGGTCCTCTGGAAGTATTCTAAAGTGCATCTGGCCACTGAACACTGGCAAAGGTCTCTGGGTCACCAGGGAGGAGACAGGGAAGACCAAGAAACCAGAACAAAAGTAGGAACCAACCACTTCCACTTGCCATTCAGAAAGTTGAAACATTTCTTACGTTTCGTGTGTGCGCATAGGAGAAAAACGCAGAGATGGAGAACAGGTAGCAAAAGAGAAAAAGGCTGGGTGTGTCCGGGCTAGTGGAGCCCCTCTACCAGGGGGTCCTCTTTGGTCCTGAGCTTCCGAAGATCCAGGTGCATGTAAATAAGATCCAGCAGGACTCAGGTGGGACCTGAACATCCTGACTCTTCCCCCCAGACACCCTCAACCTTGAAGGTGCATGAGGGCAGACTCAGAGGCACTGTCAACTATTTCTTTCCCCCGAGTCCAGAGCAGGCAAAGGAAGCGTCTGTCTGGTCAGACGCAGCTCAGACACAGGCAGGCAGGAAGGATGGCTCACCCATCCAGGGAAAAAATAGGCAGCACCCACAATATCAAAGGTTGTCGTCATCCCAGAAGTAATCAAGAGGCCCTCCAAAAGTGGGGAGTGTTCAGACACCCTGTCTTCAGGGTGCTTCCAAGGTGGATAGAGTCCTCCAGGATTCTGAGAGAAGGCAAAGAGGGAAAGAGATAAGGCATTCGTCTACATGAGCAGAGCAGAAGGACTGTGTCCTTGCTGCGGGCCCGGCAATGGTAGTGGGATTCCCATGAGAGGAGCAGGAGGGGTCCCTGGCAGGATCCTGGCAAAGCCTCCACTTGCCCCGCTCTGGAGCCCTGAAAAAAGCCACACTCGAGGGATGTTCAGGGGAGATGATCTGTTTATTGTAGCCAATAGATCCAAGCAATACAACAAACTGCAAAGAAAACACAGCCTGCTCCCCAAAGCAGACACATCACAGCAGCTGGGTCACAGAGGACCATCGAAGTTGTTCTCCCCACCACCCCCTCCAACCACCCTGCAGCACAGAAAACCCAGAAAGTGCGTAAGTAGCTGAGTTTTCTCCTCCAAGTGCACAAAAAGCAGTAAGAACATTCCATAATTTGCCTTTGGTGAATCAACTCAAAACACTGAGAAATGATGGTTTTTCCCTCAACACCCAGTGTAACTTTTGGAGTGGATGTAGTGAGATGTTTTATATTTGTATATATAATATATCTATACCTATATATAGACTATGTACAAATGCATCAGCAAGCTTCAATAAAGGAAGACATTAGCACGAGGCACAGCAAGAGACACAGGCTGTCTATCCTTAAGATGAGTTGCAAGGAAAATTTCTTGATTCATCACTCATTCCAACTGCATCACGCCATTCCTATGGCCTGGGACTGTCTTTTGGGACCTGGCCAGTATTTTCCATCGTCCATCTGCTTTAACCTGACCTTGTAAATACCAGCCCAACTTCCCCAAAGGGACCTCCAGGGAGAAATATGGAACCAGTTGGCTTTTCCTTTTTATAGATTGGGAATAACTGTGATTAGTCCATCGCTAAGGGGCAGACAGCCGTTTTCAAAGCCAGTTTCAAGGCACCTCAAGGCATTTCAGTCCTGAAAAATTGTACTCTGCTCTTATAAGCTCAATCGCATGGGTTGGCCAGCCCATCTCCTTACAGTGGCCCTTAAATTAGGAGGAAGAGACAGACAGGGAGTTCTAAGACAACAGGAGAGGCAGGGGCTGTTGGGAAAACCAGCAGACTGGACCCAGGAGAGCGCAGTGATGGGAACATGCAGCCGCAAGTGGGACAAGTGGGACGTGAACCCACAGTGCAGGGAGAGGAGCGGCTTGCTGGTATAAACTAGAAAGCAGGGTAGAGAAATGGCTGCTGTGGAAACATGTCACGGGTTTCCCACCTCTATGCACAGAAGCCCCATCTTGTTCCCAACCTCATGGCCCTGGGGGAGGCAGCTCTAGGAGACCTCCTCCCGAAGAGATTCAAAGAGGCTGCAGGAGAAAGTGCACAAGAGAGTGGGGCAGCTCGGGAGGCCCCCCACCCTGGGCCAGGACGTTGGAAGGAAGGAGCCCAGAAGTCTGGAGCTTCTTGATGGGGAGTTGGGATTTCTTAGAATAACCCTAGGGAATCGCGCAAAAAGTTCCCTAAATGTGAGGCGTGCCCCGCATCAGCACAGATCCTCACTCATCCTGGGAGAAGAGAATACTTGAGAGGTGGCCGCGAGGAGAAATCTGCGGGCTGCTTCTGCGTATCGCAACCGCCCTTGGTCTCAGCTGCCCATCGCTCCCCTCATGGCTGGTTGGCTCCAAGGATGGCTGTGTCCTCCTGCCCCAGGCATCCTGGTGGCTTAGCCCACCCCCATTGGCAGTGTGTTGATTGGCAGTTAGGTACTGAGCTGGACTCCCCCCACCCGGGAGCTGTCACCCAGGCTGTCCGTCCCCCACTCTGTGCCCACTCTGCCTGGCCTGTCACCCTGTTCCCTGTTGAATCTCCCACCCTCACCACCACTACCCGCCTTCCTGCCTTTCTTCCCTTCCCAGGGCCCAGATTTGGGACTGTCTTCCTTCTCCAACTCCAGCCCTGGAAGCAGTGGCTGCGGAGGTGGAATTAGATGCACCAAAAAAATTAATCTTGGTCCCCACAGTGCTGACCTGGCAGCTTCCAACTGTGTTATGGCTTTGTGTGCATCCCTGGCACCTGGCACAGTGCCTGGCACACAGGAGATGCTCAATAAATGGATGTCGAATTGAAGTGAATTAAACCGAACCTCATGGATGCTACTGTTCTCTCCCCAAATTGGCCATCTGATGGGCAGAGGCAGAGAATGGTCCCTGAGACTGTCCCTGAGACTGTCACAGTCCTGTCTCCACTCACTTTCCCCAGACCGGTTCCTGCCCAGGGCGCTGACTCCCAGAACCTGGGTGGGGTCTGAGCTCCTGGAAAGGCCAGGGAAGGGCTGAAGGTCAGTCAGTGCGGGGCAGGGGCAGGGCCTTGCCAGCAGCTCTGCCCTCCTGCACCATCCCTCCATTCCCACCGGCCTGGGAGAGGAGCAGCCCTCCCTCCCGTCCCCTCCCCTCCCTATGGAGAGGAAAACTATGGCTCTGTTGATTCAAACTGGAGACTGAGGAGCCGGAGGAGGGGATGGCAGGACTCTTGGTCTCTGTCATTTTGAACCCGTTTCCCCATCTGTAGTGGAACTTGCCTGGTTGATCCCTGAGGATCTTCCAAGGTAGTGTTTACGTCAGCAGTTTCTCTCTGGTTCTCTCCCTCTCTTGAGGCTTAAATGATTCCCTCTTAATGTGAGTAAAATGGCAGTGAAAGTTGGCTCTCCATAAATGCTACCTTCCTCCCCACAGAGGGAGTCCCTGGGGCAGGGAGGGTATAACATGCCCATAGCGTCTCAGAAGCTCCAAGGCTCCCCTCACTCTCCCCTCGGGGTGCTCCCTTCCCAGTCTCTACCCAAAAGCCAACTAAAAGCCCTGCTGATGGTACCTGGGAAAGTTCAAACACAAAACACAAGGGCCCAGAGGAAGCCCCGACTCCCCTCACCCACTGCCGCGTGGCTTCCACGCCTCCCCAGCCCCACACTCAGCTGACAGGAAGGTCACCAGGTTGGAGAAGCCAGTCTGCAACCAATTCCATGTTACAGTGGCACCCCCACCCCTTCAGATCTTAGCTGACTTTGAATTTTGTCTCCTGTTCTTTATGGCTATGGTGAAAAATGATACAACCTCCCCACCGCCCAGCTTGGCAACTCTTCAGCACAATGCTCCCCCCTCCAAATCCCAAGAGATTAGCAGCCCACAGAAACTCCCCAAGGCTTCTGTGGTAGCAGCTACTGATGGAGAGGGGGTAAGACCATGGGTCCCCGGGCTTAGGCTCCTCTCCACCTGCCCTCCGGCCCCAGCTTCCCTGCAATGTCCAGGAAACACAGTCGTCCCTCTGACACGCCCGCCACCCAAGTTATAGGAACCCACCAGCACCCCCAGCCTGACAGGGCCGCCAGGCCTGGAGTGGCTCCGGGAGGCAGCGCAGGAGAGCCCCTCCGCCGCCCGGAGGTGCTCCCTGGGGCCCACCAGACCAGTGCACAGACAGGGCGGGCTGGGCGCCCCGTCTCTTCCTGGGACCCTTTCACAGGCCTCCTGCCTCCACTCAGGGGCCGGCAGTCAGAGCCCACTTGTCCCTCCCCTGGGGGCCCACACATCCCACTCGCCACGGTAGGTTTCCCAAATGAAAGAGAGGTGGGTCACTCTTGGTGCAGGGTGGGGGACACGACATGAGGGGTTCGGGAGGCCCCAGGTGGGCACTGGGACCCCGGTTCAGGAGAAGCACACCAAGAGAGGGCAGGCAGGGGCACAGTGTGCGGGGTGGAGGGTGGGAGGGCAACAGGACGGGAGGGGGGCTGCGGGGCCTGTTACTTGGGGCCGTCGTCCGCGTTTCCCTCTCCATCAGTCTTGCCCTCCTCATCTGTCTTCAGGTCATCGGCGCTCAGTTTCTGCTCTTTTTTCCTCCTCACACACTTTACTACCATCAGCACCAGGATGACCACCGCCAGGAAGCCGCCCACGGAGGCGCCCACGATCACAGCCACCGTGGAGTCCCGCTCAGGGGGCTCTGGAGAAGGAAAAGAAACAGACCCACTGAGGACCGGGGCCCCGAAAGGGAGCCTCCCCCAAGCACCCCCTCCCTGCAGTGTGTGCCCCACCCCCACCCCCCTGTGGTCCTCACCGGATGCTCTTGGTGGAAAGGTCCTAACTGTACTATTCACTCACCTTGTGACCTTGGGTGATGACCTCTCTATAGCAAGTGCCCAACGAATGAGAGCTGCTACTACGATTGACCCGTGACTGGGGTCATTATAAGGATAAAACCTGGTCTTAATCCTTAACTTAATCCTTACTTAATCCCTGGTAAATAGGGTGCCCAGCACACGCTGGAGATTCAGTTCTCTCCACCCCAGCCCTGCTCTACCCCAAGAGCACAGCCCCTCCCAAGGAGCCAGGGGGCTCCTCCTGCTGGAGGGTGGTGGGTGGGACAGGGGCCCCCAGGGCAGCGGGCTCCTCACCCTGCCTGCCCCGCCCACCCCTCACCTTCCATGAGGACCTGCAGTTGGATCCTGCCGTGGCCGCGGTGGCGGTCGGGCGGGTTCATGATGTAGCAGTTGTAGGTGCCCACATCTTCGAGCTGCACGTTTCTCAGCGTCACAGACACATCATACTTGCTGGGGTTCCCCGAGAACTCCACGCGGTCTCGGAACCGCTCCAGCTTCAGGTTGATGATCTTCATGCGGAACTGGAGGAACTGGGGATGGAAGCTGGCTGAGCAAGGAGGCGCCGGGAGAGGGGGTGCCCCTCCCCACCCCACTGGAAAAGAGGCAGTTACCTCCAGGGCCCTACCCTCCCAGGGCCACCCAGGCGTGACAGTACACCTTCTGCCAAAGTCCCCTGGAGCATACTAGCCCACCAGGATCTCCAGGGTGCTGGTCGAGTGTGTGGGCAGGTGGTGAGAAATGGGGGCTTCATGCCCAGGGGCTCCCACCCCCTCCCTCACCTCCACCTCCATCCCGGACTCACCATCTCCTCCGAGCAGTTACTACACTCCTGGTAAGTCCAGTTTAGGGAGAACTGTTTGTGGTTCACTGTGTAGCAGGAGTTGAAGGTACAGGGCAGACGGGCATTAGAGCCATTGAGGACGTTGAGGGTGGTAGGTACTGTGACCTCCATGCTCCGCCCTGGTGGCACTGTGGATAAAGCCACAAACTGGTGAGAATTCTGGTTGCGGGGGGGGGGGTGGTTAGGGAGGGGGGCAAGCCTTCTGCACCTGCTGTCAGTGGGGCAGAGCTATGGCAGTGGATTGGGTCCCTTACATCTGAAATTAGTCAGAGAGTGGAGTGCAGTGGGCAAAGCTCCTAAGGGGTACCTGATGTGGGCCTTGGGGTAGAGCAAGGCTGGGGTGGAGAGAACTGAATCGCCTACCAAACCAGAGGCAGACAAATGGCCCCAAGACTTACCTAGGACCATGGTTGTGCAGCCGCTCCTCTGGCTGGCCTGCCCCAGCTTTACCACTGCCACCTGCTAACTGAAGACCTCGGACTCTACTGTACTGGCCTCAGGTTCCCCTTCTTCCCCACCACTTCCAACCATCTCTGGTGATCAAAGCTCCTCCAGCTAAAGCTACAGTGTCTCCCATGTGGCAGAAAGCCTTCAGACAGATGGAGATTCAGAAGGCCTTGCTCTCTATACACCAAGACCAGAGTGAAGCGGCATACCCAGCCCAGCCCAGCCCCCTCATCTCCCCCCAGCTTCTAGCAAGCAGGAAAGAAGGCAGACGAGCAGTAGGAGGGAAGATGCATCCCAGAATAAGCACGATTCCAAGGGACTGACGGATGGTTCTATGAGGACAGGAGTCCCCTCTGCAGATGTCAGGCCTGGAAGCACCACAGCAAGGAGCTGATCCAGGCTGAAGGGGTGGCAGGGTGGGAATGGCAGTTTTCTGTCAAATCCTGTAAGGAGCACCAGCCCTGGGCCAGAAGAGCTGGGTGCTGGGGCTGCCCGGCCCTCTCTGACATTCAAAGCAGAGCAAAGTCTAGGGTGAGGTAAGTGAGCCCAAGCCTTTCCAGTTGAAGCTGCAGTGATCGCCATGGAGAAGAAGGCCTTGAACACAGAATCGAAGGGAGGACCCATCCTCAGTGTCAGGCAAATACCTCCTTAAACTGTACACCATAGGCACCTCACTGGCCTCACCCAAGTCCTGACCTTAACACTAAGATTTTCTGCCAAAATCATCAAAACATCATCCCAAAAGGTTCATTTTCTTTACAGGGGATAAACAGTAATGGTCAGTATGAGCCATGCATTTGCTCATTTACCCCCTATTAATAAGCCACTCCCTATGCCCCACACATTTAGCCTAGGCCTTGGGGGTTATGGCTGTGAACAAGCCAGGCCCGAGTGGCCACAACACAAAGCTTGTGTTCTAGGGAAGGGAATCGACGTTAACAAGAAAAAAAATAATAATGTGACTTTACGTCGTGATGCATGGTGGCCATCGTAAGGGGTGCTGTTTCCTGTTGGTAGTCAGGGAGGACTGCTCGAAGGGGCTGACAGGTAGGCAGTCCCTGGCAAAGTGAGGGAGTGAGCCATTTAAAATTCTGAAGGAATCAAGTTCCAAGCAGCAGAATATTAAGAGCAAAGTCCCAGTGGCTGCAACAAGCTTTGTGTGTCTGAAGCACAAGGAGTGGTGATTCAAAGGGCAAGTGGTGAGACCTGAGGTCCCAGAGTTAGGCAGGGGCGAGGCCCTGGGGGCCTTGGGGGCTAGAACTGGCAGTTAGGATTTTCATCTCCGAGTGAGATAGGAAGCCAGCAGGGGACTCAGTGGGGGTGAGGAGGCAGGGAGTCAGAGGGCTGACTAGGAGGCTGTGGATGCAGAATTAGTGTAGACAAGAAGATCCCATGAGATTCAGGTCCCATTCCGGCTCTGCCTTCAATCGGCTGGGAGAATGTGCGCAAGCTACTTCACCTTCCAAGCCTCAGTCCCCTGCTCTGTAAAACTTGGCTAATGACACCCACCTCCAGGGATTGCCATGATCATTTTAAAAAGATAAAATATGTAAAGCATGAAGCATGGTGGACAGTCGCAGCTCCTGTTACCCTATGTTCTCCTCAAGTTCTCTAAACAGGAAGGCCTTCTGGGACAGTCTCCTCCTGGCAGAGGGCAGCCCCTTGGAATCCCCCCAGCTCTGGCACAAGGCCCAGCACCCCCCCCCAACCCCTGCAGTGACAGTCCAGCAGCATCCCCTACAGGGCTCTGGTTTCCCAAACAACTGTGTAGGGCACTGCTGATGGGCCCCAAGCCAGAAGGACGCAGCATCACAGCAGCCTGCCTGCAAGTAGGACTGTCAATCTGCTCAGCCCATCCTTCAGGATGAGTGGCCAGGGCTAGCGAACAGGACTTAAGGACAGGAGATGCTCCAAAATGCTGGCCCTAGAGGTCCCAGAAGAGCCTCAGGTGGAGGGATTAGGCATGCACATCCACCTGCAGGGCCCTGGGTTCGGGTTCGTGTGTGGGCTGAGTACTCACTAGGGGAGCATGAACTGGGGAGGCTGAGTGGGCCTGCCAAGAAGAACAAAGCCCAGTTCCCACAGCCCCGCTTTCACCACCATTATGAAAGCACGTAGCTCGGCGCCAGGCAAGGAGGAGGTGTGCAGCAAATGCCACTGCCGCCCCTGCTCTGCAGAGGCAGAGAATCTGCAGGGAAGGAACCCGGCAAGGCCTTGTCCTGAGTTCACCTCTTACCCGGGGAAGGCCCTGCTTCTCTAACCCCTTCCAAGCTCGAGCTCCGCGACCTTCCCAGGGCCCCCTACCAAAAGGGGTCTCCAAGTGACCCCAGAAAGCAGGGGCTGTGAATCGGGCTGACCTATCTGCAACCCCTTTCCCAGCCTGGCCCACACTGCTCAGGCTAGAACTTGAACCCCCAGGGCAGCCCCCTCCACTGTGAAGGAGCCAGCATCCTCCCGCGTGGAAGGGCAGAGCTATGGGGAGGTCCTTCCTGGCTGGCGGGGGAGGGGGAGCACAGGTGCAATTCAGAGTCCCTTTCCCGCAACCCTGCAGCATGGCCCTTGCTGGAGGCTCCAGAAGGAACCGTGCACCCTCTAGTGGTCAGAGATGTCCAGCCAGTCCCAACTGCAGATCGGGGCGCAGGATCACCAGATCAGAGGCAGCCAGGCAGGGGCACCTCCAGAATTGTGAATCTAGACCCTCCGCCTCACCAGCGAGGCAGGTGAGGCCCAAGGGAGACACACAGAGGACAGGGATGAGCCCAGGCCAGAGCCCAGGCCAGACCGTACTTCCTGGTTCCTACTCCAACGCTCCCACGTCAACCTGAGTCCCCACCGGGGCTTTAGGTCTCTCACCAATCCAGACCCCCATTAAAGAAACCACCATGCAGCAGGGTCAGAGCTGTGAGCAAAATCCCAATAAACTCTGCGGCTTCAGGAAAGTAGCCGAGTCTCTAGCAAGGGTCCCAGAAAAGACTTCACGATAACAACTAAGTGCTTGCTGTGTGCCAGAGGCTGTCTTACCCATTCCAAGAATATGACCTCATTTGATACTTACAACAGCCCTATTACCATCCCACTTTCCAGACAATGCAATTGGGCACAAAGAAGTTACACGAACAGCCCAAGGTCACAGCTAGTAAGTGAGAAAGCTTGATTTTAGCCCAGGCTGCTGGGCTCCAGACAGGGGTGAAGGGCTGAGACTGGGTGACATTCCAAGACTTGCGAGGGACCCCCAGGCCTCCCACTGTCTCCATAGCAGAGCAGCTCCCAGCTCAGGCCAGGCTGGCCAGAGGGGAATGGTCCTGTTTAAAGGAACCTCCATACAAGGAAGCCCAGTCCTCCTGCTTGCCCCATTTGGGACCAGGTCGGTCTCCTGATTTCCAACTCATAGAAAGAAAATGAGAATTATTTAGGAGCACAGTGAGGATGTGGCTTCTGGTCTTAGTTCCAAGGCATCACTGGCACCCAGGCCCCCACTCTTTCTCTGGGGGCACATCTGGGCATCCCAGGCCCCATGTTATCCACTATTCTAACTGGCCCATCTTTCAGAGATCACAAAAATTTGCTCACTTCCGGTGAAGTGCTACCTCCTGGAAGGTAAAAGTGAATTTTCTTCACTCCTCTTTCCAACCCTACAGCAACCAATGAGGTAGGTTTATTTTCTTCTTGTTTAAAAGAGAGAGTGTCAAAAAAAATAAAAATAAAAAATAAAATAAAAGAGAGAGCGTCCAAGCAGAGAAATGGTCCCCCCAAGCTTCTGGAGCATGTTGTCTCCTGGAGCAGCCCCAGCATCCCAGGGGAGTGTGACACCCAGACCTCGCCTACTGCTTTCAGACCCTCCCCCACACCAGGATGGAAGCCCAGTCTACCCCCACGCAGCATGTCCTCATCACCCTTCCACTGCCTCCCTGTTGCTTTCAGGATCGAGTCCAGGCTCCTGGGCACGGCTTCCAACCCTCTGCCATCTGGGACCAATCTAGGTCCTGGCCTCCTCTCCTGCCAGCTCCCAACCCTCCATGCTTCCTCCACTCCAGTGATCCCTGACTTCTTACTTTTTCTGTTAACCCCACTTTCTTTCACACCGCCATGCCTCTGCACACATGCTTGCTTCAGGTCGGGAAGCTCGTTCACCCTTCTCCACCTGGAGCCCTCTTACCTGTCCCGCGGTTCCCAGCTAACCAGGCATGCCCAAATGACAGCATCCCCAGCGCCTGGGCCCTCTCCCCAGCCCTGTTCTCTCTTCTACATGACCTACATGACCAGAAGGCAGAACGGCATTGTGGCCAAGCCGCCTGATCTTTGGCAAGATAGTGAACCTTCTGACCTCAGTTTCCTCATCTGTAAAATGGGGGATGATAATAGAACCTGACTTCTAGGGCGCTTGTGAAGATTACATGACTTGCTAATGTAGGAAGCTCACAGGAATGCCTGGTGCATAGTCAGCCCTTGACGGAGGCTAGCCGCTGTCATTGTCATCATCATTATGATTATCATTGTGGCAGCACCTATGATGCTGTGCTCTCATTATCTGTTCATGTGCCTGTGCCCCCCAGGAGGCTCTGGGGAGCTGATTTTTGCTCATCTTGGTATCTCTGGATCCAGAACAGTATTTGATGCGCAGATGGGCACTCAATAAACACCTATAAAAGGAAGGAAAGGCCTTTTCCCTCCATGTCTGGATCCCTGCCCCCAGCAGCAGACATGTGCAGTGGGCTTCAGTGAGGACCAGACTCCACTTTCTAGGCTTCATCTAATATAACCCACATTTGGATAACTAGATTGATGCCCGCAGAGCCAGTGGTCTTAAGAAAAACTCTGGGAAGTCCAGGCATTTGGATTGCTTCTAGGTAAAAACTAGTCTCACATGCTTTTGTTGTGTATAAGGCAGGTTGCCCAGCTGGTCCCCTTCCTCCTTTATCAGCTCTATGGTTATTCTCACAAACCCTGCCCCTAAGGCGGCCCCTTCTTCACAATTTGTCCCTCCATCTTGGGGACTGATACCACTACAACCACCAAAGTTCCATTGTGCCTCTGAGCTCTTAGCCTTGGAGTGCCAAGGCAAGCCTCATCATAGCATCGATCAAGCTCCCCGTTCCTGCATCCTCTACCACCCAGGTTTGCAGAGGCCCTAGCTTCCTCCCACCACTGCCTCACAACCCCCACTCCTTGACCTCTTCACTCCAGACCCCATCCTCCCCCTAAGATACACCCTGGTCACGGTCATGGAGCCCCCTTCCCTCCTTCACTTAGATCAGGCTCTCACAAGACTCTCTCCCTCTCCCACAGAAAGCTCTCCCTAACTCCCAGAGGAGTCACCTGTCCTCCATCCCTGGCTCCTTACACACAGGTCATCCACCCAACTCCCCATCTTTTTGCCTGCACTTGAAATTCTTTGATCACTATTGATATAGCAGTGCCATTTCTTGAACATTGGGGGCAGTAGAGTCCAACAGGTAAGTACCGGAAGTCAGACAAATGAGTTCAAAACTCAGTTCGCCTTAAACTAGTCATGTGACTTTAAGTCACTTAATTTAAATAAGTTAGTTACTTCATTTCTCTGTGCTTGTTTCCTCATCTGTTACAGAAGGATATAGCAGTATCTATCTCATTCGATTACTGATTACCATGAGGACTAAAATTCTACAGCATCTGAATGCATGACAAGCATTCACAAAGTTCAGCTCTTATTGAGCACCTGCTGTATGCCAGCTTCCCCCCAAAAAAACCCAGGCATTCTCCAGTTTACCCACAAAGGAACCAAATCTCAGAAGGGTCAAGTAACTTGCCTATGGTCATGGGGTAAATGGCAAAGATGGCTTTAAACCCAGAGCTGATTCCAAAGCTCACCCTCTTGATACTGCCCCGCACTGGCTTCCGTCACATTCCTGCTCTGTTGTTAACATGTCCAGTAACTCAGCAAAGCTAATGGGCCTTATGATGCTGCCAGGGGCTCTATGTTGTCTCTGTCTAGGACTCCTGCCTAATATCCAACACAGCACATCAGAGAAAGAGGAGACAGAGAGAGGAAGTGGGATTCGATGATGGGGAGTATCCCACTGACAGTCCTTGGACTTGACCAATGAGTACACCACTGATGAGTAAGTGTAGGAGCAAGAATGAAACTACCCATAAAGCAGGCTTGCAAATAACTCTCTAGCCCACCTACTCACCAGGAAGTCATGAGTGGTCAAATATGAAATTAACATGTGGATCACTTGACAAGGCAGTCAGCGAGGCTGGGCTGCTCTTAAAGGGCCACAGCTACACCCAGCCTGGAGTTCCTTTTTTTTTTTTTTTCCTTTTTCTTTTTCTTTTTTTTTCCTGGTCCCTTCACCTGGCCCCTTCCTCCACTCCATCGGGCCCAAGTCAGAGGCCTCCATCAGCACTTGCTTCAGCAAATCTCTTCCCAGTGCCAAGCTCATACCTCAAGCCTGCTTCCCACCTGCTCCCTGACACATTTCAAAAAATCAATGGTATAGATTTCCAGGAAGCAAGACCCAGACTCAACTTCCCACTTCCCACTCCCCCAAACATTCTTTCTTCATATCCTGAATCCACCAGATCCCAAAGATCAAGGTCTGCAAGAGAAGCCCCTTAAGGGAGCAAGAAGACCCAGGACCCCATATTTGTAGCAGCTTAAAAAAAATCCACGAAGAGATTTTGCAGATCGACCCACCCTCTGCCCCCACCCCCACACAAGTCCATTTCAGGGAAATCCAAAGAAAAATCACCTCCCGTGATAACCCTCACCCCCCCACACACAGGCACACTCAAGATCCCACGACCCAACATTTCCACGACCAAGTAGTCTCAGCGTTATGCAGTCCCCAGTAATGTCTTCCCCAGTCCCCGTTCATTAGCTCCCTTCCCAAGGACATGAAGGGAAGTTCAACCAATATCGTCTTTCCTGCCCCCGGCCCCCATCCTCTTCCAGCTGTGGCTACACCTCTGGACCATCAGGAGCATGCAGATGTGCAGTCTAACTTACCCAAAGAGAAAAAGAGACTGAGCCCCGTGAGACTGAAGGCAGGGCGAGGTAGCCAGGCATCTCTGTGCATTTTCAGAGACTGAGATGTTAGTCGGGTGGGATGGGGGAGAGGGTGATTTGAGGGGCCGAGGGCTACAAGGGAGGAATGGTTAGATGCTAAAAAAAAATGCACAGATGTACTTCAAAGACACATACAACATTAAGGAAGCTTTATTTCCATCTCTCTAATATGGCCGGCTTGTATGTTGCTGCTAAAAAGAGAGAGGGAGTGTGTAAGGGAGAGAGAAAAGGGGGGATGGAGTAAATTTTGTGGTTGGTGGATTTTGAAAAGCAGGTGGGAGGGCAGGAAAAAAGTCTTTTTGAAAAGAACAAAGTTCCCCAGCAATTCTCTCCCAATTAATCAAGAACTAAAGCAAATTCTGCCTTTCTCCTCCTCCTCCTCCTCCTCCTCCTCCTCCTCCTCCTCCTCCTCCAACTTCTTCTTCTTCTTCTTCTTCTTCTTCTTCTTCTTCTTCTTCTTCTTCTTCTTCTTCTGTGCTGCTGCTGCTCTTAGATGATTGTTGGGATTTGAAAGTTGTAAAGGAGCTCATTCATTTCAAAACTGCTGTGAAGGGGGGGGATCTATTTTGTCATTTAAAAACACCCAAAAAAGGAGATGCTTGTTTTGTGTTATTTGGAAAGGATTCAGGGAAGTGAGTTAGGGAGACTTTCTGGAAGTAAAGACTTCCTCGTTTTTCTACCATTTCCACTGAAACCAGAACATGTCCAAGTAGACCAGTGTAAAAACACCTAAGAGATCTTGCAATCGAATGTAATAGGAACCTTTGGGGGGACTCCTGATACCCAATCAAATCAATAGTAAAAAGACATTTTTAAGACAATTGGGGAAAAAAATAAATGTGGGCTGAGTATTAAATTATATTAATGAATAATTCTTAATTTTGTTGAGTGTTATAAAAATATTGCGATTCTGTTCTTGAACGTTCTTATCTGTATTTTTTTTATTTAATGTCAATTTAGTTAACATATACCGTATTATTAGTTTCAGAGATAGAATTTAGTGATTCATCAGTCTTCTATAACACCCAGTGCTCATTACATCACGTGTCCTCCTTAATGCCCATCACCCGGTTACCCCGTCCCACCACCTGCCTCCCTTCCAGCAACCCTTAGGTTTGTTTCCCAGAGTCAAGAGTGTCTCATGGTTTATCTCCCTCTCTGATTTCATCTTATTTATTTTTCTTTCCCTCTCCCTATGTTCATCTATTTTGTTTCTTAAATGTACATATTGGTGAAATCATATGGTATTTGTCTTTCTCTGACTTATTTCACTTAGCATAACACCCTCTAGTTCCATCCACACTGTTGCAAATAGCAAGATTTCATTCTCATGGCTAATATCCCATTGTATTCCATACCACATCTTTATCCATTCACCTGTCAATGGACATCTGGGCTCTTTCCATAGTTTGGCTAATCTTCTATAAACACTGGGGTGCATGTGCCCCTTCAAATCACTATGTTTGTATCCTTTGGATAAATAGCTAGTACTGCAATTGCTGGGTCTTAGGGTAGTTCTATTTTAAACTTTTTGAGGAACTGCCATACTGTCTTCCAAAGTAGCTGTACCAGTCTGCATTCCCACCAACAGTTCAAGAGGATTCCCTGTTCTCTGCATCCTTACTAACACCTGTTGTTTCCCGAGTTGTTCATTTTAGCCATTTTGACCGGTGTGAGATGGTATCTCATTTTGATTTGAACATCTTTATCTGTTATATACCCTGGAGGGTTTATAGATAAGATGACAGGGTGAATTGAATTTGCTTTAAGATATTCCAGGAAAAAGGGATCCCTGGGTGGCGCAGCGGTTTGGCGCCTGCCTTTGGCCCAGGGCCCGATCCTGGAGACCCGGGATCGAATCCCACATCAGGCTCCTGGTGCATGGAGCCTGCTTCTCCCTCTGCCTGTGTCTCTGCCTCTCTCTCTCTCTGTGTGTGACTATCATAAATAAATAAAAACTTTAAAAAATTAAAAAAAAGATATTCCAGGAAAAAAAAAGAACTGGGGGAGGTAGGTGACACAAGCACAGATGTGACTGTTCAATGAAGTTGGTGGCAGGTGCAAAGGACTCATTATACAATTCTCTTCTGGGTTGTATATGCTTGAAAACTTTCCTTTTTAAAAAGGAAGAAAAATATAGGCAAATAGCACAAGTAGGAGGACTTGTGGTAGAGTAGCAAAGTGGCCCTGGGCACAGAAGGTGGCCCCCACGCTTCTGGGGAGACATTGAAGTAGAACGCAGGTTCCTGTGCAATAATTCTTCACACTTGCAATGGGCTATTGAGGCACCAAAAAGGGAGCAATGAATATTTTTGAGCTATAACTCCACCTGTGATACCCCAACTGGACTGTCACCCTGAGATAGGCAATTTATTATTATCTCTCTCTCTCTTTTTTAACTTGCAAATGGAGAAACTGAGGATAACCGAACTTACCCTACCCAAAATGACTTATGGTAGTCAAGGGCAGAGTCAGAGCAGTATTCAAACTGAGGTCTGTGTGAAACAAGGGGCACTTCCAAGTATTCCACATTGCCTATCTCCCAGGGGAGAAGACCCCAGACCTTGCACCAGGATGTTTAGAGGCACAGGGAAAAGAAGACTGGAATGGACAAAGCAAGGGACCTTTGCATAGGATATAAAAAGGTGCAGGGATCCCTGGGTGGCGCAGCGGTTTGGTGCCTGCCTTTGGCCCAGGGCGCGATCCTGGAGACCCTGGATCGAATCCCACATCGGGCTCCCGGTGCATGGAGCCTGCTTCTCCCTCTGCCTATTTCTCTGCCTCTCTCTCTTTCTCTCTCTGTGACTATCATAAATAAATTTAAAAAAATTTAAAAAAAAAAGGTGCTAAATCGCAGGGTGTAGAGGAACAGAACCGGGAGCCCAGTGCAGAGTCTGGCTCAGAGCACTCGAGAAACAGGTGATATACATCACTGCACAAGAGCATGCCTGAATGAAGGAACCAAAGAATGAATGAATGAATGAATGAGTGAACGAGGGAATGAATGAATTTGATGAGGAAATAGGGGTACACAGCATCGTGAAGGCAGGTTTTCCTAGCCACCAAGGCGGCCGAAGCTGTGCTAGGCTGGGAGGAGTGATGTGGGCCAGGTTTTGTGGCAGTTGCTGAAGGCAGAAGGGTGGGTGGAGAGGTGCCTGTCCCTGCCGGATCTTCAGCCTCTGTCACTTGACTAGCATCTGGCTGTGGCTGGTTCAGCAGGTTTCTCCAGCAGGCAGGTTCCTCCACCCGATGCACAGCCCACAGGAAGGGAGCAAAGGAGCAAAGGCGCGGAGGGGGCAGCCTAGGGAAGGTGTCCTCCAGTGGCCACGGCCTATCTCCCTCCCCACTGCCCTCGGGCCGCAGTCCTCCTCCACCGCGCAGCGGCCAGGCTGCAGGTGTGCCCAGGGGAGAGGCTGGCACCAGCCCGGCCACAGCCCTGCCTGTCCGGGTCTGCGGCTCAGTCACCCATGCTGCCGCAGGCACATGTCAGCCAGAGAGTTTTGGTTTGACGTAGCCGGCCTCCTCCTTTTCCTTAATGCAGCTGAGGGTGACTGTGGGGCTCAGAGAAGCTGCTTCCTCAGCTCATTTGGTCTCACGCAGGGTCCAGAAACTTCTGGGGACATCTGAGATAAGAAATTCTTATCTGCTTCTCTGCTTCTATCCAAAGTTTGACTAAGAGAAACCAAGTGTCCCATTTATAACAGAATAGCCTTTGTGCAATTCTGTCCCCCAGGACTAAGGGTCAAAAGATCTGGTGGGGGGGTGAGGGGTGTCGAAGTGTGCTGGCAGGGTGAGGCAGAAGGAGGGCTACCCTAGAACCTCCCATGGCTCACTTGGACCTCCAAACGCCCACGTGCTCCAAAAGAGTAAGCTTTCCCTAGGTGCCAGTAAAGCCGAGGAGGCTGAAACTCAGAGGTATTTTGCAGAATGAAGACACCAATATCAAAGATGAGCTATCTGAGGAGTAAAGCCCTATTTTTGGCATTTCTACCCGGTACCATTTACCACTGAATATTTTATGAGACAACATTCAATCACCTACCCTGCTGGGAGAAGAAGTGTTCTCAATAATCCGAAGGAAGGTTGTTTCCTTTTGCCTTTGGAATGCCCAATCCCAATTCTACAGAGTCTCCCTAGTGAATTTGCCTTAAAGCCTTGCTTCTCAAAGTGTGGTCCCTGGAGCAGCATCAGCAGCATCATGTGGGAGCTCCTTGGACACGCAGAGCCACAGGCCCCATGAAACCACGGACCCATGAAACCACAGCCTGCATTTTCAATAAGATCTCCAGGTGCTTCTTGAGCACATCCAAGACTTGACTTCAACTGATAGTAAAAGGTTTGCATCCTGTGAGCAAAGGGTGATGAGAACCCAGGGCTGGGGGCTGAGGAGAAGGGACTGGTAAGCAGGAGCAAGCATAGGATGAAAATCTGGTCCCACACTCTGCAGAGCACCAGCCACCCAGTGAAGAATAACAAAGGCATGGACTCATTTTACTCACCTCTCTTCTCTGCCCCATGCCCTTCTCCAGCCATTGCACACCGGGTGGTTCCCCTCACCCAGCACAGCGCTTCACAACTGGGTGTCCTTCCTTTGCAGTCTCTTAGTCTGGGAATGCCCTTCCTGTCTTGTCTGGTCAGCAACCTCCTAGCCTTTCTTCAAAAATCTGCCACCAACTCATCTACTCCTTGTCTCCTATATACCTCTTCTTCCCATGGGTACGTTCAACTCGTTTGTTGATCAACTCCCTCATTCAACAAACTCAAATATCTACTTAATATCCCCCATGTCCAGACACTGGGCTAGAAGCTAGAGACTCTGACATGAATGAGATACAGCTCACCCTCTGAGAGCTCACGTTCTAGATAAGGAGACAAAGGTATAAATGACCCTTGACAAGGGTACAGAAACAAAGGTATACTGGGTATTACTTGGGTGTCAGAAAGTATTGTCATCTTTTGTTTAATGTATCTTATCTCCCCAACTAAACTATAGCTCTTGAAGAACAGGGGTTAGGTCTTATTTCAGATTTGAGCAGAGCTTCTCCTTGTCCCTGAGCACATGAGAATGAATGAATGCCTACTTTACATCTGGGGAAAGGACAGAAACTCCATCAGCCTGAGTTTGTGCGGCCAACGTGTGGTAGACCCCCAACTGGGAGACGGATCCGGCAGCTCCCTGTACATGCTGGCCTATGCCACTTCTAGGAATCCCATTCAACAAGGGACTGACCTACATGGGGTCAGATGCTACAAAGCACACAGAAAAGACCTAAAAATAGGATCTCTAAGAGCTTAAGATCTCTTGGAGAAAATAAAGCCCCATACCCATGAGACCATTAGAGAACATTAGGAGATAAAATCTGGTAAGTGCAGAGACAGCTAGGAAGATGTGAGAAACAGTCCACCCAGGCAGGACTGAAGCAGGGCCTTGAAAGAATATTGATTTGGGCAGGAAAGAAGGGATAGAGAATTCCAGGCAGGGAAATACCAAGAGCAAAGGCTCAGAAGCAAAAAAGACACAGGTATATGGAGCATAAGGTTCCATGAAAGAAAGAGAGTGAGAGAGAGAGAGAGAGAGAGAGAGAGAGAGAGAGAGAGAAATGGATGGGTAGACAACATGCCACTCAATCTCAGAAGGCCATGAACATAGGATGTGGGGTCCAGACAGATGCTTTGAAAGTTCTGGGACAGGCCACCCACTGTTGTTCTCATCAACCATAAAATAAGGTTTTAGCTTTCTGAGAAAACTCTGAGTTCCCTTATTTTTTTTCTAAAAAAGATGTTTTGAGAGCTGAGTTTTACAGAAGTGGTTATGGATTGCCTGATTTCCCTTGAGGAAGGCCAGACCACATTTGCAAACCAGCAGGCCTGGGCAGAGGTCAGTAGTCCTTAGGAACTTTGTTTTTTTTCTTAATAAGGGGATAACTGGTCTGTGTTGGGGCAAAATTTGTAATCTAAGGTTCTCTGGCCCTGAGTAACTAAGCTAATTCAGTGGTAGCGTGACCCTTTCCAAACCACCTCCCCTCGCCCACACACGTGCGCACAGCTAGTGATTCGTAAAATAAACTGCCAGTGTAGACATAGAAGCATACTAAGTAGCCAAAAGGAGACAAAGTGGGGTGGGAATCAGGGACAAAGAGTAAAGGGCTGGTGGAAGGCTTTTCCAGGAGGCACATCTACAGGTCCCCACGGGACAGGCTGAAGTGTTTTCAATTCCAGTGCCAAGCTCTGAGTCTGCTAGCTTCTGCATTACTCATGGGTGACCCCACCCTCTCCACCCTTTCAAGGCCCAATTTCTGTTGCCAAAAGCCTGCATACTTCTGGAAACCTTTGAATATGGGAGCATCTGGTGCTCTAGGGACTTAAACTAGTGCAAATTCAAGCAACAAAAGTGCTGGCAAAAGGACCTACCACAAGGAGCTCCAGCCTGCTGTCTCCAGCAGCTCTCCCAGCCCTAGGAGCCATGTAAAACCCTTCCGGAAGCTCAGCTTCCTAGCTCTCTCTTCCTTGGGGTGGGAAGAGGGATTTAGGTGTGTTGGGGTAAAGGGCTTCCTCCCCATAGAAATAAAAATTAATGAGAAATGGAGACTGAGTCCCCGGAAGACAAATCCAGTGGGGGAAGAACATATTGGAAGGGGCTGGAGGGCCCGCACCAAGCACTGGCACCTAAGGGACCCCATTTAGCCCTCACAAAAAAACCCTGTGAGTCTCCATTTTATATTTAGGGGCAGCAGTCTCAGAGAAGTTAAGTAAAGTTTGCAATATTGAAGAGAGAGCAAAAGGGAGAGCCAGGGTTTGAACCAGGTTTGTTTGAGCATAAGGCACATCCCCTATGCCATATGTCTTCATACTCCTGGATTTAACAAACACCCCCTAGGAGAAGGGCATGACAAGCAAGCAGGTCTCATGGCCCCGCAGGGCTGTTGGGGTGTGAGGCAAAATTAGTATTTGACATCTGTGCATTTTCCGTCTCCACCTCGACTTGAGGCCCGTGTATAAAAGACAGGTTTGTGCGGAGATAGGGTAGGGAGAGAGAAGTAGGCTTCTCTTCCTCCTCAGTTACAACTGCTCCACCCAGAATGGAAGCGACCCTTGTAATGAATCAAGTTCAAATCTGGACTTACCCACCTCCAGAGGGGTGTGCCCACGCTGCCCCCCATCCAAGTGCCCTCTGCAGGAGCTTGTGGGCAACTGCACAGCCCACCCTCCAACACTTACCCCCATTCATTCTCCTTGACCCAGAACAGCAGAGTTAAAATCACCATCCATCCACCTAACTCGTATCCTCAAGGTCCTCATCCTCTGCAAATAATACTTGAGGAAGTAGAAAAAGACCCCCTAAGCCAGGAGAGAGTGTTAGAGCCCAGAAATGAAATCACTTCCTCTCCATGAATTTTTAGGATATGAAAGAGTCTTTCTCCCCGCTCTACTTATCATGGCAACATGTGTCACTTCTCTGGTATGTCTTGGACAGGATGCATGTATTGCAAATTATTGACATACTCTTTATTTAGAGCTAACAGGTGAGAAGGGAACATATAATGACTCTTAGCCTTGGCTAAGAACAATAAGAGACTACAGGACTCCAAGTAGATAACGAAGAACAGTTGGTAAAAGAGGTAAAAATGGATGTGTTATAAGAGGGTCCTGATGTTTGGAGAGTTAGGAGAATTCTTTTTTTTTAAGATTTTATTTATTTATTCATAGACACAGAGAGAGAGAGAGAGAGAGAGAGAGAGAGAGAGAGGCAGAGACACAGGCAGAGGGAGAAGCAGGCTCCACACAGGGAGCCCGACGTGGGACCCAATCCCGGGTCCCCAGGATCACACCCCAGGCTGCAGGCGGCACCAAACCGCTGCACCACCAGGGTTGCCCTAGTTAGGAGAATTCTTAAAAAATGTAGTTCCAGGGGCACTGGGGTGGCTCGGTCGGTTAAGCATCCGACTCTTGATTTTGAGTCAGCTCCTGATCTCAGGGTTGTAAGATTGAGCCCTGCATCAGGCTCTGAGAGGAGTCTGCTTGAGATTCTCTCTCTCCCTCTTCTGTCTGCCCCTCCTCCTCCCTCCAAAACAAAACAAAACAAAAATGTAGCTCCACTTGAGGTTGGATCAGAAACCCATGCCCTGAATGGCTAATGGGGTGCAGAGAATGAGGAAGGGCCTTAGTGGTCGAAGAGAGGAGGCCTGAGCAGAGCCCAGGCTAGAAATGGGAGCTCAGAGCCAAAGGGTCTTTAAAACAAACCTCATTATATCTTACAGTGGTAACCAAAAAGTATAGGAACCTCACTTTTTTAGACCAAGAGTTAAATCGGTGGCTGTCCACTTTGGCAACCCATGAGCAGCCATTTTTGAAAAGGACAGCAACGGCCCAGCAAAGAGCCTCCAGCCATTCTTATAGCCAGCCAGGCTAACAAAGTGCTGGGTTAAATCCTCAAGCTGTATTCATACCCCACTCCAACCCACTCACCCCCACACCGTCCCAGGGCCAACACTGGTCTCCTGTGTGTTGAGCCAAGAATGACTCTCCTCCAATCACTTCAGTTGTTTGAGGCATTCCTGACCATAAATTCCTTACCAAGTCTCCACTTGCCCCTCAGCCAGGGTACACAAACAAGATGATTTCCACAAGCCATGTTTATTTAGGGATAATCTGCCAAAGGAATCATTTGAGTTGGTGTTTATTTCTGCACTTCTTCCCAGGAACCCATCACGAAGAACACCGTCGAAGCAGAGGATCTAATGGAATGCTTGAGGCCGCCATAGCAGCTCCGCCACGGTCCCCAGGGCCAGTGTCCCAGTCCAAAAGGACTGCATGCAGGCTTCCCTCCATCGGGCCTGTTCCTCCCAAGCTGTCCTGTCTTTCTGCCACGTTCTGAACCCTCCTTCTTCAGCCCTTTGACCAATGAGGCAAGAGAACAACACAGGGAGCAAGGAGTCCCAGAATGACCAGCATAGTAACTCAGGACACACAGAGGAGAGAGCCGCTGCCACTGCTAAAGACAAAAGGAACTCTCGCTTCTTCTCAAAAGTCTTGCTCTGGTTTTAGAATTCCCCCAGCTGACTTTTTTCAAGTGGATTATTTGGTGCTGATTTCACAGAAGGCCAAACTGGGTGCTGCAGGGGTGGGGGGGGGGGGAGAAACAAAGCACATGCGTAAGTATTTCAATCATAATAGTTACCATTTATTGAGCTCTTTCCATCTATCTGGCCCAATTCTGAATTTCACTAGCACTAATGAGTTAGAGCCTCACCACCTGGGAGGTGGGTACTATTATTCCCATTTTAAGGATGAGGAAACTGAGTGTCATAGAGGCTAAGTTACCTGCCCAGGGCCATCTAGCTTCTAAGTCACAGAGCCAGGATTTGGGCCCGGTCTGCCCAACTTCAAAGCTTGTGGTGTTAACCATTGTGCTGTCCAGCCTTATAAAGGGGACACAGTGTGGTGCCCCATTTATTGAAGTAAATGTAATCAATTCAACAACAACAATAACAGAAAACCAAAGATCTGTTGTTATCTATGCTCTCTAATTAAATAACGCCTCTACACCTGAGGTCTCAAACAGGTGGCCTGCAGGCCAGAATTCACCCTGAGGCTTCCTGAATTTGGCACACAGTCTTTAAAATAACTTGACCGGCTTCCACAGGCCTCTGAGTTTTGCGGCTTTGGCCTCTCATCACGCTTGCTTTACTGGATCTGTTTCAAAAGGACAGAAGTGCTGTTTCCCATAGCGTTTCAATCCAACAACCTCTGCCGATCATGAGGAGGATAGACCTCCCAGGTTTTCTGCAAACAGCGTCACCCAGGTGGTGCCACACTCAGCAGTAGCCACCGTTAGCTGTCATCAGCAGGTCTCTAAGAGGCCAAACAAGGCCTGGCAGTGCCCGAAGCATCACATGGTAATAACGGGAGAGGGACGGAGGGGAAATATGACTGCACACAACTTCAGAGTGGAGCTACTGTTTGATTTGCTGGAACCCGGCCAGGTCCCTGATCTCACGCTTCCTTGGCAGGATCTTTCTCTGCGGCAATCATCTGGGAATCATGTGTCCTCAGTGCTGGTGTGATGGGAACAAACAGAAGTCACCATCCCCCAAAAAGAGGAGGCCAGCCTTCCCAAGCCCAGAGGAACACTGCTGCCTTCATGGCCTGGGTGCCTATAATTAGCCTACAAATAGTATCGTTCCCACTGCCAGCTCACTCCTTCTGTCTTTACTCCTACTCACTACACACCAGGTGCCTCTTGTAGGTGTTGTGCCTCCCTGAGGAGTAGAGGAAGGAGAAAAAAGGAATCCGACTCCATATTATTATATGGAATGCAGCATGCAGCCTTCCTGGCAATCAGATTATGTCAAAACATCATAAGCCACAGAATTTTAAAATGTTAGAATTGGAAAGGGTTCTTGAATAGGATGGAAAATTGCGACACAACGTTTGTCCAAGGACCTAAGGTACCCTACTAGGTTGTGCTTAACCTCGAATGAGCCATTTTGTTTATCCTTGATGAAAGTGCTCTTTTCACCCCCCAAATCGATCATCTTTAGCTCTAATGACCTTTAATACTGGAGACCAGGTATGAAGGCAAGTTTGGTATTACTCTTCTATCCAGCAGAGCGTCAGCTTCTCAGACTTCCCTATGACTTAGAAAAATCTCTGCCCTCAGCAGTCACCTCCCCAGGTGACCTAACTATGCCCACCACGCACGGGCTTGCCACATCCTTGCCAGATCCTTGTCCACCCTCCAGACACCTGGCTCGGCTGGGCCCAGAAGCACTCTCACCATGGTCATGTAGGTAGCCTCTGCTTTTCCGTTTGATTCTTCATCCTCAATCAGCATCCGTGTGGCTACTGAAGAATAAACGTGTTTCTAGAGGGACAGGAGTGGTGGGAACATTAACCAAAGATCAGCAAATGTTAGATGCCAGAGGAAAAAACCATCTACTACTATTCACAGGGCATCAACACCAAAAGGTAATTGAGAGTTAGAAAATTATCGTGGATAATGATAATTTAGTTCCCAGTCTTCCTGGCAATTAAGAAAGTTGGCTCATCAGCAAAGATTACTCTCTTGAGAACCAAATTCTTTGCTTCAAAAGACAAAGCTCCTTGTTTGGACAGGCACTTAGGCAGCAGCAGGGAATTCTTACCTTGCCGGATTATTTGTACTCCGTGCTTATTTCCTTCTGACTGGAGCCATGGCAGGATGGCATTGATTGGCCACTAACTGTGGTCATCTCTGAGAGGGTTTATATGGCAGGGACAGCCCTCACTGAACCTCACATCTGTGAGGTGGGTGGTACTTTGTGATTCACGTTCCTGTCACTATTTGGGGAGGTGATGTCATCCAGTGACAAACTCTTGGGCTTCTGGAGGCCCCTGCACTAGGTTGTGACAAAATCCTACACTTAGGTCATAAACAGGGCAAAAGGTGGAAAAAGTAAATATTCCAAGAGGAGTTTTTAAAAGAAGGGAGGGAGGGACGAAAGGAGAGAGGAAAGGTAGTTTAAGGAAATGAATTCATTTCTCAGACCCTAATGGCAATTATTTATAGCCCCATTACAAAGTAATATGGAAGAAAAAGCTCTTCTTGATCCTCTTTCTTAAGGTCCCTGAATATTTTTTTAAGATTTTATTTATTTGAGAGAGAGTGCATAAAGATGAGCAGGGAGCCCCATGCAAGACTCAATCCCAGGACCCTGAGACCATGACCTGAGCCGAAGGCAGATGCTTAACCAACTGAGCCACCCAGCCACCTAGAGTCCCTGAATATTTGATCTGAACTGTTAACTCCTTCACTTAATTCCTGAATGTACCACAATTCTCCCTTATGGTTCCACAGTGCCCACAGATGATGAAGCACTTACAGATCATCTGATTATTTGAACCTTACCACAGGGCAAATATGCTTGTCCTCATCCTCATTTTACTGGTGAGACAAGTGTGGCTCTGGGAGGTGGCTGAGGTGGGCTTGAATGGGGATTCTCTGACACTGAGCCCAGGGCTCTTTCCTGTGACCCTACCCAGAGTCCCCAGGGCCCTGTCCGCTCCCTCCTGGGGTGGGGTGGGGGGCTCTCACTCTGGTGATGAAGATTTCCTGAGCCCCTGTGCTGTTCCCAGCACTGACCACCACACTGAGATACAATACTGAGTAAGACAGTCCACAGATAATGCCAATGACACCCTGGATGTTGGAGCCATATCTACCCTGCCCTCACTGGACACAGCTGCAAAACGGAGTTTTGAGTTCTTGCCTTACCTCTGGATCAGCCTTCTTTATGTTCTCCAGGCTTTTTACCAGGGTTGTGGATGTCACTGAGCTGCAAGGCAGGAAAAGCATGTGGAATTAACTGGCTGGCACTGTAAATTCCAGGGTGCCCACATGAGACCCCACAGAGTCTTGTGATGAGGGGGACCCCAGAGGGGGAACCATTGTCTCTAGACTCCCACCGCCAAAGCCACCCAGCTCACTGCGAAATCTGAGCAGTGCATCTCTCTGATGGAGAGAATGAAGCATTCCGGAGGTAGTCTGGGCTGAACGGCTCTGACTTCCCTATTACCTACTTAACATCTTTCTGTGTCCACACTGTTTTAAGTGAATTAATAGGGAGGGCCATCATGGGATTGGATTTTTATCATTCACCCAGGAGTAGGGAGATGTAGCCATGCCAGCAGGGGGCAATAGAAGCTCAGCTGAGACACACAGTTCAAAGGCTCCTCCCCTGGGGAAGAGGCTGAGCAGAAATAGTGCCACAAACCCCCTAAGCTGCCAACCCTGGCCCCTTCCCAGCCCTTGGCCTTTGATCTCTTGACCATCTGCCCTCTGCATCTGCCACTTAATATAGTTCCTTTTTTTTTTCTATTTTGGTCTAAGGTAGAACTTAAAAAAAAAATCAGGGTTAAAGCTAGAAGTCATTTTTTTTTTTTTGTCTCAAAGTGGAGGAAATAGTTTTCTCATACATTCTGATTATAAAGTTGTATCTTCTCACTGTAAAATAATTCAAATAATAAAGAAACTCAGAGAGTTAAGTTTGAAGTTCCAGTAAACCTCCTGCCCCTGTGGGATCCACCTTCTCTTTTCACCCAAACAGCACTACTAATACTTTGGAATAATTCTTTCCAACCTTTCTCAATGCAGGCCTTACTGCACTCACACAAAATGTATTTATTGCATCTGCTGCCAAAGTGAGTATTATCTAATTTTCTTTTTTATAAAAATGAGATCCTGCTATATATTCTGTAATGTGATTCCTGGGACATCTTCCCATGCCGTTACATTTGGGATTGTGTAGTATTTGACTGAGTGGAATGCTGATTTAGTGAATCATCACCTTCCTGACAGTTACTGAGGATGATTTCAATGTTGAATTATCATCAGGGCTACAGCAACCATGTTCATAAATCTCAGTATACAAGTCTGATTATTTCTTTATTTCCTAAATCTTTAGGATTTCCATGTCTTTAGTACTGACATGGAAGTACTGATTTCATTTTGAGGGACACCAAGGCCCAGAGTGGGGAGGTGAGTTGATATGGTCGTCTAACTTGGGCTGGGGGCCATCTGCATGCCTGGAGCAAAGACCCTCAGAGAGGCCAGCCAAGTTCAAACCAAGTCAGAGAGGCCCTGGGGAATGAAGTGAAGCCCAGCAGGCAAAGCACTTTCTAGAGAGTCTATGTTTTATGGGGAGACTCAGAGTCAGCATTCTAATGGAGGCCTTTGCCCATTGACATTTCAACAAGAGAGCCAATCTGCCCCAGCAATGTATCTCATCATCAACAGTTGAATAAATGGATGCACGCAGCCCTGCCAACAGCCAAACATTGCTGCCGTATTGGAGCATCTGGGCATTTCCGAGATGCTGGGAGAAGGTATTAAAGCCTTCAACAACACATTTCAACAATAAATAACTTAGGACCTAAGGACATCCATTCAGAAATAGCTTCTCAGAATTAGAATGTGGTCCTTTTAAAAAAATATTTATTTATTAGCAGAGGGAAGAGTGAGATCTTGGGGAGGAGCAGAGGGAAAGGGACAAACACTGAGCAGAGAGCCCAAAATGGGGTTTGATCCAATGACCCTGAGGTCATGACCTGGGCTGAAATCAAGAGTCAGGCACTTAACCGACTAAGCCACTCAGGTGTCCTAGAGTGTGGTCCTTTAAATAAAGCCACTGATAACCCTCAAGATCTGATCTTCCTTATGAAATGTGTATTGTACATAATTCAAATACCCATTTCCCTCAGGCATTGAATGGCACCATTATAGCTCTTGCATAAGATTTATACTTAATTATGTTCCTCTTAAACCACCATTTACAAAAGAGCTGAAAAATCTTTGTAAAATACCAAAACGAATGAAGAGGGTATAGGGATGTACAAGGCCTTTCCGCAACACAGTGAGTGGAGGGTTGGGGTCACTAGAGAGATGACATCTAATCTGACAACCATAGACAATTCTATTTTAAAGTATCCCCTTCTGGGAAAGTGGCACAGTTAGGGCCCTATCACTCTTCCACTTCAGGTTGAGGAACCGCCAGCCTCCCAACCCAGCCCTGTACCTCTTACTTCTGTGGGTCCTCTTCACAATCAAAATCAGAACAGGAAGCAGCAGGATAGTGACACAGACAATCCCCACAATGATCACCAGCTGATTACCACCCAGGATCTCAGGTCTGAGGGCTACTGGGGTCACCATTGCTTAGGAAAGGAAAAAAGCAACAAGACAGTCTCAATATTCCAGTGTAGAGCTGGAAATCCCACCAGATCTATACTAACTCTGGAAGTTGGGAGAGAAGTCCAGACTCCACCCCATACTGAAACACTGGCATTCCACTTGTCCCCATTAGATGGAGAACCAAGTCTGGCTTCCTTGCTTATCCCTACAGTGTAGATTAAGGTGGGTGGGAGAAGAGAATAGCACTTTACCTACAGCAGAGTTTCCTTTTACACTAACAGTTCTATCTTAAAACAACATAACAGATTTTTTAGAGGCTTCAGATCTTTCAATGAGAAAGTGGTTGGTTTCAAAAGGATATATGGTACAACCCTCAGCCCCATAGTCATGATACCAAGTAAAGCGCTTCCACCCATATGGTACCCTTCATCCATTTCCTCGATTCACTCTACATATATACATAAACACCTCCTGGGTGCCAGATATCACTAGGCAAAGAAGCTACAAAGACAATTAGTGCATGGTCCCTGCCTTCAAGGAGAGGGATGAACATATCAATGGAAAATCACAGTCTGGTATAGGGACCAGGATGGAAGTCCATATGGGGTACAGGGGGCACAGAGAAAAGGGTACCTAATTCTACAGGGAGCAGATGAGAAGGTCTCAACAGTTTTAAAGTTTAAAAGTCTTAAGGAAACATAAAGTTTGTTGGGCAGACAATATGGGAAAGGATGGGGGTGGTGCATTACACACAAGGTCTGGAGGCCCAAGAGGATGGGACTTTCAGAAACTAAAATAGTTCCATGGGTCTGGCTCTAGGTTGCAGTTGGGGGCATAGTGGGGAAGTAGACAACAGAGTCTCAATCATGAAGGGTCTTGATCTCAGCCAGGAATCTGGCTTTCTTTCAGTAAGTGATGAAAAAACCAAACACTGAAAGACTCTAAGCACTGGGACAGAATGTTGCGACTTGTGGTTTAGAATGGTGGCACTGAGGGCTGCAGGAAGAATGAGAGCAGGGGCTGAGAAGGAGAGCAGACCCTGGTTAGAGGACTACAGGCCAATACACAAAGGAAGACAGCTAGAGCGTGGTGAAGGACTGGGAGGAAGGTAGACTCAAAGTCAGTAGTAGAAATAACAGGACTTGTTGACCTGTTAGTCTGGGGGTCACGGGAAAGGGAAGAATCAGTACAACTCTCAGGCATCCAGCTAGGTAACCATGTAGATGGTGACAGAGATGAGCTGGGGAGAGGTGTGCAGGGGCAGGTTTGGACATGTTGCATTTGAAGTTTTGCAGAATGTTTAACTAGGATTTGGATGGAGACATAGATTAGACAGGAAGGAAGGAAGGAAGGAAGGAAGGAAGGAAGGAAGGAAGGAAGGAAGGAAGGAAGGGAGGGAGGGAGGGAGGGAGGGAGGGAGGGAGGAAGGGAGGGAGGAAGGAAGAGAGGAAGGAAGGAAGGAGGAGGGGAGAGAGGAAGGGAGGGAGGAAGGGAGAGAGGGAGGGAAGGGGGGAGGGAGGATCCAACATAGAATATATTGATTATATGGAGAATACTGTGTCCAATATTACTTGGGTAAAGAAGGCTGAGGTGGGCAATTAGAGTAGCACTGGTGACCTAAGCTAGAGCAGAGGCAGAAGCAGAAGCCAGGATGTGGTGCACTAAGAGGTTAAGGGAGGAGAGACAGGAGACACCACAGATGGCCTCTTAGCTACTTAGCTAGGTCAAGAAAGAAATATAGAATTGAGGGGATCCCTGCGTGGCTCAGCGGTTTAGCACCTGCCTTTGGCCCAGGGCATGATCCTGGAGTCCTGGGATCAAGTCCCGCATCGGGCTCCCTGCATGGAGCCTGCTTCTCTCTCCTCCTGTGCCTGTGCCTCTCTCTGTGTCTCTCTACATCTATCATGAATAAATAAATCTTAAAAAAAAAGATTTAGAATTGATTGCGGTGGAGGTTGCACAAGTCTGAATATACTAAAAATCGCTGAGTTGTAGGCTTTAAATGGGTGACTGTATAGTATGTGAGTTGTTTCTGTTTTAAAGAGAAGAAAGACACACAGGATGAGAGCTAAAGTAGCCCAGGACAGAAGGTGAGAGGAAGAGGTGAGCATATCTACAGTCTGGGTGGCAGGAGCCAGTAGACAGTGTGATGTGCCTGAGACAGGGAGAAAGTGCCACCTGAGCACAGAGGTTTGGATAAGCTCAGGGCAGAAGGGCCCCTGGGATGGTGAGACAGAGAGGTGAGGATGTGGGCGATGTAGATAGGCCTGGGGGGTGGGTGCTTGGTGGTTGAGTGGGCTCCCACTATGGAGTGTATTTTCTCTGTGAAATGGAAATAGGACTTCTGAGAAGGAAGAAATCCCTCTGTCCCGCTCCCCCCTTTGCCATGTATTACAGGAAGGGGCCTCCATAGACCCAAGTCCTTGGTCAAAGATACTGAGGTGAGTTCCATCCTTGCCCACATCCCCACCCCCCAAAAAAACCACAGCCAACCCCCAGCAAAGGTCTGTAGCAAAATGCAAAGTCCACAGCCACATCCTGACTGTTAACTGTGTTATGGTTTAACTTTAACCCCTCACTTACCGACTTCTCTCAGATCTTTATTCCCCCACACACCACTGGCTTTAATGTACAGGGTTTGCCAGAATAGAGAACCTTTCATCAGAGAACATTTCTATTTTGGGTTCTGGTCTCTTCCTGTTTTCTCTCTCTTCTGTGCCATCTCTCACCAGCCCAGGGTCATTTACCCTTCTGCCGCAGAGCATACAGCATCCAAGTAAAAAAGAACTTTGGACATCAGCTCCAACCCATCTCTGAGCTCCTGTATCTTTAGATCAGGATATTACACGGGCAGGGAGTGAGTTCTGGCGGAAGGTTGGTGTTCACCAAATAGTGTGGAAAGCGAGGTAGGTGCCTAGGACTCTAAAGTTAAGGAGGTATCACCATGAAGATCATGTAAGTCCAGGGTACAAGGACTTGTATCAGGGTCGTGTGAGTCCAGCACCTGAGAGTGATGCCTCCTTCAGCGTGGCACCCTACATGCCTCTCTGGCCTTCCCCTAGTCCTGGCCATGCCTACCAACTACAGGGACCCTCATGCCTCCCCAGCCGAAGGTCAGATACTTTGGGGCTCTTTCACGATCACATGCAGCGTGGTGGTTTTCTTGAAGGACAGGTTCCCCAGATGGATACTGCAGGTGTATCTTCCTCTGTCAGATTCCTTCACTCCTTGGAGCATGATAGACGCATCATTGCGGGAGGTGTCACCCACCAAGGCTACACGGTTCTGGAAGCGGCCCCAGTTCTGGGAGTACCCCACAGGTACACTGAGTTTAGGGTAATAGCTTAACACAATTTCCTCCTAGAACAGAAAGGCAACATATGAGTTTGCAAGGACCGAGGAAGAAGGGGCATGGGGAAGGTTGAGTGGGGGTGCTCTCAGGACTTACCGGGCCCTGGATATGTGGGCGGTGAGGTGTGATGAGAAAGTATTTGATATCATAAGTCATGCACACACATGTGTCCACAGCCTGTGTGGCTGTGAAGGACGCCACCAAACCATGAGCAACTGTCCCGTTGGCAGAAAAGGATGAGGAAGGAAAGGAGAACGAGGGGCTTTCCCTTTTTGTAATTCTCCAGTAAAAGGAAGAAAAGTACACCTTCACTTTCTATAGCATTTCCAGTTGGATTTCCAATAGGCACTTGAAACATGTCTAAAACTAAAACTCCAAATTATTGCCCCAAGCCAGCTCCTTCCAGTCCATTTCTTTTCGGTAAATGGCAAAGCCTTCTTCCAGATGATCAGGCTAAAATTCATGAAGCTTTTTATGAGTCATTCTTAATTCCTCTCTTTCCTAAACACACATTGAAAGTCCCTCAGCAAATCCTGTCACCTCTACCTTCAAGATATATCCTAAATCTAGCCATCTCTCACCTCCTCCACGATTACCATTCTGGTCCAAGTCACCCCTTCTCTCACCTAAATTCCTGCAAGGAGCTTTCTGACTTGTCTCCCTGCTTACTCCCAACTACAGTCTATTCTCCACAGGTGAGCCTTTAGAAATATAAGTTAAATCATGTTACTCATCTACTCCAAACCCTCCAATAGCCCCCCATTTCTACTAAAAGTACAAGGCCCTCTATGATCTGCCCCACTCCATTTTCCTCTCTGATTTCATCTTCTACTTTTTCTTTCCTCACCTACCTGGGTCAATTCGCTCCATCCATGCTGGCCTCTTTGCTCTCCTTGACTACTGGCCACGGGGCCTTTGCACTTGCTGCTCCCTAAGCCTGGGACATGCTTATCCCCAAGAAATACATATGGTTCATTCTCTCATTTCCAGCAGGTTTCTGCTCAAATGTCATCTTTTCAGTGAGGTCTCTCTGCCCATCTATATAAAACATGAACCACAAATGCCTGCTTTCAGGGTACCTGTGTGGCTCAGTAGTTGAGTATCTGCCTTTGGCTCAAGTCATGATCCCAGAGTCCTGGGATCAAGCCTCGCATCAAGCTCTCCTCAGGGAGCCTGCTTCTCCCTCTGCCTATGTCTCTGCCTCTCTGTGTCTCTCATGAATAAATAAATAAATAAAATCTTTTTTTTAAATGCCTGTTTTCTTGTTCTCCATGGCTCTTACTATTACCTGACATATTATGTATTTATTTCCTCATTATTTTACCATTTATCTCCCTTGATCTTGATCATAAATCAGGAGTTCTGCGTGTCTGCCACATAGGCACTTAAAATACTTGGTAAATGAGTACATGTTGGAGCTTTTTATGAAGGGAAGTAAATATTACTATTTTTAAAAGCGTTTAAGAAAAGGAAATGGGTATACAGACATAAATATGAATTAAAACACCTGGTTCCTAATATCTTATCTATTGTGTTTTGAATTCACAGTTCAAAATGTCCATTCTCAACCTATTTTCTGCTGTGACTCACTTAGTGGTTGACATTTAAATGCATGACAAGCTCCCAGAGGTGGACCTGGGACTACATGTAATTCCCTATCCTCTGCCATGATGCCACCCTTTGGGGCATACAGGAATCAAGTGAGTACAAATGACTTTTTTCTAGGAATGAATCTTAATTTAGTTAAATCTTTTATAAACTTTGTGCCTTAATTTTTATTAATAAGTGACCTGAGATAGCCCCCACAACATACCCTGACCCACATGTACATCACCATGCACAGATGACATCTACCAGTCTAGTGAACTAACTTGCCACTTGCTGCTTCAGAGTTCCCATGAACTTAGAGACAAGGCCACAGAAGTCATCCCCCTCATCCTCCCATGGACTCTACAAAGAGGAGAACGGAAAAGAAGAAGGAAACTAAAACACAGTCAAAGCACATACAAATGCTTTACATGGACGATCTAAAATACGTGTCTTGACAACCCTACAAATTGAGCAGCAGCAGCAGCAGCAGGAATATTATCCTCTTATTTGTCATCTTCATGAGAGTCATTCTTCCCACTACAAAGCTGAAGTTGCCCAGCCAAGTGGCTGAGCTGGAGGCCCAGTTCTGACAAGCTCCAAAGCTCAAGCCCCTTGCAACAGCATCACATGGCACCTGGTGCCTAAATTCTCCCTCTACCCACACTGTCCTGACACCAGCAGCCAGGGGCTTCTGCTACACAGTGATGGCTCCTTCTCCTTACCTTGGCATTCTCTCCCGATGAGAACATCCAGTCTACCTTGGTCATGTGTTTGTCTTCTGCTGTGCTCTGGAAAACACACCCCAGCTGAGTCGAGTCCCCTACATGGACTGTGAGCTCTGGGGATAAAATGGTAACTCAAGTCAAACCCAAGGTATCATCTATAGAGGTCCAAGAACTTCTAGAAGAAATCATGCTTAGCCAAAGATCCTCAGCCATAAAATCAATGTCACCACCAAATACTGTACACATTCACTCTTGCAGATGAGCCAGATGATCTTGTGTGGACAAAGTACCCAGAGGCCTCTCACTTATATGACACCCCGTGGGTAAGGGAGTAGCCACGGCCACCTACACACATCAACTCTGAGGGATCTTCATACTACAATAAACACTTTGCAATTCCCTTTAGCTCCCTGCTCCTTCCCCTTTTCTAGAATTTCTCCTGAGTCCCAGCTCCACATCAACCTGTACTAAAGAAAGTACAGAAAATCTCAAAGCCCCCCTTTCTGTTCACCAACTCAGATACCCACATCTGTTGAACATAAACAGGAAGTAGAAAGTTACATAATTTTCATGCTTATATATAACCCACTGGCTCTTCTAGCTGAAAAACTGGTTCACAGGAGATTTTCTTCAATTTCTTTTATTCTTTTTACAAGTTGTCTTAGGACTTGCTTAGGATAGTTCTGGCTATAGTACAGGAGGTCACAGGACTGCTTGCTAATCAGGCCAAGACAACAGACAGCTTTCCTCTTGGATTTCTTTTTTTTTCTGTTTCAATCCCTGCCCTCACTCCCCCCAGAAGATCCTGCTTCCCTTCTTCCTTCTGCTTATTTGTGTGAGCAGCTGACCCCATCATATGCTTATTGCATAAGTAATTTTGAGGGGTTCCTGAAAAAAAATTAGCAAGATGTTTCTGATTTTTCAATAATGTACTACACAAATCAACCACAAAGTCAGTTGAGAAATGAAAGGCAAGATGGTATTTAGGGAGACACGAGCCTGGGTCTTAGCTGGGCCGAATTCCTTCAAAAGAGCATCAGGCAAAGCTCATAAATGAACAGTGCATAAGCTGGCCTTTCATCCAAATTGTTTCTCTGGGAGAACTTGAACTTCCTGCCCAGTGGGAGAGAAGCACAATAGGAGGAAAGCAAAGCAAAAGAAAATATTATGAACTTGAAACTCTATGGAGGGAATAATTTTGAAAGTAATAAAAATTCACTCCAAAGAATAGTAGGGAGGGGAAGTCCCTCTAAACCTGACAGTACACTAAGAACTGAACTCTACATTTACAATGCAGTGATGGGGTGACTGCGTGGCTCAGATGGTTAAGCGTCTGACTCTTGATCTCAGCTCAGGTCTTCACCTTAGAGTCATGAGTTCAAGCCCCACGTTGGGCTCCACACTGGGCATGAAGCCTACTAAAATAAATGCAATAATAATAATTGAGCCATTCTGCAGCTTTTATCATACCAGGCATGGGCCAGACACCTTGTATGTAGCATGTCAGCTCGTCATTATGGTATTTTGAGATATGCACTGTTATCCTCCCATTTTCAGAAGAAGGTGAAAGAATCCAAAGGCACGTAGCCCATAAAAGGCAGAGACAGCAGGCAAACTCATGCTGGAGGGAAGAAAAGCCCAAGCTCTCATTCACTATACCACCTCACATTAAGTGGAAGGAGAGCTGATTCTAGAGCAAAGGCACAGGAAGTTAATATTATTTTTATTTGCTAGAATGTTGCCTATGGTATTCAAAGTAAGAACTATGAGAAAAGGGAATTGAAGTTGGAGAATCGCAGAAAAATTATAAAGTGAGGAGTAAACTTTGTAGAGAAAAGTACAGATGGCTTCACATGGGGGAAGCCAACCTCCATCAAGCAAGCTGAATAACCTTCCAGTGGCTTCCAGGCACATTTGGAGGAGGTGCCTCTACTCCTTTTCTGGCTTGAAGAGAAAAATACAGGTTGCTCCACTGGCTACCAGGGAAGTGTGTGACTAGCCCTAACATTGTTCTAGCCTGTTTCTATGGATTCTCCAATTCTGAAATTGGCTCTTTTTGGCTCGTGCCCTCTCTGTCTCTTCAAAGAGAGAAAAGGCACCTATTCTGTAGACCATGCTTGTATGGACAAGTGTCTGGGCATGGCATCAGAAGACAAAGCAGAAAGGAGTAGCCCAAAAATAATCCTTGGGGAAGCAGCCAATTCATCTCCTCTTTTTGGAGAACTCAAGCTTTGAAGTCAAAACAAAGGGACACCTGGGGGGCTGAGTCAGTTAATCATCTGCCTTTGGCTCAGGTCATGATCTCAGAGTCCTGGGATCTAGCCCCGCATCGGGCTCCCTGCTCAGTGAGGAGTCTGATTCTCCCTCTCCCTCAGCTGCTTGCCCTGCTTGTGCGCCCCCCCCTCAAATGAATAAATAAAATATTTTTAAAAAGAAATTTTAAAATGTCAATTGAAAAAAAAAAAAGGGAAAATGAGGAGAAGGGGCCAGAGGCCACCTTCTACAATTCCTTCTACAACTCCATTTTTTCAAAACTGGATTCAAGTGAGAGATGCTAATTCAAGAATCTCATTCATTTAGGGCAGCCCCGGTGGCGCAGCAGTTTAGCGTGGCCTGCAGCCCAGGGCATGATCCTGGAGACCCTGGATTGAGTCCCACGTCGGGCTCCCTGCATGGTGCCTGCTTCTCCCTCTGCCTGTGTCTCTGCCTCTCTCTGTCTCTATGAATAAATAAATAAAATCTTAAAAAAAATCTTATTCATTTAGCAAATGTTTATTAATCATTTACTCTGTGTTAGGCATGGTGTCCGGGGCTAGTCAGAGGATAAAGAATACAGACCCACGCAGACAGGGAAGATACAACTGGACAGGTATGATAAGTATCACCAAAGAGGTACACAGGATGCTCCAAAGGAGCTCACGAACAAAGGGGACCTGAACAGCTGGGAGAGGGGAGGAGGTCCAGATTCTAGCTCCCTAACTAGACTGCAAGCTTTCCTAAGACCACACACTATTCTTTCAACGCATACTTTTAAAGAACATGTCTAATTCTGCGGTTTTCAAACTTTCTTAAGGCAGCAGAATTCTTTTTTTTTTTTTTTTATTCATGAGAGACACACACAGAGAGAGAGGCAGAGACAAAGGCAGAGGGAGAAGCAGGCTCCATGCAGGGATCCTGACATGGGACTCGATCCTGGGTCTCCAGGATCACGTCCTGGGCTGAAGATGGTGCTAAACCACTAAGCCAACGGGGCTGCCCAGCAGATTTCTTTTTTTAAATATCCACTATTTGCTTTGATGTGGATGAAACTGAAGGGTATTATGCTGAGTGAAATAAGTCAATCAGAGGACAAACATTATATGGTCTCATTCATTTGGGGAATATAAAAAATAGTGAAAGGGAATAAAGGGAAAAGGAGAGAAAATGAGTGAAAATATCAGTGAGGGTGACAAACCATGAGAGACACCTAACTCTGGGAAACGAACAAGGGGTAGTGGAAAGGGAGGTGGGTGGGAGGTTGGGGTGACTGGGTGACACGTGGCAGGATGAGCACTGGGTGTTATGCTAGATGTTGGAAAATCGAACTCCAATTAAATAAATAAATAAATAAATAAATAAATAAATAAATAAATAAAAAAATATATATATATATATATATACATATATATATATATATGTAATCTTACATGGCAGCCCAACAAATAAAACAGGAAAAAGATAAAGGACTTGGGTCCCAGTGGAGGTTGGAGCCTGAGGTCCTACCTGACTCGGTCCTCTATTGACCCCCTACCCTGTTCTCACCCTTTGTGCAGTCTACCAGGTTTTGAACCTTCAGGCTTCTACAGATCATGGTATAAAACCACCCACCTATTGAAGCCACTCCCTCCATTGACAAATGGGAAAATGAACTCCAAAGAAATTAGAGAGATGTCTTCTCTTTTCTATCCCCCAGAACACTTACCACAGGAACCTATGACATATGGACATGGCATCAGTGTGGATAACCAACAGGAAGTACCCAGGTAGAATAAAAGGAATAGGGACTTTGTTGTCAGAGGTGCCAGGTTTTAAGTACCAGACATCCCATTTAATAAATATGTGTCCTTAGGCAAGTCACATCTAAGCCTCAATTACCTCATCTGTAAAATGAAAAGATCAATACTTCCAATTAGCAATAATCATGCCTTGGATAAACCTCATTGGCTACAATATTGCCACTGCGCAAAGCTAGACCAATACTTCCTACACGGCATTTTCATGAGGATGGAACACATGTAAGGTAATAATAAAATAATCTTTCCCGGAACATCTGGGTGGCTAGCCAGGTAAGCAACTAACTTACTCTTGATTTTGGCTCGGGTCATGATCTCAGGATCATGAGATCAAGCCCCACATGGGGCTCCTCAGTCAGCCTAGAGTCTGCCTGTCACTATCCCTCTGTTCCTCTCCGCACTCCCCCCTCTTAAATAAATGAATACAATCTTTTTAAAATAATAAAACAAAATAATTATTCTCATTATTTTTATTTAAAGAGCACTGATTATTGTGGATTAACTCTGTGGTAAGTATCTAGACCAAAGGCTGGCATTTGTTCAATAAAATCTGTTCCTTCCTTCTTTGCACACCAAATCTCTTTCCCCTTCACCCTTCTCTAAGTAAGCATTCCCATACCTTTGGGTTCCTCTGGTAGTACATGCAGCAGCACTGCTTTTTTGAACACCAGGCTTTCCTTTTCAAGCCGGATTTCACAGGTATAGGTTCCCTGGTCAGCTTCTTCCACGTCTTGGAGCAGGAGAGAACCATCATTGTGTAAGATGTCCCCCACCAAGCGCACACGATTCTGGAAGCGCCCCACAGGCACGCTGAGGTTGGCATAATAGTACAGCACATATTCATCCTGGAGGGCAACACAACATTGGGGAAAGTCTAGAGTCACTGGAACCAGACCCAGGAGTCCACATCCAAAAGACCCTGTTCTGTGGAAGTGGCAGCATCACCACCACCATCATCACCACCACCATCATCACATCATCATCATCACCATCATCATCATCACCACCACCATCATCATCATCATCACCACCACCACCATCACCATCATCACCATCATAACCACCATCATCACCATCATCATCACCATCATCACCATCACCATCACCATCATCACCACCATCATCATCATCAGAAAGCACTTGATACCCAGTGAATAAAAATAAAAATAAAAATAATAATAATAATAATAATAATAATAATAATAATAATGTGCTGGGCAATATTCTAACTTGAACAAGGCCCTGTGCCTTAGTGAAGTAAGATCCACACATTCATTTCCTACAGTTTAAGGTAAAATGTAACACCCACTCTGAAGATCCCTCTCTGGGGATTCAGACCCAGAACTTTTGAAACCCTTGTTTCATGTCCACCCTGTTTTCTGCCATGGCCCCTGGACTGGATGGCACTCAAAGGCATGATGCAATCCTCCAGACTGAGAGTTGTGACAATTCCTGGCTGGCATGTCAGCTGTCGCTCATCCCCTTTCTGCCCTCCCCCAGGCAGTGTATATCATACAGCTTGAGAAGAAATCATCATCAGTGAATGGCTTACAGGCTGGGACAGGGAGAAATAAGGATTTCTACTTAAGCCACAGGCTTGTCCTTCTTATAATAAAAAATACTAATAAAATTTTGAGTGAGAGTAGCATTATAAGAATAATGTGCTATGAGCTACAGAAAGAGTATTTCATTGGCAAGCTTCAGGACTTTACTATGAGTAACACATTACTTAGTATGGATTTCATAAACAATCCAGAGATACAAGTATCCCCTCTGATGAGGTTTATACAGTTTCCCACTCTGAGGAGCTCCCATTAAACACCCTCCCTCAGCCTTGTTATATCAGCTGATCCCATCACTTGAAAACTTGAAGCAGCCATGAAGGAGAAAGAGGTGACTCCCCAGCACATAAACGGTGCACAGAATGGTAAAAGGATCTGGCCCTCTCACCTCTTCTGGAGAAGCTTAACAACTGGGGTGGATTGCTGTCCCAGAGATACCCATTTGGAGCTACTGGCTGCCGGCTGGTCATGGCAGCTGCCAAAAGATTATGGAAGGACGGAGGCCAGTATGGCTTAGTGGCTGCCATGCTATGATTATGGAAGCTTATCCAAAATAATAGATAAAGAAGAGGAGACCTGGAGTTTCTGTGCAACACTTGCACTAGGCAATGCCATTCTAATGCATTACTAAATGACATCCATAGTTCCTAGCTCCTCGTAGGAAAACACAATTTGTGGCCTTCTGTTAAATACTTTGCAATTAAGCCTTGCTAGTGTTCTGAGCTTTCCAGTAATCATGGCTCATGGAGTTTTCAGGGATTTCTTAGTCACCACAATCACACAGTGATAACATTTAAGTAATTGTTTTTGGTCTTTCTTTTCGTTAAATACTAAGAGTCATTGCAGTTTGGGGAAAAGGTTACCTGAGGTTGGAATCATCTTTGTAAGTAACAGTTGCAAATTATACTCTTTCTTATTTGTGACCTAAAGATAAGTATTTTCTATAAAATATAAACCAATATACCTAAAGAAACTTAATTATGGGAAGATAATTCAGAGTTTAAATGTCACTGAAAACTTACAGTAAATGTTTAGATATATAAGTATCCTGTTAATCTTAATAATGTGAGAAAGTATCAAAGGAAAAAAAAAGAATCTGGCCCTCTCCTCCGCAGAAAAGATTCTTGTGACATCATTCTCACACCTTCTGTCTGGACCAGGCTCTTACACTTCTCAGCCCTCCCACCCACCTGTACAACTCTACAAAGGGCAGACATTGAGAAAAGAAACAAAAAAAAAACTTTATGTGCATGTCTTCCATTACTTCTCAATGACCCAAAAGTTAAGCATTACCATTATGATAATGACCTTCATCTTCACCGATGAGGAAGCTGAAGTTCAGCAAGGTTGAGTAATTTGCCCAGCTGATCACAAAGCCAAGGGACCAATCTAGGAAGAGGCCCAGTTCTGACAAGCTTCAGAGCCCAAACTCTTGCAACACTACCTCATAGCACCTAATGACCTGTTTTTTCCTCTGCCCACACTGTCCTGACACCATTGGCCAGGGACTTCTACAATAATATTTCCTCCTTGTTACCTTGGCGCGATCTCCTGATGAGAACATCCAGTCTACCTTGATCACACGCTTTTCTTCTGTAGTCTGGAAAACACATCCCATCAGGGCTGAATCCCCCACACGGACTGTTAGCTCAAGGGAGGAAACAATCAAGTCATTCAGGCCCAAGGAATAATCTATAGAAGTCAAAGGCAAGAGGAGACATCATTTAGACAAATACAAAAATCAGTATTAATCACTAAGTAACTCTACATCTTCCCTCCCCAGATGACGTGACACAAAGTACTCAGAGGCCCCTCACTCAAGCCAGCATGGCATTCCCAAAGGAAGAGAAAGACCCTCTAGGTACACACATGCCTCCCAAGTCAGAGGAGTACTGCAATCTTAATACTGCAAAAAGGTTATCTGCTCCCAGTCTCCTAACTGGGCCCCTCTCCATTCCCCAGAATTCCTTTCTCCAGGCTCCTTTCTAAAGAAAGAAGAGAAACCTTGACATCCTCCTTTCAGGTCATGAATTTAGACATACATAAACAGGAAATGAGATGTCTCTGGATCCTAGTTTCCCATGGGTTCCCTATTTTAAAAAGCCCATTAACAGGTATTTTTGTATCTTTCTTCTTTTCCTTCTTTAGTTCCTTGACAAAGCTTATCTCTGACTTTGCTGGCTAATTCTGGCTGTCATGCAGGTCTTTGTAATTAGGCCAATCCAGGGGTGCCTGGGTTGCACAGTGGGCTAAGTGTCCAGCTCTTGGTTTTGATTCAGGTCATGGTCTCAGGGTCCTGGGATGGATCCCCATGTCTCCTCAGGCTCTGGACTCAAGCTCTGGAGTCAGGCTCTGTCTGCTTGTCCCTCTACCCCTGCCCCCACTCATGCTTGTACTCTCTCTCTCTCTCTCTCAAATAAATAAATTCTTTCTAAAATAGAGGAAAAAAGCATTCTAAAAAAAAAATAGGGATGCTTGGGTGGTTCAGTCGTTGAGCATCTGCCTTTGGCTCATGGCATGACTCCAGGATCCAGGATCAAGTCCCACATTCGGCTCCCCGCAGAGAGCCTGCTTCTCCCGTGCCTGTGTCTCTGCCTTTCTCTCTGTGTCTCTCATGGATAAATAAATAAAATCTTAAAAAAAAAATGGGGGGGGCACCTGGGTGGCTCAGTGGTTGAGCATCTGCCTTCGACTCAAGTCAGGATCCCAGGGTCCTAGGATCAAATCCCGCATCAGACTCCCCACAGGCAGCCTGCTTCTCCCTCTGCCTGTGTCTCTACCTCTTTCTCTGTGTCTCTCATGAATAAATAAATAAAATATTTTTTTAAAAGGCCAATACAGGGATCCCTGGGTGGCGCAGCGGTTTGGCGCCTGCCTTTGGCCCAGGGCGCGATCCTGGAGACCCGGGATCGAATCCCACGTCGGGCTCCCGGTGCATGGAGCCTGCTTCTCCCTCTGCCTGTGTCTCTGCCTCTCTCTCTCTCTCTCTGTGACTATCATAAATAAATAAAAATTTTAAAAAAATAAATAAATAAAAGGCCAATACAAAAGCATGGCTTTCCACTGAATTTCCTTTGTGTTTGTCCTCTCCCCACCTTCCCACTCCAGTTTTATCATCAGCCCTGTCTCTTCAGCCTCTGGGTGTTTTGCACACATGACCCCATTCCGTTATCTGTGTGCTGCTCGAGTCATTTCTCTTTTCACTAAAAGACAAAACCAGTACACAGATATTTCTGTTTTCACAAGATGTGCACTGTGCAAAGAGACAACATCATCAAGAAAAACGCGTTTAGATGCTGGCCAGTTTATATGGAGGAAGAGCCAAATGAACGCATGTGGGAATAAACAGAAAATGTGCCAGTCTTTCCATGCAAGCTGTCGCCCCAAGAGAAGAGAGTTAACTTCCTGCCCAACAGCAGGCACACACAGTAGGGAAGACGGAAAAGAAAACATGAACTCTAAACCCTTTGGAGGGACTTGTTTTGAAAGAAATCATAATTAGCTCCAAAACCGATTTGGAATTTTCCTGTAAGAAAGAACTGAGCAACTTTACATGTGGTGAAAGGTATAAGAAGCAAATTTCATTTAATACGAAGAGTGCTATATGTAGAATTAAGTGAAGGGTAGCTAGAAAGCAAACAGCAGCCACCAGAGTGAAGAGAAACTTACACCTTTGCAGAGAGATGGCTGAAGAAAATGAGATTTTCTTTTTTAAGATTTGATTGATTGATTGATCAGAGAAAGTGAGCATAAGCAGGGGCAGCAGGCAGAGGGAGAAGCAAGCTCCCCACTGAGCAGGGAGCCTGATGTAGAACGTGATTCCAGGACACTTGTCCATGACTTGAGCCGAAGGCAGATGCTCAACCGACTAAACCACTCAGGCACCCCCAAAATGAGACTTTCTAGAGAGGAAGACAAACCTCTCCACAGAGAAATACAACCACCACCGCCACCACCACCACCCCTCATGCCAAGTGGCCACCTTACAGGACTGGCTTGTTAACTCTGGCTGGAAGGGAAGAAACCTGCAGGTTGCTTCCTGCACCTCTGGGGAAATGTCTAAAGACCCCCAGAGCATTACAACCCTGCTTCTATGAAAACAAATTCTCTTAAAAACATACTATTTTCTGGGGAAGGGGGGTGTCTGTGTGCCTGTCTGATTGCCTCTTTGTGCACGCTCTTGGTTTGCCTGGAATTAGAGCAACGGCAGTTCTTTTTGTATTTTGCTGAGCAGGTGTTTAGGTCACTATGCACAGTTTTTAAAAAAGATATAGTAATAAAGAGAAAACTAAAAGACGATGAGAGCAAAGCACCTCCTGAGTCATTTATTCTTCTTATGGAGCGCTATCCATGGATAAAGAGAAAAGGTGGGGAGAGAGGATGAACAGTTTAGAAAGAAGAGATGAGCCCCAAGCAGCTCCAAGCACAGAGGTTTCATGAATAGGAGATTCCAACTAAGCCTGCGGCCCACAGGGGCAGCTAGAGGAGGTTTTTTAGAAGGAAGTGGGGTTTAAGGAGAAACCTGAAAGATAAGGAAGCCCTAGGTAGGCTTGCTAGGGTAAATTGAGGAAAGAAAGCTCTTGGCAAAAGGGACTCCCCCAGATTGTGAAAGAGCTCAGCACTTTTGCAGAACCAAGAGAAGGCTAGAATGACAAAAAGCATGAATGCCATTGAGTTCTGGGGCTCTCTCTGGTGATTTCATTTCCTGATCCAAGACTAGCTGTGGTTTTAAAGTTACAATCTAAAATGTAGGAATTCCAGAGAGACTTTCTCTGCAGCACATAGGCAGGTCCTAGAACACCCAGCTCAGAACCCGAAGGCCTTCCTTGTGTAATAGAAACAGAGGAAGATTCAGCTTTCCAAGAAAGAGTTTGCTCCCTGGCTTCAAAAACAGCTGTTTCAGCAAAACTCCAAAGTTCCAGGTTAGGATTTCCGTTTCAACAAACCAAGGGGAAATGAAAATATATAAAATTGGCTTTTGAAAATGCACGAGACTTATGAGAAATCAAGTACCCTCCTTGGTCCCTTGGTTTCTACTTACCCAGTAACACTGGCATCAGGATGAGTTTCAGTAGGCAAAACATGCTGCTCACCAATTTTTCAGTCTTAAGATAAAAGAAAACAAAAATAGAAAACAGCGTCAAGAGAAGTTTGTCACTTTAACAAACCCACAACCAGTGCCTCTGTGGGCCAGCCTCTGTCGGAGACACTGGGATGCAGCCCCAAACAAGAAGGGCAGGGTCCCCGCTCACGTGCAGTTTGCAAGTTGGGGGGGGGCGGTGGGTGGAAGGGGAAAAAAAGAGGCAAATGAATGAACAAGAAAGTAGCAGATGCTGGAATCTGCTATGAAGAAACAAAACAGAGCGGTGTTTGGAGAGTCACTTGGGGGCCGCTTTATATTGGCTGTAAGGGAAAATTAGATGAAAGTGGCTTTTCGAGAGGAAAAAAGTGAATAATTTCAGGATATCTTTGAGGTGACAACCCTAGCCATTCTACAATCTTAGAGTTTCACATAAACAGGAGATTACCAGAGACTCAGAGTGCAAGTTTTGCCTATCTCTCCAACTAAATTAAAATTACTACTTTTAAACATATAGAAAATTTTCTGGGCATGTGAGAAAGGAGATAATTTTCAACCCAGTTAAGGCATTCAGCAAACTCTGTGGCAGACAAGCTGCATGAAATGTCCATGGCAAGGTTGTTTTTTTTTTTTTTTTGCCCTTTTATCCCCACTTTTTTTTAGAGAGGGGAGGGGCAAAGGGAGAGAGAATCTCAAGCAGGCTTCATGCCCAGCACAGAGCCTGATGGGAGGGCTCCATCCCAGAACCCTGAGATCATTCACCCAAGCCGAAACAGTCAGACACTTAACTGATTGAGCCACCCAGGCACCCTTACCCCACATTTCTCTTAATGAAACAGAAGAACACCAACCCCAAGGAGTTATAATCCAATCAGCCTTGGGTTCCTACCAACTACTCTGGTCTCAGCCACGATCCCTGCATCCTCAACAGCCTGCCAATGAAGGGACTCTACCTCAAATCTGCTAGGAGGAAAGTTATCTTTTGGGAAATCCCATCACAGCACCCTGCCCAGTTCTGCTGGGAAGTCCAGCACATGTGGTGGCATTTTAACTGGTAAAAAAATATTACCTAAGAGATTCCTTACCTGCATTCTAATCAACAAAATCCTCCATCTGGAAAATCAGGGTCAAACTGTTCAAGAAGGTCCTACCCTAGGCCCCCCTTATGCAGAGAAGTCAGCTGACCTTGCTCAACCTGTTCCCTTGTCTATGACATGGGAGTAATAATGCAAGGATCATGTATGATCATGTGGATAACAGTGCTTTGAATTACCACATAAGATCCTATTTTTTATAACCTAAAAATGAGATAGAAAACCTAAAAATGAGGAACTCCTGGGTGGCTCAGGGGTTGAGTATATGCCTTTGGCTCAGGTCGTGATTCTGGGTTCTGGGATCAAGTCCCACATGGGGCTCCCGGCAGGGAGTCCGCTTCTCCCTCTGCCTATGTCTCTGCCTCTCTCTCTCTCTCTGTCTCTCCTGAATAAATAAAATCTTTAAAACAAAGAAAACTGACTAAAAATGAGATAGGAAATTTGTAGTGTTAATAGAGTTCAGGGTTCTGAGCATCTACCTTTAGATAGAATGGCAAATAATGATTCAGAATGAACTGGAAACTTTTCAGTTTCAATTTTTGAATCCCATCACAATGTAGATAATAATTGAACTGACTCAGATATACCAAAAGTCACACTATGCTTCCCCAAACATAAGTACATCTGATGAAAACACAGATCTCTCTCAAGATAGCCATAGTCTTCTTCTGGCTCTAACACCCATCACATCCCACCCTACATGGGTGAGCATGATAAAGGACTTCCTTTACAGTATGTTATTATGTTAATTCATCATATCTGGGACAGCTGAGACCACTTCCCATTCTGGATGCATTCTTCTGCAGGGAGTTGTTTATGCTCCCCGCTCTTTGTCCACCAAACAGTTCTCATACATTCTCCAGAGCAGTGCACCACCTGCTTGGATTTACAGGTCTAACACCAAACTCCAATAAGCCTAGAGTCTCAAGGAGGACCATACATTCTTTTTTCAAGTATCCCAGGCCTGTGCCACAGCACTAGTAAAGTGTCTGGCAAATACTGGGTACGTGCTGATAGCTGCCAATATGACCATCACATTGACATCAACTTAGATCTCCTACAACGAGACCATTCTATTCTAAGAGGACACCAGCAGTCCTAAAGGAACTCTGAACCTAGTCACCACACTCAAGTCCTCAGAGCCACACTCAACCATTTTCAAACAAATTTTGAGAAATGTGCAATCTAATGACTAGAAGATACCATTTTTGGTTCAAAGTACTCATATGCACCATTAGAATTCTATGTGAATGAAGAGAGAGGCAATAAATTCATGGAAAAAGCACTGATTTGAATTTCTTTCTTTTTTTTCTAAAAAAGTTCTTTTCCTGGGTCAGACCTTTCATTAACTAATTCTTTGATCTTTGGGAAATCGCTCAATCTCCCTAGGCCTCTTCCTTACCATGAAAGAATGGGACTTCTCCCCGCCTAGTTAATATAGTAGCATACTAGAAACCAGTTGTTGATAGGCAATAAATCAGAGAGGGTTAGGGACGCCTAGGTGGCTCAGTGGTTGACCGGCTGCCTTTGGCTCAGGGCACGATCCCAGATCCCGGGATAGAGTCCCCACATCAGGCTCTTAGAGGGGGACCTGCTTCTCCCTCTGCTGTATCTCTGACTCTGTCTCTGTGTCTCTCATGAATAAATAAATAAATCTTTTTTAAAAATCAGAGAGGGTTTTATGCCAGGTACTACCTGAGTACTTTATACACATTGACCCACTTGATCTTCACAACCACTTTATGAGGTCTTACTGAGGTGGAAACTAAGGCACCGACTGGTGAAGTGACTTGCCTAATAACACAAAGCAAGTGGTAGGGCCAGGATTTAAACTCAGGCATTCTGGATCAGAACCCGTCCCCTCTCTGTAGCGATACTGCTCCTCATGTTAGTGAAAGTATTCCATGTTTTAGAGCAAAACTTCTCTGAACTTCATTTATCAAAACAGGGTGAATCTGCTCCCTGGCTGTTCTTCCCACCCACTTCACCTAGTGAACTCCTCCTGTTCAGCTTTTAGATCGAAAATTAATGTGATTTCTTTTTTTTTTTAATGTGATTTCTTTAGGAAAATCTCTCCTGAGCCATGCTTACCAAGTCAGATTCCTAGCCATAACTTTTAATGGTACTATTTATCTTTCCTTTAGGGCATTTGTCACAATTTCTAGTTATCTATTTTTTGTATGCCTGTTTAATTAAAGTCTTGCTCTCCACCTTCACCTCCCAAGACTATAAAGCTCCACAAAGCCAAGAGTTGCATCTGTGTGCCACTGGAACTCCAGTGCCAGCATGGAGTGAGGCCCAGGGTAGGATCCAGGAACCACTTTTCAAAGGACAGAAAAATACCCAACAAGACCAAAGATACTTTAGCCCAGTTTTCATTTCCTTGTTAGTTGGCAAATACTCAGAAATTCCTATCATATATATATATATACACATAAATATTCGGTATATACCAAATATGTATGTCCTGAATATATATATAGCTGAATAATGAAATTCAGAATTTTACATATACAAACATATAATATCTATATAAATGAATCTTGGTCTTTAGAAATCCAACCAAAGCATCAGATGCTCCTTTAAGCACCTTCTAAATAAGATTCCATTTAAATTCTCAGCTTCTATCCTGCTCCTTCAGATCTTGACATCTACTCAGCAGATGTTCTTGAGATAATTCTGCACAGTAAGGCAGTTCATATGTTGGCCAAACATTTTGACCCGAGCTCACAGTGCTTTCATAATAGAACTCCTAATGCATGTCTTCTATCTCCCTCGGAGAGTTGTAACTATAAGGATCCCCTTTCCCATTATTAACAGTACAGAGGAATTGTTACCCTTGGCACAATGATGACAGAAAAACATCTTCAGAAAAGAGTCTCGTGACAATGAGACTACCACACAGGATGCGAAAATGACCTCCATATATTACAATATTACAAGACAAAATAAGGGAGAGGCGCTGTTTCTGAATGCAAGTGTTTGCCGCTCGTAAGGACAACCAACCACTAAGCAACAGACAACTGTCCAGGCTTCTCTTACATGGCCCATCCCCCTTTGCCTAGCCCACCCCCCACCCCCCTGATGCTAACTAAGTGCTCTCCATTTACCCTTTGCTGCACACCTCAAGGCTCTCATTGTTTTAGGTGTATGAATCCATGTAACCACTCCAAGGCATTAACTTCTTGAAATGCATCCTTATTTTTCCTTCTAAGACCACTTCTTCTACATTGGGCTGGGAAGTTACATGGCTCCTTACAAGGCAGTCTCGATTACATTGGTCAACCCTCTAACCTGAAGGGGACTTTGGAAGTCATTACTGCCACTCCCTGCTTAGACTGGGTTACATCTAAACCACCCTACAGCAGCTCAGGTCACCCTACACCCTTCATGAGATCAGAGCTTTACAAGGGGCATGACAAGAAAGAATAATAGCTTAGCTCTCTTGGGAGGTTTAAGTTCCTTACTTTTTAACATTAAATATTGACCTATCTAGGGGCGCCTGAGTGGCACAATCAGTTGAGCCTCTGACTCTTGTTTTTTCATCAGGTCATAATGTCAGGATCGTGAGATTGAGCCCTATGTCCAGGTCTACACTCAGTGTGGAGTTTGCTTGAGATTCTCTCTCCCTCTCCCTCTGCCTCTCCCATTCATGCATGCTCCCTCTCTAATAAATAAATTAATCTTAAACACACACACACACACACACACACAAACACAGTGTCCTATCTAGGATTGGGAGAAGGGAAACAATGGGGACAAGTCCTGCCATGAGTTGAAGGACAGCTAGTCAGGAGAACAACTAGTCACTGCTCTACCTGAAAACACAGGCAACTTAGAAGCTCAAGTCCTACCACCACCATCATCACCATCACTCTTTCATTAACAGCAAACCTCTTACCCCCTCTTTTCTCTGGGGATCATAAAAGAAGCGACTCCCCAGAAAGGAAAACTGCGCCCACCAGCCTACCTTATGCCAGTAGTCTCTTCCTGCAGAGGTTGAGAGTAGGGTAAACGTGGTCATCAAATTAAAACCTTCAGAACCAGCCTTCTTCTGAGAGAGAAAAGTTTGAATCACTCCTTAAGAAATTCAAAGCAACTGCTTACCCACAATGAGGCGCACCCAGGGGAAGCAATGCACTGAATCCTGCTTCAAGTGCAGTACCCAAGACCGACTCAAGAGACTTCTGCCCGCACAGAAGGTCGGGCTCATAACAAACCAACTGCGTGCATTCTGAAGCAGCTACAGATGCAAACAGGAACCTCTAAATCAAGGTTCTCGTTTCAGTCATCTGGCCCATGATCCAATCTTTATTTATACTTGTGTTCTAAAAAGAGATAATAAATTCAACTTACTGAGGAGAGCCTCATATTCCAGACCTGTGCAGGTGCCATCTCCCCTTCTAGATTATTAACTCTCTCAGAGGCTCTCTGAGGGCAGGGTCTCCAATGGCATCAGGCAAACATTCCCTGAGAAAGAAATCAGCTGTGTGCAAACAAAATACAATAAATTTAAGACTAACACAAAACATTTTTCTCTGTTTAAAATACAGCAACCTCTCTTATTTTTTTCTCTCATCACAGCGGTACAGTACAGCCAGGCGATCACTCAGTCCCTGCCTTCAAAGACATGCCTGCTCAGTCCTTCAATTTACCATGTTGATTTCCTCTAACCATGAGATAGCATTCACAGAAGGCAGGTAGTGTTTTCTCCCCCCAGAGAACCCATAGGGCGATTTTAACATCCTAGATAAGAACTAGGTACTTCAAGGTATCTTTTGCTTGTTAGTTGCCAGTTCAGAATAAATGTTCTCAGTGTATACACCTTCAACTTTGGCTTAACCTATGCATGGCCATATGTTTTCTTGGAACTTGTCCTGTATCATTTGAAAAGTTGTTAAAGGGGTGCCTGGGTAGCTCAGTCAGTTAGGCATCTGCCTTCAGCTCAAGTCATGATCTCAGGGTCAGAGGATCAAGCCCCTTCGTGGCCTCCCTGCTCAGCGGGGAGTCTGTTTCTCCCTCTTCCTCTGTGGCATCCATCCCCACCCCTGCTCCTGTTCTCACTCTATCTCTCAAATAAATAAATAAAATATTTTTAAAAAAATAAATAAAAAGTTGTTGAATACGTGCTCTTCTCAAGGAGTATGCTATATGGTTCTTGAGAAGCAGTGTACACTGGCAAGCTAGCAACTTACATAAATATTCCCACCATGGCCTATTTCAAACTACTGATAAGTTTAACAATGGGCTTGCAAAATTCCTAAAAACTTAACAATCAGCTCTTGCTATGTGAGCTGGCTCCACCACCACACCACCAAGTCTATGCAGGTTCTTGCAGGGGTAGAGCTTAGAGACAAATGGCTGCTTGATGCTGGAAATCACAATCTTTCTCTTTCATATGACAGCTCTCATTTTATATTTAGACACATACCAAAAAGTAGCCAGAAAGTGCAAAGCAGTTTATTAATTGTGATGTAGTAAAGATCTCAAGAGTTATGACATCTGTGCACATGGCCCAACAGTGCACATGCTCCTACAAAAAAACGAAAACAAAAAAAAATGCAGTGAAATGCAGCTGTAAACAGTCCAACAGTCCAACACAGGAGCCAAAGGAATGGAACTGCCTCTTCCAGCAGCAAAGTTTCCAGCTGAGCAGTTAAATGACAGCCTTGGTCCACTCCCTATGGGTCTTCTTATGACTCTCTTTTAGAACTATAAAGGAGTGACATGACGGAACATTCAGATTCAAGGATTTGGCGTCCAACATTTGTTTTACACAGCAGCATACAACATTCCCTCTTGAAGCACCAGTGCACGGTTTGGGAGCTGCAGAAAACTAAGATATTCTCCAAGAAGCCTGGGGTAACTGGCCACATGGGAAACACAAAGCATTTTACAAATTCACATTTGGTGACAGAATTAAGAGCTCAATGCGCAAAATTTATAAGGTAATGTAACTATGAGGAAAGTCTTCAGCAGCCAAAGAAAAATTCTGAAAGGCTTTTTGCCCCTTCTGAAGTTTTCAGAATTAAATTTCCTTTCTAGACCAGACTGGTCTTCATACAGTGTGTTCTGCATAGAAAGCAGCAAAAAGAAAAAGAGAGAGAATAGCACTTGAGAAAATATTAAAAGAGTAAGTTTAAAAAAAATCTCTTCCTTCCATCCTTAAAGAAGGCAGGTATCCAAACACTGATTTTTGCTCCTTTGGGGAGATGGGAGGGGAGAAAGAGAAAGAGAAGAAAAAAAGAAAAAGAAAAAGAAAAGAAAGAAAGAAGAGAGAGGAAGAGAGAAAGAGGAAGAGAGAAAGAAGGAAAGAGAGAAAGAAAGAAAAAAGAAAGAAAGAGGAAGAGAGAGAGAGAGAAAGCAAGCAAGCAAGCTGTAATCCAGACTCAGTATGAGAGCTGGCCAAGGTCACTGACAGCAGCCTTATGACTGATGTGACCATAAACCAATGGAGCAGACTAAATGATCAGCTTACTCTTATCATGAAGGACGCTACTATTCAGTCACTTAAGAAGGGCACTTGTTTGAATCATGATCAAACATACAAATAACATGACCGAGTATCCACACAGCACCATCTACCTACAGTGACAAACATACTACACTGGATTGATCCCCATAACATGCCTGAAAGGAAATTACAAGAAAACCAAGATAAAAAACAGTTCCTCAATTCATGAAATGTGGTTTTAGCTGGGTTCCTGTAGCATCATCTCTTTCTCAGAGAAATGAGGACCCATGAGAAGTCTGTCTCACAACTAAATTTCTATCTTTAAATCTTCTAGAGCCCAAAGTATTGACTCACGTTGCTCAAACATGTTTTCCCCTCTCTGCTGAGGTGTCAGACGGTCTCACTAGACTGGCCTCACACAAGCTCAAGACTCTGAGGGTTAACCACTGGAAATAAACAGTCAATGTGTCTTTTCCTCTTCTACTTCCTTACGTGACCAAAGAAAAGGTATAATGTCTCTTAATGAAACAGATTTTTCTCTAATGTACGGACTAGATTAACAAAAGAAGCCAGGCCAAATCTATACTGTATCTCTTAAAGTCTTTACTGATGACTTCTAGAACTCATAACCCAAATTTTAAAAAATAAATCTCGGCAAAGTGATTTTTTTTTTATAACGTATACAGTGTATTATGCTTTGGTATGGAAACCTTCTGAGCCACCTAATGGAGAATCTCAGACTATCCTGTTGAAAAAACAAAGATGGGAGGAGAGAGTAATTTTTGTCTCTCGTAATTGAGAAGTAAACTCTATCACTCTTTTACGGAGGACTACACTGTCAATCCTTCTGGGCATGTCACACATATTTCTTAATGGCTTATAGAAAATCCCATGTAAATTAAAATTTGGAATAGGTTGTTGTGGGAAAATGGAGGAAGTTAATATAAGGTATCAGAGGAGAGAAATGAGAAGTAGAGGTTATGTACCACCTCACTTCCTTAAGTCAAATATTATGCAAAAAACATTTGTAAATACTTAGTTCACTCATATTTGGCACCTTTTAGAACACAAAGAAGTTCTGAAGAATGAGACAGGTCAAAAAGATTATTTCCTATAAATAGAAGCTTCATTAAAGTCAATCCAACATTTGAACTCAAGTGGCATTTGTTAAAAAAAAAAAAAAGTATTTCCTTGCAAAGAACTGAAAATACTCTCTACCTTCGCCAATAAGTCTTTCAAAGAGTTTTTCTTGCCTCTGATCTGGGACATCAAGAAGGAAACCACTAATCAGTCAGCTATAAGAAAGTAAAGTAACAAACCTAGATCCTCACAAGACAAAAGAAAGGAATCCCTCCAGGTCACCATTCCTTTCCTTAATTATAAATTGATGACACTTTAATACTTTAAAAACCCAGTCAAGGCAAACCATGGACTCCTGGCCCTACTAACTCTACAGAAATTAGAGTTCCAAGTTACATTGTGTCACAAAACCAGTGAGAATTTGCTCTTTGCTGATTCACAGCTGAAAACCTTCACAGAGCAAATATCAAAAGATATTTATCCCAAACAAACATTTCATCTGGTAGCACGTCAGGAACATACGAGCTCCATTTCATATTTTCAAAATATTCTGGCATCAGCAGTGTGGCCAACATTTCAGATTCTCCCCCAAATAACTGGAAGAAAACATGTAATACATTCAAGAGCAAAGGGGAGTCAAAAAGTATCTTTCTATTCAGGAAAAGAACTCCTTCATTCAACTAGAACATAAGTTATTAAAAGGGATAGTTTTGAGTTTCTTCTGAGGGTTCTTGAATAGTTTATAAATATAAAAAGAACATTTCTTCAATAAATAAATGGTTCCTGAAGTCTCTACTGATGACTTCCAGAATCCTCCAGCACTGCCATCCAAGCCAGCTCCTACTTCTCGCAGGCGCTTTAGCTGCCAGTGGGATGGGACATTGTCTGCTAGCAGGTGACTCTTCTTATATTGTGAAGACTTCATCAATATGTCTCTTCATAGTCTGAATCCTGGAGGGAAAGAACAGCAGTTGTGGTGGTTTATATGAAGTAGAATGCCACTGTCAGACTTTAGACAAAGACTTCGTGCTATGACCCCTCAGGTGGAACTCAGCACAAGGGGACAGTCCCAGGGAAATGGCACTGACTCAGCACACCTGCGTTCCCATGAGGCATCACAGGACCTCCATACACTGGTTGTCTTTTGGACTGATTTCTGCTTTGAAACCCTAACAGTTCCCTTTTCCATGACGGATATTTTTTAAAAACCTCAACACACATGAAAAGGCACCTGTCTGCAGCAGAACATGCAGGACCATACCTCAGAGTCTGGGTTTCTCAGTTTCTCTGCGTTCTAATGCCAACTCCACCCCCTGCTGGCTGCATGACCTTGAGTAAAGTTATTAAACGTCTCTCAGCCTCAGTTTCCTTATCTGTAAAATGGAGGGTAATAAAAATACAGACACCTCACAGAAAGTCTACAAGAACTGAATGGGATGATGTATGGAAATCACTTCCCATTGTGCCCAGCACTTTGCAAACACTCATTCAAGATTAGCTACTGTTGGGACGCCTGGGTGGCTCAGCGGTTTAGCACCACCTTTGGCCCAGGGCGTTATCCTGGAGACCCAGGTTCGAGTCCCAAATCAGGCTCCCTGCATGGAGCCTGCTTCTCCCTCTGCCTGTCTCTGCCTCTCTGTGTGTCTCCCATGAATAAATAAATAAAATCTTAAAAAAAAAAGATTAGCTACTATTACCATGATTCTTATTTTTATCATTTAAACTTGGATTCATTACTCCTCCCCGCAAGTGGCCCATTAGTACTACCTGGCACGCCACATTTCTCTGGCCCATTCATTCTTCTATTCTCCTGGATGACTGTCCCCAACCTTTCTCTCTCTTCTCAAACGCCCAGCACCTCTTCCTCACTTCCTTCTTAGCTAATCACTTTGCTGTCTCCCACACTCGGGATAGAGTAGCCAGCAAGGAAACTCTGAGCTCCTGTAGCCATACTTACATGCATCTGGGCTCATCTCCGTGGCCTTCCCTACTCGTCTTATGGATACCCTCTCCCTGCCTTTCTCCAAGATCAACATTCCTGTTGTGCATCACATCCTGGAGCTATGTCAGCAACTTCCCCTTCTCCCTCCTGCGTCATTTTTCCCTTTTCTACTGAATCATGCCCATCAGCCTATAAATGTGCTATAATCTCTCTCATCTTAAACAGAAAGTAACTCTTGACACACATCCCCCACCTACCTATTGCTCTATTTCTCTGTATCTCTTCACAGCAAAACCCCTGGCGAGAGCTGTTTACACCCACTGTCACCCATGTCTCTCTTCTCGTTCTTTCTCGACCTTACTCCCATCTTCCCCACTATTCTCCCGAAGCTGCTTGTGCTAAGGTCACCAATGACCTCCACGTCACCAGATCACCCAATAATCAACCCTCCACTCTCATTTTACTTGACCTGACTCAGCAGCAACTGACACGGTTAATTACTTTCTTTTCCTTGAAACACATTCTTCACTTGGCTCCTAGGATGGCAAACCCCCTTGGCTTTCTCTTACCTCACTGGACGTTCCTTCTCAGCCTCCTTTCCCAATTCCCCCTTCCTCTTCCAAACTGCCAACCTTTCAGAGCTCTGGGGCTCTAGTCTATATCTCTTCCACCTATGCTATCAATTCCACCAGTTGCTCAAATCAAGAATCATGAATTATCCCTGACTCCTCTCATTCTTTCACAGATACGTGAAACCCATCTGTAAATCCTTCAGGCTTTACCTTCCAATTAGAATCAGAATATGACCACTCCTTACCACCCTGGCTCAAACTAGTACCACCTTCTCTCACCTGCATTATTGCTAAGGTCTCCTAATTGGGTTTTCTGACTCTCATGATCCCTTGACCCTGATATCACCTATTCTCAACACAGAAGCCAGAGTAAGCCTTTGGAAATAAGTAGTGCTTCTCTTCTTAAAAACCTCCAGCATGTTCCATTTCTTTAAGAATAAAAGCCCAGATTATTCCAATCACTTATAATGTTTCTAAGATGTGACATTGTTTCTCTGATATCAACAAATGCTATTCTTCACCTTGCTCACTTCATTCCTGCCATACTGGTCTCCTTGCTGTCCCTAGAACTTGCTGTCCCTGAAATGTGTTCCCCTCCACAAGGTCTTTCCACCTACCATTTCCTCTATCTGGAATGTTCCTGCACAACAGCTATATGGCTGCTTATCTACTTCTTTTAGGTGTTTGCTCAAATATTGTTTCAGTGAGGGTGTCCCCACTCACCCTCTATCCAACCATCCCATCTCCCTTGCCTATCTTATTTTTCCTACTGCATCAAGTACCACCTGGTATATTCTATGTTTTGCTTATTTTTAAAGATTTAGTTAGTTATTATTTGTACCCAAAATTTAAGGGAAGGTGACGTTTCAGTTGTGTCTTCAAGAATGAGAGTTTTCTTTTTTTTTAATTTTTATTTTTAATTTATTTATGATAGTCACACAGAGAGAGAGAGAGAGGCAGAGACATAGGCAGAGGGAGAAGCAGGCTCCATGCACCAGGAGCCTGATGTGGGATTCGATCCCGGGTCTCCAGGATCGCGCCCTGGACCAAAGGCAGGCGCCAAACCGCTGCGCCACCCAGGGATCCCGAATGCGAGTTTTCTACACATGGAAAAGAATGTGAGTTATTTGAGGGCAGAGATTTTTGTCACTATTGTTCACTCCAGTTTCCTAAGTACCCAAAATCATATCTGATACATAAGAGATACTCAGTAAAAACTACTGAATGAATTAATATCTGAAATGTGGGGGCACCTGGGTGGTCCATTAAGCATCGAGTCCCACGTCAGGCTCCCTGCTCAGTGGGGAGCCTGCTTCACTCTCTCCCTCTGCCCTCTGCTCTCTCTCACTACCTCTTTCTCTCAAATAAATAAATGCAATCTTTTTTTTAAGATTTTATTTATTTATTCATGAGAGACACAGAGAGAGAGAGGCAGAGACACAGGCAGAGGGAGAAGTAGGCTCCATGTAGGGAGCCCAACGTGGGACTCGATCCCGGAACCCCGGGATCACGCCCTAGGCCAAAGGCAGCGCTAAACCGCTGAGCCACCCAGGCTGCCCAAGCAATCTTTTTTTAAAAAATATCTGAAATGTGGATAATAATCATGGATACTAACTTATTTTGTATTACTAGAGTATTCAAACCCTGAAGGGCTATTGCTAGATCCTCTTCAACTTTCCCCTCATCTTACATATTATATTCAAGTTTGAAAGAGAGAAAAACAAAGAACACTGCAGTGAATAGTTGGGCTATGGTCATCTGGCTAAGTACTGAGCTTGGCCGTAAGTACAAAGAGAACTCAAGTTTAAACCCTGCAATGACAGGTATGTTTCATATTAGATCATAAGTTGCTTTTGACCTGTTTCCAACTTTACCACATCAGAGGCTCTTTCCTCCCAGGACGCTGGGACAACCACGCAAGCCTACCAATCACAGCAAGAGCTTTAAAAAAAAAATGGAGGGATGACAGCTTTGAAAATTTAAATCAACACTCAGGCCTTCAAACATGGGTATTTTATTTTATTTTATTTTATTTTATTTTATTTTATTTTATTTTATTTTATTTAAGTAGGCTCCATGCCCAGCATGGAGCCCAACACATGGCTTGAACTCAAAACCCTGAGATCAAGATCTGAGCTAAGATCAAGAGTCAGACACCTAGGAGCCACCCAAGCAATCCTCCAACATGAGTATTTTTTATTGATAAAGCCACAAGTCACCTAAAAGGTTATATCACTCCAATTCCCTGGAACAACAAAAAAACTGAAGCAGAGCAGGAAAGTTCAGTTCAGGATTCTGAGTCCAGGCACCCAAAGTCTCCTAGTGTGACATTAGTGGCATGGGCCACTCCTCTCTCAGGGTGCTCTCTGTCAGTAGGCAGAGACGTGGTCCCCTTCCCTAACCTAAGGACACCACTCTGCTCATGAGATGAAACCAAAATAATGGTTAGAATTGGTAGGGGCTCCTTGAGACCAAAATACTTTGGGGAAAGACCTTGGTTCATACCCTACTTTGGACCTTAACTGCATATCCTCTGCTGCCTCTGAGGGCAAAGGATCCCCTTAAGAAAGCAGGAAAATGGAACATGAGTAGTAAACAAAGAAATGGCATGGGCTTACCAGGCACTCAGCACAACGGACGCAGAGCCTCGCCATGCAATCATCCCCCTCCTCTTGGTCAGTACTGGAGAAAAAGAAGAAAACCAAATCTGAACAATTACTGTCCTTGGTACAGTAGAGCACTTAAGGGCACAGCTGTTGAAGTCAGACAGGTCTCATTTTAAATTCCAGTTCTACCACTTACAAGAAGTGTGAGTAGGCAGGTTACTTACACTCTGGGATAAAAAATAACCGCATGTAAAACACGTACCACAGGGCCTGACACATAGGAAGTGCCCAATAATAGAAGCTGGTCCCAATCATTCATTTAGAAATGTACTGAGCACCAACCATGCCTGAGCCATCCTCCTGGGCTGGGGATCAAGACACAAATAAAACACTGCTCCTTTGAAGAGTTCACAACCTCCAGGGTGTGAGAAACCTGTTGAAACCTAACAAGTACGTTATGATTAAACATAATAAAATGTTTTAATAAGCTTAAGGTCAAACTGCTGTGGCAGCAAAGATGGGGGAGTGGCCTGTTCTCCTAGGTGGATTCCAGGGAGATTCCAGAGAAGGAGATATTTCAACTGGGTCAGGGAGGATCAGGAAGTGTTTTCTAGGCAAACAGGGAGGGAAGGAGAGGATTCCAAGTCAGAGAAAAGCATGCAGGGGGGTAAAAAGAAGAAAGACCTGAGTGAATGCAGCTTATTTAGAGAAGAAAATAAGCTGTGTAAGCTGGCATTTGGAGTAAACCAGGTGAAATGTCAGGAAACAATGGGCCTGAAGTTTGGATCATAAGGAATCTTGTTAGAGCATGCTTAGAAATAGACACCTCAGGGCGCCTGGGTGGCTCAGTTGGTTAAGTGCCTTCGGCTCAGGTCATGATTTTGGGGTCCTGGGATCTACTCCCACGTCAGGCTCCCTGCTCAACAGAAAGCCTGCTTCTCCTTCTGCCTCTGCCCTTCCCCCTGCTCGTGCCCTCTCTTCCTCTCTCTCTGTCTCAGGCAGTCATTCTCTCAAATAAGTAAATAAATAAAATCTTTTAAAAAAAGAAGAAGAAATAGACTTCTTAGTATTTCTACCAAGAGCTCTTTACCTTTTTCAGGGGATCAAAGATCCCCACAAAGGGCACTCTCTCTCCAATCAAATAAACACATGTACACATGAGCATGTGCATGCACACACACATGCACATGCACAGACAAATAAAATTTTAGACCTCCCCAGGGAAGACTTCCTTAAGTCTTAAGGTTCCTTAAGGAAGTCTTAAGGTTAAGAACCTCCGATATAGACAATAGAGAATCAAAAGAGGTTTTAGGCAGACTTTAGTCACCTGTTTTTTATGGATTTTTTTTTTAAGATTTGTGTTTTTTGGGGTTTTTTTGTTTGTTTGTTTGTTTGTTTCATGAGAGACACACAGAGAGAGGCAGAGACACAGGCAGAGGGAGAAGCAGGCTCCCCTCAAGGAGCCCGATGCGGAACTTGATCCCAGAACCCGAGATCATGCCCTGAGCCAAAGGCAGACACTCAACTGCTGAGCCACCCAGGTGTTCCTGTCACCTGTTTTTAGTAGATTTATTCTTAGGGAAAATACTGGATCATGCCTGCTCACTGGCAACATGATGTTTCATAAATGCCTTCGATAATCACAGTCCAATTAGCCTCTCAGAGCACCTGCTGACCAAGAACAGATCTTTCTTATTTAAAATGGTTTTGCTGCCCAAGGCTATCCTTAAAGCCTTCCTATTGCTTAGGCATTTTCTGTTGGGACACATCAGTTTGGTGCCAAAATGAGAAGGGAAAAATAACTGACTTGTTGGAATTTCCTGTTAATTTTTAAGGATTGTGATATTCATTCCAGAATTTATTTATTTACTTACTTATTAGAAAGGGGGAGAAAATGAGCAAGAGAGTAGAGGCAGAGGGAGAGGGAAAGAAAGAATCTTAAGCAGGCTCCAAGCCCAGCACAACACCTGATGCAGGGTTTGATCTCATGACCCTGAGATCATGATCTGAGCCGAAGTCAAGAGTCAGATGCTTAACCAACAGAGCCACACAGGCACCCTCACCACTTCAGAATTTATATGTAGAACCATAGCATAGTACAATCTGATTTCCAAAGCAGAGACTAGGACCCCATATTCACTGCTCCATCTCTCTCTCCAAATTAATATCCACTAGCTTCACTTCCAACCTTCCTTCTAATACTCCTTGGCAGAACTAAACTTGGCCTGGGAAAAAGGAAAGGGGTAGACTCAGGGGCTCTGGGGACTATCCACAAAGCAGGGCTCTGCAGAGAAAAGGAACTCAGGGCTCCAGCTGGACTTACTCATCTGAAACTTCAATGGATGACTTCTTATAGCCAGACTTGCTCCTCTTCTTCAGCCCTGCCGACTTCCTTGCCATCCTCACCAGCAGCAGAACAACCACCACAGCTGAGGGGAGGAAGACAAGGATGGAGAGGAGGGCCACAGAGGAGAGCATGGTGCCAAAACCTAGAGGAAGAAAAAAGGAAGGTGAGAGGGATGGACAAGGTGCAAAAGGGCCTCCTTTGACATAACTAGATTTTACTTTTGCGTTTGTATCTCTTCTGATAACAACAAGCATTAATTCATTGTAGAAGAGGTGGAAAGTACATGAAATTACAAGGAAGAGCAATAATGTAGCCATAATGCCACTACATAGGATTGACACGTTGGTATCTACCCATTCAGCGTTCCTTCTAGGAGTATGTGGGTATGGGTCTGCAGATAGGAGAGTGCCTATTTTTAGAAGTATGAATCATATTTTACAGACTACTTCTAAACTCATTTTTTAAATGTAATATATGATAAATTTTTCCCATGTCATTAAAAATTCCTTCCCAGTGTTACTTTTTCATGGCTGCGCAGTATTCTACTACACTGAATAATTTGCTGAACCAATGCTGGGCATTCAAGCTGTTCCCAATTCCTTTCTACAAGCTACATTATGATGATCATCTTTGTACATAAATCCTCAAATTTGCCTCTATTTCTTTAAGATAAGATTTAAAATGAGATTCCTGGGTTGAAAGGCATACACTTTTAAGGCTTCAGATTCATACTACCGAACTGTCTTCCAAAAAACAATACTAGTTTCTACGCAGCCTGCAGCATGAACATGCCTATATCTTTGAAATCTTGAGTTACCGTCTCAAAAAAAGAAAGAGAGGGGGAAGGGGAAGGGAGGCAGAAAGAAACAGGGAAAAAAAGACAGGTAAATTTGAGAAAGACCTGGGAGATAAAGCATCTATAACAAACCATAATGCAGCTCTGTATCTCTACATCTTTGGTTCAAATCCAACAGAGGATTAGAATGACCACTCAGTATTCACCTGGGAATAATGTAGAAAAAAAGGTGCGTCCTTAACCTACTTTCCTGCGCTTTCACACTAAAAGGAAAATGCTGCCCTTTGTAACAGAAATGTGCTGCCTCCCATCATTAGAGGGGGCACTCTTTCAACACACAGGCAAGATCAAGGCCTCATAACTGAGGATATGAACAGATTAGGGAAATCAAATGGTTTCTATTTCATACTGATAACAAGCCTCCATTGACTCGGGTTTGCCATGCATTTCACAAGACCTCTGGTCACCTGAGGTTAAAATAAAAAATACATAATGGGGAAACTATAACAGCATTTGATAAACAACTTCAGTTTGCAAAATAAAGATTAAGAAATTCATCCTAGGATGCCTGGGTGGCTCAGTCTGTTGGGTGGCTGCCTTCAGCTCAGGTCATGATCCCAGGGTCCTAGGATGGAGCTCTGCATCAGGATCCCTGCTCAGTGGGGAATCTGTTTCTTCCCCTCCCACTCTCCCTGCTTGTGCTCACACGTGCTCTCTCTCTGTCAAATTAATAAATAAAGTCTTAAAAAAAAAAAGAAAAGAAAGAAAAGAAATTCATCCTAATAGACAATTCAGGGTGGCAGACTGTTCCACTGACTGACTGGCTTATAAAGACAGTAGGTGGTTTTGCTAGTCCCTAACTTCTACAGTAAGCACCATGGAAGTCACAGAGCCTGGCAGAAGAAGGCTGGTGGCAGTAGGCTTACCCCTTTCTGTCACTGTTAGCTCTGTCACGGGAATATTATGGTGCACATCTGGGGGATTCTTCACAGCACAGCTGAATGTCCCATTGTCCTTTACGGTAGGGTTGCTTATGCTTATAGATGCATCCCCTTTGTATACATCTCCAACCCAGGAAATTCGATCCCGAAATGTGCCTGCTGTGGTTGGGTACTGGAAGGACTGATAATGGAAAATCTAAGAAAGCAACACCATAACAACAACAACAAAAAAAGTTAATTTGCAAAATGCAATGAAAATGCAAAGCTAAGTAGGTCCAAAATCAAGTACAAAGGTATAATGGATTTTCTCAGTTGGACATTTTCTTTGTAATATTTGGTTCACCTCCATCCTATGGGTTAAAAGACAAGTTAATACACTTATCAGGAAAAGGCCTGACAAAAGAGTCCTAGGATCCTAACTCTCAGATCTTCTAAATTCTCCCAGAATTCCTAAAGCAGTAGTTGTCACCCGGGGGCCAATGTGGGTCTCCAGGAAACATCAGGCAATTTCTGGAGACAGTTGTGGTTGTTGCGGTTGGGGAGAGTGCTACTGGCATCTTGTGGGTAGAGGTCACAGATGCTGATAAAAATCCTACATTGCATGGGATAGCTTCCCACAACAGAGAATTATCCAGCTCAAAACGTCAATAGTGCCAAAGCTGAGAACCCCTATTCTAAAGTAGCATCTGTTATTTGTGTGGTACTTTCTGGTTTGCAAATGATTCCCACAGATTTACTCACTTGAGCCGCATAACAACACTGAACTATATACACGGGGCAGGTATGATTATTCCAAATTTACAGAAAGGGAAACAAAGCCAAAAACTAAGTGAGTTACTCAAAGGCACACAGCTAATAAGTAGGCAGGGGAAGTTTTTGTTTATTCCTCAAACAAACAGAAGTAGGTATAATATAATCAAGCCTCTCTCAAGTTATCTATCTTGGCGATTAATAAAACCCCCAAGCCAAACGCATGATCAGGACTCAATGAATGTCGGTTGAATTAAAACAGCGCTGCTTCAGATTGATGGTCAGACACTTTGTCACCAAAAGCACCTCATTATGTCTGGTAGAGGGCAGACAGGTACTACAACACAATATGGTCTTTCTCTCTTATGCAAGATTCAAGGCTTTCCTCTTTTTTTGTTTACATGATACTTCCCCATTTACAACCACCAAATTGCCCAATTTTGAAGAGCAACTTCCCAGAGAAGATGCTGAATCACTTAACACTTCATGCATTCATCCAATGAATTCTTATAGCACACTTACTATATATTGGGCACTATGTTAAGCAAAAAAATTCAGTGAGAGCCAACCAGGCATAGTCCCTGATCTCATGGATTTTTACAGTCTAATGGGAAATACATATATTAAGAAATAGTAACATGTGTGATGAATGTTCCAAAGAAAGAGATAAGGGGCACCTGCCTGACTCAGTTGGTGGAACAGCAACTCTTGATTTCAGGGTGCTGAATTCAAGCCTCATGTTGGGTGTAGAGATTACTTAAAATAAAATCTTAGGGATGCCTGGGTGGCTCAGTCAGTTAAGCGTCTGCCTTGGGTTTAGGTCATGATCCCAGGGTCCTGGGATCAAGTCCCACACTGGGCTTCCTGCTTAGCAGGGAATCTGCTTATCCCTCTCCTTCTACCCCTCTCCTGGCTTGTGCTCTCTCCTCTCTCACTCTCTCTTGCTCAAATAAACAAAAAAAATCTTAAAAATAAAATAAAATCTTAAAAAAAAAAAAAAACAACGAGGGAGGTAAAGAATGCCTATAATAATAATCAGTGGATTATTAGCATCTATATAAAAGGGTTTGTAACTCCTTACTGACAAATCAAGGCATGCATGTGTATCTTCAAGATTAATCCAACCTGTAAATTCCAAGTTAAACTGGTGATACTCAAATCCTTGCTACCCGATTAGTGTGACAGGATCCTGACTGACTTGACCTGGACCATGACATCATGTCACATGACTTTAAAGGTCCACTGATCCCAACTTGTGTGAGCTTGCTGAGTTTCTGACCAGCCTCATAGAAAACAGCACCATACAAGAACTGATGCTTGCAGTTAAGGTTTCTGACCCAAGAAGATCCCCCACTGCTTGCTCTGTCCTACTTTTGGCCAATGAGGCAGAGTCGAAAAAGGCCAGCCGTAGTTTTCTGACCACTCAAAATAAAATGAACTATTTTAAGTCTAAAGAAAAAGGGAGGGGCACCTGGGTGGCTCAGTGGTTGAGGGCCTGCCTTCAGCTCAGGCTGTGATCCCAGGGTCCTGGGATCAAGTCCCACATCAGGCTTCCTGCAGGGAGCCTGCTTCTCCCTCTGCCTATGTCTCTGCCTCTCTCTCTGTGTTTTTCATGAATAAATACATAAAATCTTTAAAAGAGAGAGGAAGAAAAAGGGACCACGAATACAGCGTAGCTTCCTTCACTGGAATCCCCTCCCCAACTCCTAGCTATGTGGCATTCGATAATGGATCCTAAAACAAAACTCAAAGCTTGTATATTAAAATCAGAGAGAAGGGTCTCCAATGAAGGAAACAGGATAAAAGAATTAAGGATGCTTTCAAAAAAACAATTTTAACATACAGCTATAACATTCACATTATTGATAGTATCTATGCTGAACTGAGGATACTGCTGGAAGCATAAAGAGAAAGGGTTTTTATAGCATTGCAATCTTCAATTAGACATCCACAATGAGATCCAAACCATAAATGTGTTTTATATGTGTATATAAAGTATATTGCTTCTAATACCGCAAGACCATCTGTCACTAACAGCATCTGTCATCCACACAAGGTGCCACCATCTCCTTCAAAGGGAACTATATAAATCAATGCAGATGTTTATACACTAGGAGACGATGCCAAGATAAATCTACAGAGTATAGTTAAACCAATAGATATACCCACTGAGACAACCTCATACCACAGGAAATGAGCAGCTTTACGAGAAAAGACATCTATGACTGGGACCTATAGAATTTTTCTATCCAGTGGTCCTGGAGGTACTCTTTTTAGTATCTTGAATCTGAAAACAAGCTTCAAAAACATGCAAGAGGAAACAACAAAGAGGAAACAAAAGTAAGCCACATTTCCTCTGAATTTCTGACAATGTTTTTCCTCATAGCTTATGTACAACATCTCACACTGAAGAATGAGAAGCCCTACATGACCAAATGAACACCACATAGGGTAGCAGCTCATCTTCTTCTATTCATATAGAAGCTCATGTTCAATTCTAAGATGAGAAGACCTGAGGTACACCTGGGACCTGGAAATAGAAGGATTCCAGAGCTGTTGACTACTGAAGACTCAAAGAAATCTCCTTAATAGGAAAACACTCACTGATTCTGTACGACTGCTGCCAGGGGTTCGGTATGTCCAGTCGATGGTAAGTTTGTCAGTGACAGATGAAGTCGACTTAAAGGTGCATTTCAACTTGATCTTCTCTCCCACGTAACCCCGGACATGGCCATCCACTTTAATCTCCAAGGAAAGGATGACGTGAATACCTAAAGCAAGCCCAACATGTAAAAGGGGGGATGCATCTGGGTGAGACACATAGACTTGAGTGAACAACACAGAGACACTATAGTTTTTTAGGGCTCTTGTAGTAATAGATAAATATCTTCTCAGGCCGGCCCAGAAGAACAAGGAGCAGGTATCTGCATTAACCAAGGGGTAGTCTTTCTTTTTTTTTTTTTTTTGTCATTTTACAATATTAAATCACAGAATAAATGCTTGGGTAAAAAACTCTAAAACCTGATCACACCAGCATTTTTCCAAATACGGACTTGTGGTTAAATGCAGTACAAACAAGTGGGTCCGCCTACGGCAGCTGAAACACAATGCCATGTACTCACCCTCCCCCATCCCCTGACACACTTATACCCCAGGAATTATAGCAGCTGCTGTAGTCTCAGGGACTTACCCCTAAGTACAGCACAGTTGTAACCTGAAGCTACCACTTTCTCAACCACCAGCAAAATGAGAACAGAAAATAAGAGGAGGAAATTTTTTCAAAGAATTTTTTAAAACTGCCCCCAAGTTCTATCCAGTTGTGTTTTATTTTTTTCCCCCTCTTAAAGCTGCTTAATGAATCCTACATCCATTAAAAGTAAATCACGGGGAAGGAACACAGAACAATTTAATGCATTCTAAAATGCAAAAATAAGATAATCATTTTTAAACTCCCTAGAGATTTAACTCTTTCCAAAACAGGCTCATATATCCAACTTTGGTATTCCAGCTCCACCCAGAAAGAGGTCCCAATTTCTTCTGACCAATCCCCTTTCAAAAAACAGAGTAGAAATTTATCTTCCACTAGGGAGCCATTTTTTAGGGAAGTCACCAGCACTTTGTTTTTACTGCTTTCTTCTCTACTGCAACAAGCCCCGATTCTTTTGTCAGGCCCAAGTCAAACTGGGCAGCAAGGATTCAGAAGAGAACAAACCCACACACCATCCTGAAAACCCACAGTCCCCCTGGTCAAGGCAGGATGCAAATCCCAACTCTATCGCTTGCTAGCTCTATGGTCTTAGCAAGCTATTTTACACTCCAGCTTCTCACCCTGGTGAGAATGATAATTAACAGCACTTACCTTAGAAAGTCACTGGGTGGAATAAATGAGTTAAAACAGATGTAACACTATAAAGCCTGCCTACCCCCAGAGAGTAAGTGCTCAGTGCAGTTAGATGGCTTCAACCTTACCGGGGCCTTCAGTTCTGCCTACACTCTCTCAACCTTTCCCATCACAGACACAGTTATGAGTCATCAACACCTTTACCTCTGTCTGCTTTGAATTCATTTTTCTTGCTCCTCTCAAGACAATCTCGTTTGTTCACATTCCTCTTAAAAGGAGGACACCAAGACTGAGCTCACAACTCTAATAAGACTCTGACCCGTCCCAAAGATGAGGATTACCTCTCTTTCCTCCACAGCAGCCACTCTTGACGTTGCCATGCTAAACCTGTCATTCCTCCTTTGACTTTGCAAATGCTGTTCCTCTACCTGGAAAGCCTTCATCCCTCAGCCCCTATTCTCTCCCACAACCTCAGGAATGGATGGAAAATCCACACTCTCCTCATACTATTCCTTTATCCTAAAATGTAAATATGGTTGAGAGATTTGAAAGCATGGATTTAGAATTAGATAGACCTGGACTTGCATTCTAGCCAAGCTACTTTCTAGCTGTAAGATTTTAATCACAGTTACCTAACCTGTTTAAGCTTCAATTTCCTTAGAAAGGAAAGAATGACAAGACCTACTTCACTGGATCACTGTAAGGATTTGATAAGATTAAATAAGACAACACATAAAATGCTTATTAGCACAGCATGTGAAATAGAACCTTTCAATAAATGTTAGCTGTTATTATTAAAATGAACACCACAAACATTCAAAAACCTTCAATAATTCCTTCTTTGGGCTATGGAATAAAACCCACATAGTGACAATCTGGTCCCAAACTTCTGCCTCCACCTATCTACCCATCCCAACCCCTTCACCATGCCCAGAATGTCTGCCATTCCCAAACTTACTCTGTCCTTTCATGCCAATGTGCCTCGTTTTGAATATGTCTTTGTCTGGAAGTCTGTCCCCATTTCTACCAATCCTGCCTGGTCCTTCCATACCACACACAGCCCAAAGCTTGCACACCTTCAAAATTCTGCTCACATAGCACCTCTGTGATGCCTTTCCAAATTCCCCGGTGCAGTTCAGTGCTCTTTCTTTACTGTTCTCATAGCATTTAGTACATAATGCTCCTCAAGCACACATACTGTTGATTACCCTCAATTTGTAAAAACTATTTCCCCTGTTACACACAGCATATCAAGGGCAAAAACTCACAGGGAAGGGAGCAGACAGAGATTGAGAGAAGGAAGTGGACAGGTCACCAAAAATTCCAGTATAGGGGCAAAGTGTGCTGATCAGATACCCACTCTCTTCCTATCCCCTTTTTGTAATATTTCCAACATTCTGAAGTCCTCTACACTCCTCCCTTTCCAGTGTACCCATTCAGGAAAAGCTCAGCCCTAGATGACCACTCCTATATTACGCCAGTCATACACTGAAGGAGAATAACCACACAACTGCACAGATAGATACCATAAGAAAGTCATGGATTCTACCCATAGCTGAGCCCTTAATGCGGCATGATCACCCTTTAACAAGCCTTAGCTCCTCTTCCTGATTCCTCCAACCTCTGACATTCTCACCATCCTCTATGCAACCTCCACATCCCTCATTCTCAGAAGAAAATTTCTCCTCTTACTTTTTTCAAGAAATTTAAAGCCATACAAACTGCCCATCCATGCACTCTCCTGCATTTACACCTATCCCCACATCCAATCTGAAAGGGTGTGGTATCTCTTTTCCTATGCAAGGCCAAATCCTTTGGTTCTGCCCTGGATCCCTCCCTTCCAGGTCCTGCTTCAGCAGAAAAACGTCTCTACTCTCTTTGAACTCTTCCTTTCCAGAGGGGCTCTCTCCCCCTTCAGACTTTAAATACAAAGAAATCTCTCCCATCCTTAAAAACAAATAAACAAGTAACAATGAAGCAAAATAATAATGATCTTTCCTTAACCCCAAAATACTACATGTTACCCCAGCTACTGTCTTTTTTTCCTTTCTAAGCCAGGTTTGTGAAAGAGCAGGGTATGCCTTCATTTCCTCCCTTCCCATCCACTTGTGGACTGCTATTGTACAATAGAGTCCACTACCATTTCTGGTAAAGGGCATCATGTCTTAAAACTACAAAATCCAAGGTATAAAAACTCCAATAGGTATTTTTCTATTATGATTTTACTGATCTCTCTGATACAGTGACTCCTTGCTCCTAGACCTTCTCTATCCCAAGGCTTTCATGACAATACTCTTATTCATTCACTCATTCTTCAAACATATAGTTACTGAGGATCTGTTTTGTGCCACCCTCTGAGCCTGGAATTAAATGTGAGCAAAATAAATACACACCCTATTTTGGAGCTTAAAATAAAGCAAAAGTTCAACACATTAATCAAATAATCATAAAGACAAATGTATAATTACAAAATCTGATAAGTACCATGAAGCAAAGACAAAAAGAGTGATTATGAGAACTGCATCGGTTATGGTAAAGAAGCAAGAAATGACTAATGAAAGCTTCACTGAAAAAGTTACTTTTTGAGTTGGGCTCTGAAGAAAAGGTAACAAGGTGAGGAGATGGAGAGGAGAGCATTCCAGGCAGAGAATACAACATGTGCAAAGGTCCTGGGCCAGAAAGGAGCACAGTCAGCCAAGGAACCAAAAGGAAGGTGGTATGGCTCCAACACAAATAGCATAAGAGAAAGCTGTGGCTAGGAGGTAAGCAGGAAGCAGATCATGCAGTCTCAGACACTTGGGTCCTTATTCTTAGAGTAATGGAAAGTCATGGAAAATACTTAAACATAGGACTGAGGGAGAAGAGACATGATGGGGTTTTCATTTTTAAAAGATCACTCAAGGGAAGACATGCAGGAGGAGTCAAGGGTAAAGATAAGATTACTTAGAAGGCTACTAAAATAGTCAAATGAGAAATAAAGAAAGCTTGAACTGAGTTGGTGGTAGTAGACATGGAAAGAACCAGGAAGACAATACCTACAGATTAAAATCAGCAAGAATTGATGGTAGCTTAGCTGTGGAATGTTAGGGAAACAGAGATGTCAAGAATGACTCCCAGGTTTCTGACTTGGTGATACCACTCACTGACATAGGAAAGACTAGAAAAGTACCAGGCTTGATAGGAAAGAACGTAAGCTTGATTTTGGATATGTTTAATATGCCTTTGAGATAGCTGAGAGATAATATCTATGGTTAGTTGGCATAGGGTAAAGGTCAGCAAACTATGTAGGCCCAAATCTAGCCTACAATGTCTCTTTGTAAATGAAGTTTTATTAGAACATAGCCATATTTATATATTTATAAATTGTCTATAGCTGCTTTTGTGATACACAGAACCTTATAAGTAGTTGCAACAGTGACCATATGGTTCACAAAGCCTAAAATATTTATTCTCAGGGTGCCTGGATGGCTCAGTTGGTTAAACATCTGCCTTCAGCTCAGGTCATAATCCCAGGGTCTTGGGATTGACCCTGGCATCGGGTTCCCTGCTCATGTGGGAGTCTGCTTCTCCCTCTCTCTCTGCCCCTCCCCCACTCCCAAACTCCCAATTGTTCTCTCTCTTGCTCTCCTGCTCGTGTTCTATTAAATAAAATATTTAAAAAATAAAAATCAATTGAACATATTTGTGTGGACCTGCTTCTGGGTTCACTATTCTGTTCACCGATTTATGGGTCCAGTTCTGTGTAAGTACCACAGTTCTTGGACTACTGTAGCTATATAACAAATCTTAGTATCAGGTAGAAAAATAAAAATAAAAAATAAAATATTTATTCTCTAGCCTCTTACAAAAGTTTGCCAACCCTGGTTTAGAGCAAAGAAAAATATATGGGTTACAGTTCTAAGTAGGAATCTCATTAATGTCTCTCCAGGCAACTCTGCCCACTGATTGTTACATACACACATACAAACTCCACATGTGATTTAAGTTAACCCACTCAAAGTTTAAGTTTCAGAAAATTTGTTTGGAAAGTTATTTAATGCCTCTATGCCTCATTCATGTTCCTTTCTACATCTGGAATTTTACTCATTCTCCATTTTCTTTCAAGATTTAACCTTTGGTGGCACATCCAGGAAGTCTTCCCTGTACCCTCATGGCAGATTAAGGGCACCTCTTCTGTGCTCCCACATTCTTCTCTTAGTACCAGATTCTAAAATTACCTGATGACTTGTCGATCTTCTCCAATAGACCCTGAGCTCATCAATACAGAGCCCAGCACACTGTGAATGCTCAGTAATATTCAACTGAATGAAACCATCAAAGTTTCCTTTTTATGAAACAAAAATTATTGCAAAATAAGCTTAAAAACTACAAGTTCTCAGCAAATTTTGGTTACTGAATTATAGTAAGTACACCATTAATAAATCTACCTACCAACTAACTTCTTGTTAATATATTTGAATTCCATATTCACAAGCATGATTCTCCCATAAAGTTATCAATATGTAAGGTCATTTTGCTGAAATCTAAATACTAGGTAAGTGAGTCTTAAGTGTATAGAGAAAAGTAAGAGCCATGGATGAACTAAACTAGTCTATATGTCAGGATGTTGGTTCCCCTTGGGAGAGAAAGGATAATAACTGGAAGAAAATAGAAGGAAGATTTCTGGAGTACCAGTAACATTCTATATCTTGATTTGGGTGCTGGCTACCCAGGTGTGTTGTTTCTAAAAATGCATTAAGCTAATTATGATATGTGCATTTATATACATATATATATAAATACGGAAATTAAAAGTGTTTTCCAATAAACAGATGTAAAATAATTTGTCTAATCCACTCAAAAAGTAAGAAAAAAATTACTAATCCACTGTTACATTCATTTAGAAATTTTCAACCTAGGGGTGCTTGGGTAGGTTAGTCAGTTAAGTGGCAGCCTTTGGCTCTGAGTCATGATCTCAAGGGTCCTGAGATTGAGCCCCTCATCAGGCTCTCTGCTCAGTGGGGAGTCTGATTCTCCCTCTCCCTCTGTCCCTCCCCACTACTTGTGTGCTCTCTCTCAAATAAATAAAATAAAATCTTAAAAAAAAGAAAAAAGAAATTTTCATCCTAGGCCTAATGTGCTTAGGGAGATTTATATTTTCTCCCGAGTAAAAAATCATTCTTGCCAGGTCAAAATAGCCAATATATATATATATATATATACTCATAATAATTAACAATTTTTTTAATTTGGGAGGAACCAAGAAAACCACATTTAAACACACATTAATTTTATACACGAAGGAATGAAAAAATGTGACAAAACTCCCAGTTTTGTACAACCAATTTCCCGAAATACAAATCTGTCAATATTTGGTTCATAAAAGTACACACTTAAATGGAGAAAAGTGTAAGAACTCTAAGCTAATTTATTGTTTCCACATGCTATGACAACTGATATAACAGGACCGTGTTTATAACTTGGAGAATTCAAATAAGCTAATCATTTAATGGGCCCTATCTTTGAAGAGGAAAAGCAAATAAACACTGATATGAGACCAAAGTCTATTGGCTAACGGATTTTTTAAAATGTTGAACCTTGAAAACATACAAAGTGAAAGAAACTAGCCACAAAGGAATGTATATTATATGATTCCACTTATGTGAAATGTCCAGAACAGGCAAGCCATAGCAATAGAAAGTAGACTGGTGTCTGCCAGAGGCTGAGGGAAGGGAGGAAAAGGGAGTGACTATTGATGTGTATGAAGTTTTTCTTTGGGATGATGAAAATATTTTAAAACTGATTATGGTGGTGATGACAAGTCTGTGAATATACTAAAAACCACTCAATTGTATCTTTTATTTTTTAAAGATTTATTTGTTTGTTTATTCATGAGAGAGACAGAGAGAGGAAGAGACACAGGCAGAGGGAGAAGCAAGCTCCCTGCAAGGAGCCTAATGTGGGACTTGATCCAGGAACTCCAGGATCATGCCCCAAGCCCAAATGAAGGCAGAGGCTCAAAGGCTGAGCCACCCAGGTGTCCCAATTGTACCTTTCAAATGGATAAATTGTATAGCACGTGAACTGTATCTCAATAAAGCTGTTATTTTTTTAAGACAAAAGATAAGTCAATTCGAGTTTATATGGACCATAAAACAAACTTTTAAGTTTGAATTATTTGATATGGAGTATTTGATGGATACTTCTCAATGTGAAATGACATCAAGTTTAAGAAACCACCCATCCAGGCAGCCTGGGCGGCCCAGCAGTTTAGCGCCAGCTTCAGCCCAGGGAGTGATCCTGGAGACCCGGGATCGAGTCCCACGTCCGACTCCCTGCATGGAGCCTGCTTCCCCTCTGCCTGTTTCTCTGTCTCTCTCTGTCTCTCTCTGTCTCTCTCTCTCTCTGTTTCTCATGAATAAATAAAATCTTTAAAAAAAAAAGAAAAAATAAACCACCCATCGTTTCTAGGGTTTTTCCCTCAATAGGACAATATCTGAATATTTGCATGGGAGAGAGGGAGAGAGACAAATGAAACTGGGATTATTTAGAGTGATAGTAGGTCAGCCTAAATATTATATTGCAAAAGAATTTAGCTGAAAAACTGGACACTTGTGATGACACAAAGTGCTGGGAGGGATCAGGGAGTGTGCCAGCAACATGAATATTAGTCATCAAATAAATAAAAACTTCCTGGCATTACCTGCTAAGATTTCGAACTGAAGACTTCACGATAAAGGCCCCCTTCAGAAATTCCCACTTACCCACGGGAAACTTTATGAAGTTTCAACAATCCAAGTTCTACTAACATATGATTTCCTGATAACACACACACACCCACACACAAATCCAGGAAATAATTGCACTCCAAAATGAAAGGTAATTAGGTTGGACTTTAATGCAATTTGAAAATTGCATAAAAGCAAAATTTATCCTAATTCTAAGATTATACCATAGCGTGAATACTGTACTTCTGATATTACTTAATAGATTAAAATTTTTAACATTGATACGCCCTTTCTTGTATTATAAAAATGTTATTAAAACGCTACATTAGGGACACCTAGGTGGCTCAGTGGTTATCCCCCATCCGGGGATGGAGCCCAGCACTGGGTTCCCCGCAGGGAGCCTGCTTCTCCCTCTGCCTATGTCTCTGCCTCTCTCTCTGTGTCTCTCATGAATAAATAAAATCTTTAACAATAAAATAAAATGTTACACCGGTTGCTTTTCCCCCCAACAAAATGTGCCTCTTGGAACGAAATCACAGCACAGCCTTTCTGTGACTAATAAATATTTCACTTTCAAGGCTCTGGCAATCACCTACAAAAAAATAAAAGTACCAACAGTCATGATTTTCTCTCCCAAAATTACTGAGCCAAACTCCTGAACACTAGAACTGCCCCTTCCTAATCAGGACACACAGCCCACAAAACCACAGCAGCGTCAACCGCTGATAACCCATCACAAGATAGCACAGGGTGCCCCCAAAGCCGGAGGCCTCCGTGGTTCCATCGGGTGGAGCCATCGCCAGAATACACGTGAGCCACGCAAGGTGGTCGAGCCCAGGGCTCAGGAGAGCACGGACAAGCTGCCCACTCAGCGGGTGGTGAATACAAGAGGCGCACACCCCCTCCCACTTCCTGCACTGCGAGGAGCAATGTGGGGGCTTTCCCGAGACCCCCCCACCGGAACCGGAAAACCGACCATCTTCCCTAACCCCCCGGCCGGAAGTGGGGGCGCCAGCCGGAGCTCTCACCCTGGAAGAACAGGACGCCCAGCAGTGGGAGCAGAGCGCAGCCACGGCCTCCAGCCGCTCCACTCTGCTGCATCCCGACAGTTCTCTGGATGCTTGCACACCTTGTTTACGGCTCCCGGTAACCACACAGGTGATACCGGAAGTGACGTCAGGGCGGGAGGCCGCGAGAACACTTAAAATGGCGATTCGCAGTTGCCATAGGAACGTGGCATCTTTCCAGAGCCACACCTTGAAAGGTGCTTTGAGTCCCGAGTAAGAGTTAATTATTCTCTTTTGCTTGACAATGAAGTAGGCCACAGACTTTGTGAAAATTACAATTTATTTGTCTGGAATTCCGTGGTACTAAATAGTCTTGATCTTCCTACTCCTCATAAGTCTTTTTTTTTTTTTTTTTACTTCCTACAGATTATTTTATTTGAACTGATTCAAAATAGGTTCCTATAAATTTAGAGCTAGAAAAGACCTAGATCATTCAGGATCAGCCGATAGATAAAGATGTATTAGGCCTTCGTGATGAATGCGCAGCTCAAGTGTCTTTGGTTCGTGGTGCGTGTAGCTGTCGCAGCATCCGACTTAGGACCTGCGTCAATTGAGTGTTTATTAAACTGCTGCTCACGGTGGCGATGATGAAATGACTACAACACAAAAATAGAGGGGAAAGGAACTGGATTTGGGTATCTTTGGGTGGGAAAAGTGAGCAACTCCTGTTTTCATAGTGCTGGAAGTGGCATGAAGAGAGGCTGTCCCATTCTTCTAAAAAAGAGATGGGGTGAAAAAAAATAAGAGATGGGGGATCCCTGGGTGGCGCAGCGGTTTGGCGCCTGCCTTTGGCCCAGGGCGCGATCCTGGAGACCCGGGATCGAATCCCACGTCGGGCTCCCGGTGCATGGAGCCTGCTTCTCCCTCTGCCTGTGTCTCTGCCCCTCTCTCTCTCTGTGACTATCATAAATAAATAAATAAAAATTTAAAAAAAAAAAAATAAGAGATGGGGTGGTACCCTGCTCCAATCATTAGTCAACTGATCCTCTTGGAATCTGTGTGTATTTGATGAAAACAAGAGGGGAACAAAAGCAAGCTTCAGCTTTGGGGAAAGTTTAATACGCTTTTATTTTTCAATTCCCATTCCATTACCAGACTTGAAAGCTAGTCATTTTTCTCTATTAAGAAGGTAACAAAAGAGTACCAAACAGAATAGATGATACTCTTCTTTCAAAAGAGTTCCCAAACTAAATAGTTTGTCATACCCAATCCCCAGTTATCCAAGTCAATGTAGAATTCTGTGGAAATCCATACACATTTATTTATCCAGAATAAACGAATTTTATCCACTATTGACTTCCAGGCTCCCTATAAGAAAATTCTCAAGGAAAGGTAAAATATTTAACCATCTGATTTTTGATACTTGCTTTGTGTAATCTGTAGATTTGTATATAAGCAAATTATATAACTGATGATCCTTTATTACTAAAGGTTATTTACATATGTATTTAAGGCACAATAAAAAATAAATTACAATACAAAACTTCTTTTTAGGAAGAAGATACTGTGGCAGCCCAGGTGGCTCAGCGGTTTAGCACCGCCTTCAGCCCAGGGCCTGATCGGGGAGACCTGGGATCGAGTCCCACGTCCACTCCCTGCATGGAGCCTGCTTCTCCCTCAGCGTGTGTCTCTACTTCTCTCTCCCTCGGCCTGTGTCTCTCATGAATAAATAAGTAAAGTCTTTATTAAAAAAAAAAAAAGAAAAGGAAGAAGACACTGAACAACAGGGTCATATTAACCCCTGAATATTTAACCAAGAAACAAGCTACAAGTTTTGCTGCAAAGACTTTCCATGAGTTTTTAATTACTTAGTCATTACACTATGGAACATCATCCAGGCCATTTGTTTGAAAAAATATTGTTATTTTCAAAAGTTGAATTATGGAGAAAAATAGATAATGTGAGTTAAAGATAATATAGACCTTAAATCTAATTTTTAGTTTCAAAACTAAGTATTAAAACTACTTTTTATTGTAAGACAAAATGAGAAGTATGGAATGAATTCAAAATCAAGGTTCATATGTAAATTGTACCCATTATTTTTAAAATACTCAAAAAAAATCAAGGTTCAGCATCTTTAAATACAGGCGACCTATTTCAAAATTCCAGTTTGTTAAGAGAAAGAGCATCTTTGGCCCAGTCAGTGAAAACTGAAAATATGAGACCATAAAGATGGGGTGGGGGGTGGGCAACTAAACTTTCAGATGTTTTCTATTTTTTTAATAAATGCTACTATACCTTAAGTTTGGAAGGACCCTGGGAGACTAAACACTTTTAAAAAGGACTCTTCTTTCCATAGCCCACTTACAAAGTTTGCTTTCTCTACTAGTATAAGGGAAAAAATGAATAGAGTTGGTTTCATATTGTTAGTTTTGCTATTTCTTTGTCCCATACCAAATCCTCCCTCCCACAAAGTAAGCAAGTAAATAAAAGCAAAAATAAAATAAAAGGAAAAAATAAATAATCTCATCCAGTTCTCAGAGCTTTATATAATACTGTACAAAATTAACATTTAGGGTTGATTTTTTTCACCAGCCCTAAATTTTTATAGTTGTAATATACTATTTCAGAATCCTTACATGTAACTGCTTAATGACTCCAGTCTGCAAGTGAGCAAAGATTTTGCTCTGTTGTTATAGATAGCTGAGTAGTAAGCTAAACAGTATCCACTGCTCATGAAAGACCTGCACCGTCAGTTTTCACAACACAGTGAAAAAGGTAACAAGTGATTCGTCCTAAAGTGGCATTTGTCAACCTACGAGCATTTATGTAAACTTTTCTAACTACTTTAACTACTTTATGATTTAGATTTGTGCTATTGTAAAACTTGGACCAACAATACAAAAAAAACAAACGTCATCTAGGATACTGAAAGAAATTCAATAAAACAAGATGTGCCCCATACCTAAGGACAGCCATAAAAAATCAAACTGTTCTTTAACAGTTTAAGATTTTCTGTTAATCAATCAAAAACAGCTGAATTAGTTCACCCTCTGATTGAGAGTGAGAAGGAAAGAGTAAACACATTAACCTTAGCAGGAGTGCTACTCTAAAGAAACTAATATATTAAAGGAAATGTCATGACAGACAAGATGGCTTTCATCTATTTGATACCACTGTATGTGTATACAATTAATAATCCACAAGGAGTGTTTAAGGGCAAAAATGTAACTTCTCAGTATAAAAAGCTAAAAATGAGCATTTAAAAAAATATTTGCACTCTGAAATTAAATAAAACCTTAGTAATGGGCTGTGTGTGAGTTTGTTGGTATCTGCTCAAGAGGGCCCTATGCCAGTTCCAGAGAGATGTTGCTTATCTACATGGCTATGTACTGCAGAGCTGGTTGGAAGACAGGTCACAACTGGAAAAGCCAAAGAAAAGCTTCCATCAACTTCAGCTTATCCTAGGGTTCTTGTTCTTGGGAATCTTCGGCCTCCTGAAATACAAAAATTTAAATGGATAATGCATTTGGGAAGAGTGCATAGAGGTACCTGGAATTATGAATTACATATATATTATTAGATATGTTCTCCACTATGAAAGAAAATATTTTTAATGTACTTGTTCTCCTCTTTGTTCAACTTTTAAAAGATGTTTCCTGATCTTTATTACATAGTTCTCAGTGTCAGTGTCCTTAATCCATAGCCTCTGCCTTGCATGGACACTGGGATGATCCATAGCTCACTCATACCCATGCATGCCTTCTCTTTCTCTGTCTCTCTCTCTCCCTCTCCTTCTCCCTCCTTTTATTATAAACAAAATCAAGCACACAGAAAAATAGAAAAGACAGTGTATAGAAATCACCCATCACCTAATTTTAAAGCATTTTGATATTATTTGCCATATATTTATTTGGCCTTTAATTTGTTATATATAAATGAATACATATACAAATTTAAGTGTAATAAATTAATATTATATATAAATGTATATTTAAAATAGGGTCACTTTCCTCTGTAACCACAATACCTTTATTATACCTAATAGAAATGAACAGTAATTCCCTAATATTATCCATATTCAAAATTTTCATATTCAAGACTCCCACTTGTCCCCCCTCAAATTTTTTTACAACTCGTTTGTTCAAACTAGTATCCATCCAGGGAGGACATCTAGTCATATTGCACTTGATTGTGTTAATTTCTTAAATTTATTTTCAGTTCCATCTTCATTTTCTATGACCCTAACTTGTTAGAGGATCTGCTTGGTTTTAAAAAGACAATAGCCCTTGGTAAAATCTCTCTGATACCAAATTCTTCTGGGTTTACAATATAATCATTTCTCTCCATATTCTATTTTATAAATTCTTGAGGCCTTTCCCTGAAGCTTTAGCCTCCAAAAATGTGACTCTCTTTGCAAATAATAATATTGGACCTACTTCAGAGAATAGAAAACATTCTGATGATACAAAAATTAAATCATCCTACCTATTAAGCATAATAAACCTGAAAACTGGAAAAAAAAACTACACACTACTAAAAAATAGATTCATGGTTCCAATAACTCAATGAAAAGAGTAGAAATGAATCCCAAGTAGTATAAAAGTTCTTTCTTAATGTCAGACATACCTGTTGAGTCATTCTCTTGATGCCATGATTGGTTTAAAACAAAACAAGTAGATATTACTTCTTTCATTTAAAAAAATAAAGAGGGATCCCTGGTGGCTCAGCGGTTTAATGCCTGCCTTTGGCCCAGGGCGCAATCCTGGAGACCCAGGATCGAATCCCACGTCGGGCTCCCTGTGCATGGAGCCTGCTTCTCCCTCTGCCTATCTCTCTGCCTCTCTCTCTCTGTGTGTGTGACTATCATAAATAAAATTTTAAAAAAATTAAATGTTTAAAAAAATAAAATAAAAAATAAAGATTTATTTACATGCTGAAAGTGAATTTATTATTCTCGGTTATGGTAAGCATAACCACAAGGCCTCAAATAATCTTAGAATTCTCCCATCTTCAATGGCAACAGGGTCTAACTGCCTCATTCTTTGCACAAAACAAAAAAGAGGAACTGTCCATAACACTAATAGAAGACTTTTATCTCCCTGACCCAGCTTCTCTAATTTCGTGTAGAAAACACCAAACAGTCCTAAAATCTGGGAAATCCACCTTAGAGATGGACCAGACAAGAAAGCTAAGGAAAGAAATCAACCATCTATGAGCCTCACCATGTAAGAATGTTAGTCTATGTCTTCTAAATAAACAGAGACCTTTTTTTCTTGGTTAAGCCTTTCCTCTTCTTTTCTGTAACAAAGAAGCAGAAACCAACTTCAGGTGAAAATGACAAGAAGCAAGGGAGGCAAATCTTAGAAAACTTTGGGCAATGTATCCCCCCACCCCATTTTGAGAAGCATTACATGTATCTGGGAATAGATCCAAGTTCACAGAGAGCTAAAACACTAGTGCCATCTATCTAATCATACACATGCCTCCACATGACCCTGGGTATCTGAACTTCTACATTCTTCAGAATACTTTTAGACGGGAATACAATTTGGAAACTTGAAGGATTTAAAGAAGACACCTTAGTTTATCATTAGTATCCAGCCCCTAATTCCATTCCTTATTCAGAAAAGAAAAAAAAAAAGCTTTGTGTTGACCTAAAAGTCATCTTTATTCCTTTGTAGTCAAACTCTAAAGTCGGAATTGGGTTCATTCGGCTCCTTAAAATCAATTGTATTTACTTCAGTAAATATTTCTTGAGGAAAAGAAACAAATGGTGCTGGGACAACTGGAAAAATGCAAAAGAATGAATTTAGACTCCTACTTCACTCCATATACAAAAATTAACTCAAAATGAATCAAAGACCTACCATAAGAGTTAAAACTGTAAAACTCTTAGAAGAAAGCAAGCACAAATCTTCATGGCTTTGGATTAAGCAATGATTTCTTAGATATGACACCAATAGCAGAAGCAACAAAAGAAAAAATAGATGAATTGGACTTCATCAAAATTAAAAAGTTCTGTGCTTCAAGGAACTTGAAGAAAGTGAAAAGGCAACCCACAAAAACAACCCAACTTTTAAATGGGCAAAACATTTGAATAGATAGATCTCCAAATAAGATATGCAAATGGCCAATAAACACATAGAAAGATTTTCAGCATCATTAGTCGTTAGGAAAATGCAAATCAAAACCTCAGTGACATATAACTCCACACCCACTAGGTGGCTATAATCAAAAGATCAGACAAGTGTTGTCAAGGATATGGACAAATTGGAAGCTCATACATTGGTGATGGAAGTATAGAATGATGTAGCTGTCTTTTACAACAGTCTGGCAATCCCTCAAAAAGGTAAACAGAGAGTTACCATGTCTTCCAACAATTCCACTCCTAGGTATATACCAGGAGAATTAAAAACAAATATCTTAGGGGCTCAGTCAGTTGGGCATCTGCCTTCTATTCAGGTCATGATCTCAGGGTCCTGGGACTGAGCCCCACGTTGAGCTCCCTACTCAGCAGGGAGTCTGCTTCTCCCTCTGTTCTCTCTCTCTCTCAAATAAATAAATAAAATCTTAAATATATATATGTCTATACAAAAATTTATAAATAAATGTTCATAGCAGCTTTAGTCATACTGGCCAAAAAGTAGAGAAAATCTAAGTGTCCGTCAATTGAATGGATAAACAAAATGTGGTATGTATGTGCCATGGAATATTATACCGCCGTGAGAAAGAATGCAGTACTACTACCATATGCTGTACATGGATGAACTTTGAAAATATTCTACTAAGTCAAAGAAGTAGACATAAAAGGCCACACTGTATGATTATCCATTTATATGAAATGTCCAGAATAAGTATAGGAATGCTGGCCACACTGGCTGCCTCTTTGACCCACCCTCTTCTTGTAGTGTGCTTAATGACCTCTTCAGGGCTACAAGTTCTAGAGTAATGTATAAGATATAATGTAAAAGATGAATGTACAAACTCCACACTCACATTCTAAACACCAGAATGCCCAGGGAGTCTATTCCTGATTTCAGTGGGCCTATTAAGATACTGGTGCAGATATCAGTTTTCTGCAGTGGCACAGATGGTGCCAGAAGGTCTGCTAAACTTTAGTGATCACTCACGTGTATGAGAACACTCCCCACACATCCTGCTCCTTTAAAACCAGCAAACTAAACATGGGACTTCTGAGAAGACTAGCTGTGTAGACTAGCTGTCCAGGTGGCAATCCTCCTGACCCTCCCTGTCAGTAAGTCACTCAACATTAAACTCTGTATTCCGTATGGAGTTGCCTGCTTTGTTTTTCAGTTTCAAAATGCCTTCTCATTTCGGGGGCACTTGTTCTCCTGCCTTTGAACAATAGGAAAATCTATAGAGACAGAACATAGATTAGTAGTTGTCAGGGGCAGGTGGAAAGGGACAATGGTGATGGCTAAGGGTATGGAGTTTCTTTTAGGGTGGTGAAAATTCTGGAATTAGTGAGTGATAATTACACAACTTTGTGAATATTAAGAAGGTGAATGTTAGGGACGCCTAGGTGGGTCAGTGGTTGAGCTTCTGCCCTCAGCTCAGGGTATGAACCCACGGTCCTGGGCTCAAGTCATGCATCAGACTCCTTTCAGGAAGCCTGCTTCTCCCTCTGCCTGTGTCTCGCCTCTCTCTCAGTGTGTCTCTCATGAATAAATAAAATCTTAAAAAAAAAAAGGTGAGTGTTTATAGTAGGTAAATTTCATCTCAAAAAAATATTTATTGAGCACCTTCTATCAGCATGGCTGACTTTCCATAGTGCCCATGCTGACTGCCCAGGGGTTCTTACAAATGTACACTTTACATTAGAAGTAAGCAATATCTTGGGCAGCCCGGGTGGCTCAGCGGTTTAGTGCCGCCTTCAGCCCAGGGCGTGATCCTGGAGACCCGGAATCGAGTCCCACGTTGGGCTCCCTGCACGGAGCCTGCTTCTCCCTCTGCCTGTGTCTGCCCCTCTCTCTCCCCCTCTGTCTTTATGAATAAATAAAATCTTTAAAAAAAATAGAAGTAAGCAATATCCTAGAAAAGCTTTACATAATCAGATTCTGATAACATTAAATCCTTCATAATAAAACCTACAATGAAATCTTCTATAAAATTAAGAAAGCTTTTGTAAAGTTACTAAATCACACCCTAATTTATCCATCCTGTGAATTTGAATTCTTTCCCAAGACTTACTCAGAGGGAAGAACATCTGTTCCACAATCTTTTAGCTCAAGTGTAAAATACCAAAAGTCATGATAAAAGAGCATTAAAAGACTCCTCAGAACTGCCCAGCCTTACGGTCTTATCTCCACCACTTTATGAGCTCTTTCAGCCCATCGCTTCTTCCGAAAATGCTGGACGAGGACCACCACGATTACTATTATGACCATCAGTGCACAGGCAGAGCCAATGGCCAGAGCCAGGAAGTAGATCTCAGAGAAGCGGACTGTAAGGAGAAAAAGGGAATCTCATGTTTCTAAAAAGAGAAGGAACATGATGAAATCTAAAGAGATAAGGATGTATTTTCATCATTAAATGGAATCTTCCTTTCTCCTGCAGTATTACCTTGTGAATTCTAGTAGCAGTAAAAAAGCCACACAGACTACTTTAGTGGTTCTCAAACTGTGATCCCAGAAGTAACAGCAGCACTCTTAAAAACTTTGAAATGCAAATTATCAGGCACCTCCTGAATTCGAGGTAGGGTCCAGCAAATCTGTTTTAACAGGTCCTCCAAGTTATTCTGACATAGGCTAAAACTTTGAGAACTCTGAGCCAGTGGAACCACCTAGGGGGGGTAAGTTTATTGCTGACCTAATCAAATCCAGCACCCAAACTGTTTCTCCTGGATTCCCTCTCACCTCTGGCATTCGGTCGGTCATTATCCAACTTATTAAGGGCCTAGTATGTTCAGACATCGTGATAATTGCAAAGCCAAAAAAGACATTACCTCCAAGGAACTCATGCCCACTGGGAAGATAGGCAAGGAAATCAGTAACCATAGTCTAGTAGATAAAACGATGCAAGAAGGAGCACAGAGGGAAAGATCCCTGGGTCTTCTGTCTTTTAGTTTGATTTCTGATTTAAACATCAGTTAAGCTCATGGCGCCTGGGCAGCTTAGTCAGTTAAGCATCTGCCTTCAGCTCAGATCATGATCTCGGGGTCCTGGGATTGAGCCCCAAGTCCCTGCTCAGCGGGGACTGAGGGCATCTGCTTCCCCTTTTTCCTCTGTGCTCTCTCCCCTTCTCATGCTCTCTCTCTCTCTCTCAAATAAATAAATAAATAGATTCTTTTAAAAATTAAATAAATAAACTCCAGTAAACCCTCAGAGCCAGAAAAGACATTAGAAAATGTCTAGCCCAGGGGTTCCCAGCCTGGAGTCTGTGAAGAACGACGGGGAGAGAGGGGAGCCACAAGCCCACAAACCCCCATGTCATATTGTGTGTATGTGTTTATTTTTGTGGGAAGCAGAGCCCTGGCTTTCATTAGATTCTCAGAGTAGTGATCACAGTACATCTAAAAACCGTGTGTTCTTGTCTAACCCGTTCATGCAGGTTAGATGCAGATGAATTCAGACACTGAGGTCCAAGGACATTCCATTACTTCCCTCGGTACTCAAATGACTTCTCCAGGGTTACAGAGCCCTCCTAATGGGGCCCCGAAGGATGATACTAGGAATGAAAGGAGGAAATCTATCACTTTATAGCTTATGCATTTTGGGCAGTAACATAATGTGTTGGTTAAGAGCACACTCCAGGGAGTTAGGTTAAAATACCAGGTCCTCCATTTACTAACTGTGTGATTTGGGGTAATTAACTTATTTGAGCCTCAGTTTCCTCAAGTTATTAAATAGGAGTAAAAATATCCATTTCTTAACTTCTCATTAAGAAAACTATTCCTGGGGCACCTAAGTGGCTCAGTGGTTGAGTGTCTGCCTTCAGGTCAGGTCCTGATCCCAGGGCCTGGGATGGAGTCCTGCTCAGGCTCCCTGCGGGAAGCCTTCTTCTCCATCTGCCTATGTCTCTGCCTCTTTCTCTTTGTCTCTCAAGAATAAATAAATAAAAATCTAAAAAAAAAGAAGAAAGGAAAAAGAACGAAAGAAAACTATTCCTGGGGCACCTGGCTGGCTCAATCAGAAGAGCACACAACTCTTGATCTCAGGGTTATGGGTTCAAGCACTACATTGTGTGTAGAGATCACTAAAATAAATAAACTAAAAAAAAAATGTGTAAATTGTTCTATTCTGTGCCTACATAAGATAAACACTCAATACATGGTAACTATTACGGGATGCCTGGGTGGCTGAGCAGTTGAGCGTCTGCCTTTGGCCCAGGTCGTGATCCCAAGGTCTGGGGATTGAGTCCTGAGTCAGGCTCCCTGCAAGGAGTCTGCTTCTCCCTCTGCCTATGTCTCTGCTTCCCTGTGTGTCTCTCATGAATAAATAAATAAAAATCTTTCAAATCTTCAAATATATATAATATATTATATATATATATTAAGAACTTTTTTTTTCAGTGCAAGTCAGAGTTTGGGGAATTTTTGCATTCATTATCTCATTTTATGCTCACCGTAATCCTTGCTATATTATTCTCACCATAAGGAGAGAAGAAAAAGATTTATTGACAGTTGGTAAACAATAACAGCAACTCAAACCCAGATTTACAACTCTGAAGTTTTATGGCCTTGGCTCTTTGTTACCTGGCACAGTTTCCAGGTTTGCCTCTACAGGACTGCAAACAATACAGTGCACTCATTTAGAGTACAGTTTTGAAGTCAAAATGCTTGGGTTTGGGCAGCCTGGGTGGCTCAGCGGTTTAGTGCCGCCTACAACCCAGGGCCTGATCCTGGAAACCTGGGATCAAGTCCCGAGTCAGGCTCCCTGCATGGAGCCTGCATCTCCCTCTGCCTGTGTCTCTGCCTCTCTCTCTCTCTCTCTCTCTCTGCATGTGTCTCATGAATAAATAAATAAAATCTTAAAAAAAAAAAAAGAAAAGAAAGAAAGAAAAATGCTTGGGTTTGAGTTCTAAATGATTCCATGTATCAGCTCCATGAATTTGGACAAGTGATTTAATCTCTATGAGCCTCAGCTTCCTAAGTGCACCATAAACTGATGTGCTATATAAAGATTAAATAACAAATGCAAAGCCACCGGCATGTAGGAAGTTCTCAATAAATGATAGCTGTCATTATCAGTATCTGTCGCCTAGGGTGGTTGTGTGAATTAAATGAGCTAGTATGGGGGATCCCTGGGTGGCTCAGCGGTTTAGCGCCTGCCTTCGGCCCAGGATGTGATTCTGGAGTCCCAGGATCAAGTCCCACATCAGGCTCCCTGCATGGAGCCTGCTTCTCCCTCTGCCTGTGTCTCTGCCTCTCTCTCTCTCTCTGTGTCTCTCGTGAATACATAAAAAAATATATTTAAAAAAAATGAGCTAGTACAGGTCAAGCGCAGGACACAAGTGCCTGGCACAGAGTAGGTACTCAACAAGTATCTGGTGAATAAATGAGTGAATGAACAGATCTATTGTCAGCCTTTTATCAGAGAACTGCTTCCTCTCCCTTTTACAATCTCAATGCCATTTCAGTAACAGATTCCCTTGGTCTGTTTGCTTAACTCTCTGTTTCTTTCCACAACCAAACAAAGCCTTTCTCTTTTTACCCCACGACTCTTCGGTCTCCCTCTGTAGATTGCGGATCTGAAGGGCCAGCCCTGCTCTCTACCCTTCCAGCCATCACAAAAGATCACCCCGTCTGTTCTACAAGCTCTCACGCTTTCCAAAACCATTTTCCCCTGCACGACCTACCAGTGTGCACAACGCTGAGCCGAATCTCCCCTACCAGCCCATCAACGTCAGGTGGATTCTTCACCTGGCAGGTATATGTCCCATTGTCATCAAATTGCAGCTTCCACAGCATGATGGAGACATCGTACCGCTCAGGGTTCCCGTCCCAGACCACCCGATCCTTGAAACGCCCACTCATGGGTTTGAAGGGATCCACATGGTAGTAGAACACCTGGAAGGGAGAAGTGGCCAAAGGTCTTCTTCAGTACCTGGGCAAGGAGGCTGAGGTGGAGGGGGCCAGCCTCACTGCCCCACCTGCACTCTCCTCCAAGAACCTCCCGCTTTCCTGTTGACCGACCCTCTCCATTCTGTTGGTCTCTGTCCCAAGAATTGTTTCTCTGCTTCACCCTGCACTTGTTGCCAAAAAGAGCACAGGAAGGGCAAGGAGAGGAGGACCTGCTTCCCAACCAAGGGTCCCCTGGCCAATGACAATAATCTACTTACAAACTGCTCGGGCCCCCCATCTCGAGGCCGGAAGTTCCAGGTCACTGTCAGAGCATCACTCACGGGGGCAAAGCTGGAGAAAGTACATTTTAACCGAACATCTGTCCCATTGACAGCCTCTAGCGCTTGGGAGGTGTAAATTTCCACAGCCGCTATGGGCCAAAGGGCTGTCGCAAAGGAAAAGAAAAGGAAGATGTGTATTAGGAGAATTTCTGCTGACACTGCCGAAATAGATGTCTGAGTGAGGCACGAAACCCAACTGAGATGCCCCAGTTCTCCAACTTACTTCACCCTGAGTCTGCACACTCCCACTTACATGCAACCATGACCTTGCCATGCCTATAACAACAGCGAGCCGTCTTAGTGAGCTCATTGTCTCCACAGCACCATACCCTCGCCTTCACGGTACCCACCCCAAACGGTTCTAACAAACTATAAACATCGGCAAAGAAAATTCAAAGCAGAAACAAACAACTGAAAAAAAAATCAGAAGTAATCCTAACATGAATTAGACACGTTTTCAGATGAAGCATTATGTGTTGTATGTGTGTGTATAATGGTCCCCTAGAAGCTTTCCAGAAAGGGTCCTGGTTAGGTTATGATTTCATACTGTTCCTCGTCTTCTGCAGAAATTGAATTAATCAACCCCAGACAGTTTCTGCTTGCACCCCTGGAACCTGTATACCACGTGGCTTTCTTTTTTTTAACACAATATTTGCATTTAGAGCTTGTGCACATTAGGGCAGTTGCAAACATTACCGGAGGGTCTTTCTTCTTTCAGCTTTCCCAGGGTTGCTGCGAGTCCCAGAGAAGACCCGCACACAGAAACCCAAGAGCCAAGTCCTGCCTGCATTGGGAAGTTGAGAGTAGACACACACACACACACACACACACACACACACACACACACACACGCACAGTTTGTAACCTGAGATTAGAAAGCCTTCTCTGTGCCGGAATCACTAGCAGCGGAAACACACTTAAACCTGTTTGTCCAAAATCAGTTCTCCAAAACCAACCCACCAACTTCAGTTTCAGTAAAGTCAAAACCTGACCAAACTGCCACCATGGCTCAGGCTCCCCCCACAAAACTCTCGCAACTTCTGAGATAATTAACTAACTTTGTGGGGTCAGCAGTGAAGGAGGACACGCGGAGAGACGCCCACCTGTCCTTACCTGTGAGCTGTATGCCAAGGAGAAGCAGCCCAGCACGCGAAGTGCTCTTGCCATACATGAGGGAACCCAGCCCTGGCCCCAGAGACCAGACCGGGCAGACCGATGGCTCCAGCACCCTGCCAAGGCCACTTCAGTAAGAACAAGCACCGAGTTTTCCCAGAGACCAGAGCCAGTCCCTCACCTATTGGGAAGCTGAGTGCCAGGGCCTGTGACTCATCCCTGCTCTGCCGGTGCACTTCCTGGAATGAAAGGTGGGGCCTCAGCTCCCTACGCCCTCCTTCTTTTCCTCCCTCCCGCCCTCTATTCTACAAGCAGTCTGTCTGCACAAGTTCCAAACTCCACACTCCGCTCTTTACTTTCCAGTCAATCTGCCTGGGCTCTGGCCTCTGGATGGCCTCAGAAACAGCCAGAGGAGGTGGTGCCAGCCTGAACCGTCCCAGGCTGCTTTGGGTTTGGCCCACACACACTGCTTTTTCTAAGCGGGCTTCTGGCTTGCCTGGGAAATAAATGTTGAAACCACCTTGCTGTGATTCCACTTCCCAAAGCATCTCCCTGGGGCCACAGGAGCCTAGACTGGATGCATGACTCCAAAGCAATCAGTATTCCTTAAGACTCTCTGGACAAAATGTCCTGCCTCTTATACCCTCAGTCTCAGTCAAATGTTACCACAAGGATCTCTGCATCTTTCCCAGCTTGGAGCTTTCCCTGACATCCACCTAAAACAAACTAACCCAGGGCGCCTGGGTGGCTCAGTGGTGGAGCATCTGCCTTCAGCTCAGGTCATGATCCTGGGGTTCTGGGATGGAGTCCCGCATTGGGCTCCACACAAGAAGCCTGCTTCTCCCTCTGCTTATGTCTCTGCCTCTCTGTGTCTCTCATGAATAAATAAATAAAATCTATAAATCAATCAATAAATAAAATAAACTGACCCAAACAAATCTCAATGTGTAATGATCCCTCCACGTCAAAGAACTTAAAGAAGAAGCAGGACATCACCCCTGCTCGTTTAACCTCCTATCTTAATCCAGTTCACCTCTACAATACTCCCATAAAGTGTTCTCATTTTTCCAGAGAGAATACTAAGAGCCCAGAGAAAGTAAGTGATTTGCCCAAGGTAGCACAGCCAAGAGGTAGCAAAACTGGAATTTATCTGACCTTAGGTCCAATGCTCTTGCTGCAAAATTACACCCAGCGTGAACCATTAGACCCAGAAGACACTCAAGGAAAAGGTTTTCATAATAACTTTTCTGTGCCTCATTTTTCATCTGCCATTTTTAGGGCAGCCATCTGTCTGAAAAATCTGAAGAACTGAGGAATTTAAATGAGAAAAGGTGCCTCCCTGTCTGGAAAGAGGGTGGCTAATTGTTACAGATTAACGACAGAGCACTGCAAAACAGCCGAAGACAAATGGAGATTACACATGAAGTGAAGAAATAGGCTGGAGCAGGAGCCTAACCCTGAACAAAAACAGATTAGCCTAATCTCCGAATCAGCAACCTAGAAACTCTAGTGATTCCTCGTTAAACCCTGGAACGGAGAAGTGGCCAGAAAAGGGAGAGGAAAGAGGCAGGCTGACTGGAAAGGGCAAAACTTCATAAAGAGGGAAGAAAATTCTACTAAGGGACAGGCAGCATACAGAAATGGGAAAGAAAAGCCAGAAAGATAAAGAAAAGCAGCAGGAGAAATGTCATGATTGTGGGGCAAAAAAAGAAAATGAGATAAAAAAGAGAAAAAAACGATAAACAACAAACAACAGTTGTTAGAACAGAGAAACCCAAGGGCTACCCCAAATGAAGATCAGCGGGGTCCTAGCATGAATTTATTTAGATGAGTGTTCCTGAAAATAGAGTGGCTCCTTTGTCAGCTTCTAGGTCAGAGATCAACCTAAAATCAGAATGCTGGGGAAAATCTTCAAAATGGTGATGGGATAAAATAGAGAGGCTCTCTGGTATGTAGGTCTGTAGAGTTCAGCTCCAGGAGCCCAAAAAAAAGCAGTGGAGGAAACTCGATCCTCTTTGTCGGCTTTCAACTTGCAGAGAAATGCAGCTCTAAAGGAGGGGGCGGGGGGGGGGGGGGGGGGGCAAAGCCTGAGGTTTTGAAGTCTAGAGCAAATTGCAAACTTTGGTGAGAGGTAGAGTTACCAAAGAGCTCAAGGACACAGAAAAAGCAGCAGGAGAGGAATCAGGGCAGGCAGCCCTGAACAAACTGCCTGTTTTCAGCAGAGGACTCTCTCTGCCCCCAGGTAGCCAGATGCCGTGTGAGCTGGCCGCCAGCCCTGCTCTGAGGGTCCCCAGCTCCTCAGATCCCACTAAGAGGCAGAGTTCAAGTTCCTGGCTTTTGGCCCAGCAACGCCCAATTTCTTCCTGTTAACAGGAGTGGCTCCAGAGTCATCCCATTCCCTTCCCCCTGGGAGGGGAGAGAGGAGACCAAGGGCTGGACTCCTTTAGTGGAGAAAACAATGAGTAAACAGGACATTTGCCCTTGAGTCCCGAGGGTGCCTGTCACAGGGCTGTGATCAAAACTGGAGGCATAGGGGCACCTGGGTGGCTCAGTGGTTGAGTATCTGCCTTTGGCTCAAGTCATGAGCCCAGGGTCCTGGGATCGAGTCCTGCATCAGGCTCCCCGCAGGGATCCTGCTCCTCCCTCTGCCTGTGTCTCTGCCTCTCTCTCTGTGTCTCTCATGAATAAATAAATAAAATCTTAAAAAAAAAAACTGGAGGCATCTAGCTAAAGGATGCTTCGTGCCTAGGAAAAGGAGAAACGAAGAAGAGAGAAACGTTAGAAACATCACTTTTTTTTCCCTAAACTTTTCCGGAGAAAAATCCAGATTATCATTAAAATTGATGGAGTACCAAGAGTTGTGAAAGCACCTCGTCTGTCCCAAAATATTTGGGACAAATATTCATGCTTCCCAAAAATATTTCTAATAGGGTACCTAGAAACCCACTGACGAAGAGGAAACTCATCCCAAGGGACTCAAAAGATAGAAAGGACAACTGGCCAGTATCGATATTTGTAATAACTGTCATCTTCACATGCAAGACAAAAATGTGTTGTTGGCTTTTTTTCCACCACAAAATAAAATTAGCATTCTACAAAGCAAGGGAAGCAAGTAATTGAGCTTTTAGGGTGGTTCAAATAAAGCATTTGTTTACTCAAAAACTTTCCGTCCATATGTTTTCTTATTAGGAAAGATTATAATTAATTTTTGTTATATGCTAGGCAAGACATATAATATAGAATAAGACATATCTGCCCAGGGAGAAAAATGAAGAGTCCAAAGAAGATTTTGGGAGGTGCAATGTGTATGTTAACAAATACTTACCATATTTGTGACTGGGGGGAGGGGCGGAGAGAATTCCAAGCAGACACCACACCCCTGCATAGAGCCCCACGTGGGGCTCGATCTCACGACCCTGAGATCGTGATCTGAGCCATAATGAAGAGTCAAATGCTTAACCAACTGAGCTGTCCAGGTGTCCCTGAAATGTGTCCTTGAAGGACAAACAGGAATTCTGGAGAGAAAAGAGAAACAGAGGCACTTGTGTTGAAACAAATGGGAGGGGAATGGGCAGGAAATGTGGTCTCTGCAGGGGCATGCAAATGATTTCTCCGTGCTCAGGCAGGAGTGGCAGGCCAGGAGGCTGGAGAGAGAGGCCAGGCCAGAGGCTGAGGGGGTCCTCATTCTCCATCCTAGGGAGTATAGACTTGATCCTGACAAATACACCATTTGGAAGTAGCTAAGATATGACCCAAAAAGAGAGGAATTACTCTAGTATTTACCAGACCATTGAAAATAATGAGGAAAAGCCTTGGGATCTCAACTACCACGTACTCTACCAACTTTCTCATAGGTTCACTGGCCTGGGAGCCAGAATGAAAAGTACAAACTTAATACCCACCTTCAGAAGACGCAGGGACTCCCAGCCATCCCTACCAACAACAGTGCCAATTTATAGCTCCTTTCTTTTTCTTTCTTTCCTTTTCTTTTTTTTTTTTTTTTTTTTTTTTTTTTTTTTTTTTGGAACTTCTGGTGAGCTTCTCAAAGATGAGAGAGGGAAGCTGGGATATAGATGATAGGTGGGCTCTCAGCCCAAAAGAAGCCATGTGTTCCCCTTGATTCCCCTCCTTGCCTCTTTGCCTTGCATCCTCTAGAGATATTTATTCCAAAGCCAAGTCTGGATCTGAGACTGAGCTCTAATAGCTTAGAAAAACCACGGGAGGGAACGGCTTTCCATCTCCCCACCTCACAGCAGCTTTTATACCTCCCCAGTAAAGCCCCGGGCTCCTTTCTTAATTACAGAGAAGGGGTATTGCGCTCTTATTAACCAGCCCACGGAAGTGACTCTGAAGTTTAACCCTTCCCTTACTCTAGAGAACAGCTAGATGATTTGCATAGGGCAGGAGAGATGGGTGTCTTTGAAGATAACCGAAGGACCTCCCTGTTCACCATAGGTACCACATCGAAATAATAGGTGAGAATTTACCTTTACATCATGTTTATTGACGAGCATAGTATCTTCTGGTTACCATGACTAATATTCGTTCTTAGGAAATTAATTCATTTCCTGAGAAAAGACACAGCCACTTCCTTTTCTTTTTTTTTCTACTATACACTGGGAGGCATGAGGCAAGAGTTTGAATCCCACTTGCTTAGACCCAAATGGACACTGGGCCACTGACTAGCTGTGGGGCCTTGGGCAGATAATTTCATTCTCTGTGCCTCAATTATGTCATATGTAAAATGAGAATAGTAATATCTGCTGCATAGGCTTGGTGTAAGAATCAGATGAAATACTATATTTAAATACAGCTCTATGCTCAGTGCCCATAGAAAAACAGGAAATTTGGTTGTTTGTGATTATATTCAGTTAAGATATTGAAAACTGCTCCCATGACCACTTTGGGAGGAGGTCTGAGAGTTTCTTATAAACCCAAGTTTCATATAAAGCTAAACACCTTAGCAATTCCACTCCCAGGTATTTATCCAAGAGAAATGAAGCTATGTAACAACAAAAAGAATATTTGTAGAAGTTTGATTCATAATAGTTTCATTTAGCAATAATCATGCCTCAGATAAACCTCATTGGCTACAATACTGCCACTGCACAAAGCTTAATTCATAATAGTTCCAAATTAGAAACAGTCCAAGTCTCCATCAACAGAAAAATGGGTACTTCTGTAGAATACTCATACAATGGGATATTACTCGACAATAAAAAAGAACAAACTTCTGATACAT